CAAACTGTTGGTGAGCCACAGCATGTGAGCCTGCCCTGGGCCGAGGGCGAGGTCTACCCCAGTATCGCCTTCCAGGATATCGACACCATGTGCTTGGAAGACTATTACAAGTCGCTGGAGCTCGCCCGCTTGGAGGGGAAACCCTGGCACCTATCGGATGACTTTCTCCAGGCAACCGCGTTCGACCGCTCGAGAACGCCTCTCGGCAAACTTAAACCTTGACGTGGTGGACGAAGACCAGCATGTCAGTCTCTCAAACTCTATTTACTTCTAGACAATACAACACTCTCAGGCTCTTTCTCGGAAGTTCTGCGCAACCCACATGTGATGTAACACCGATCCACTGTAGTAGCTACACTCTGGACCAATCTCATCGTTGACGAAGGGTATCTCCCACTAAATGACCGAAACTTGGCTCAATGCCAATTGTGCTTGACAGCGGACTACAAGATACCAACATCGCGGAAGGGAATAAGACTTTGGAAATCCACGTCCCAGTTACCTACTTCGTCTCTTCGACCGTCTTCTCGGCATCCCAGGACAGAAGTGCGTCCGGCCCGACCCTATCCTTGATGATCTCCTCGCTCAGCTTCCACAAGTTGCGCCCAAGCTCGGGGTTGCAGGCCTGCTTGCTCTCTGACCCAATGACTCCGGGATCCGTGAAGTACTTGCCCTCATAGTTGTGCGACTCGATATCCTCACTCGTTGCCGCCCATAGGGTACTGAGACTGCCCTGATCCGGTGCGCGCATGAAAGGGACAACGGAATATTTGAGGACGGTACCGAAGACGGCGCCGTACGCTTCCTTGAACTGATCTTGCTGACCAGTATGAACGGCACCGGGATGAGTGGCGACGGCGATGATGCGATCTTTGTTGTGGCGGAAGACTCTATCTTCCAAGCCATACTTGGTGAAGAGGATATTCGCCAGCTTCGATCGACCGTAGAGGCCAACGCTGCTAATAGACGAGTCCTTCAGCTCGTCGACGGAGGTGAACTGCGCGCTAGAGGGAGCGGCACGGTGGAGCTCGGAAGAGACACTGACGATACGAGGACGAGGGGTGTCAGGGATCTTGGAGGTCGTGCGAATAAGTGGCAGGAGACGGTTGATAAGAAGAAAATGGCCGAGGTGGTTGACTATCATGTGTCTATCCAGGCCTTCGACACTCTCGCCGTAAGTATTGACACCGACGCCAGCATCACAGATGACCTGACGCATTAATACAGTGAGAATCAGAGTTCGGTATAGAACGCGTATAACTCACAAGATCCATGCGACCTTCGTCGTTGGATAGCTTGTCCGCCACCTGCTTCACCATCTTGAGATCACCCAAGTCGCACTGGATGAAGGTAATATCGGGGACAGTGTCAGCGTCATTGGAAGATTCCTTGATCTTTCTGACAGCTTCGTCACCGTTTTCTTCCTTGCGAGACATGACGAGCACCCTGGCGTTCGCAAGGGCCATGCAACGTGCGACTTCGAAACCAATGCCTCCAGTACCTCCAGTGACAAGAACAGTCTACGGGATATGGTATTAGCGAGCGACAAACGGAGCGATGCATACACATAGGATCGTACCCTGCCGCTGAGGTCTGCCACATTTTCCTGTGTATAACCATTCGCAGACTTGCCTGCCATTCGACTTGCCACATTTTGTACTTTCTCCATGGTATTGCTATCCACGTTGAGCCGGCGTTTGGGTGCGTGTGTTGCGGCACAAGCTCTGTAACAAGCACGAGTCGAAGACAAGAGACGGTAGACGAGCATCCCCGTTGCTGGTACTCCAACTTCTCTGAGCATATATCCCAGTCTGCGGAACCCATGACGAGGACGTCATAGCCTCTGGGGACGTTGACATCCATGACGATTTCGACGACCTTCGGGCACCAGATCAGGGCCGCCTAGGCCAAAAGCGGGGCACGGGCGGACGAATCTGAGTTTCCACAGAAACTACCATATATGGTACAGATATCACGGCATATAAAAAAGCGCGCGTGCGAACGAATGCTCACCTGAATCCTGGTGAAGAACAGCGATGTCTCTGCCCTCTCCTACCGTAGAGAAAGTCCACATAGACAACAAACTTTCCACCGAAGAGGTCCCGAATAGTCCTCAGCCCACCCAAGTATCTACAGCGCCGCCAAACGGAGTCAAATTCAAAGGCAAGTGCCATGACTGGTGCGGTACTCACTGCAGTTATTGACCTCGGCACCAGCTTTCGCCGGGCAGCTAAGCCTCTTGGACCGTCTTTTGACACCTCTCATTCTGCTGTGTATGATTGTGGGCGTAATAATTGGCGAGTTCGTCCCGAATGTTCAGCATGCGTTCAACACCGTCCGCTTCAAGAGCGTCTCCGTCCGTGAGTCTGCCTAACTTGCACTTGATTGAGACATGAATAGCTCACCTGTACTCTCAGCAATTGCAATCGGCCTCATCGTTATGATGTGGCCTATCCTAACCAAGGTTCAGTATGAATCTTTGCACAAGTTGTTCAAGACGCGGCGGCTGTACATCCACATCCTACTTTCGCTCGTTCTCAATTGGATCGTCGGTCCACTCATCATGCTTGCATTGGCATGGGCGACCTTGCCAGACCTGCCAACGTACAGAGCGGGAGTTATCATGGTCGGCCTTGCGAGGTGCATCGCCATGGTCATGATATGGAACCAGCTCGCACGTGGAGACTCGCAATACTGTGCAATATTGGTCGTTATCAACAGTATCCTCCAGATCATACTGTACTCACCATACTCGCTCCTGTTCGTGAACATCATCGGGGGTGGTCGCAATGCACAGGATATACGGGTGGATTATGGCGATGTGGCGATATCGGTCCTCATCGTGAGTCGTCTTCCTATGCACAGACGACATTAGCTGAACGGCCCTGCTTTTGTAGTATCTTGGTATTCCGCTCGTTCTTGGCTTCCTGACGCGCTTCGTCGTCCTCGGGCTGACGTCGCACGACTTCTTCCACAATCGCTTCCTCCCGTTCTTCGGGCCGCTCGCGTTGCTGGGCCTACTATACACGATTCTCGTCATGTTCGCGCTCCAAGGACACCACATCTTACACAACCTCGGTCCCGTCTTCAGGGTGTTCGTGCCCATGATACTCTACTTCTGCGTCATGTGGACTGCCGCCTTTGTGCTTGTATGGCAGCTCAGCGTACGGTACAGCAGCAACAAGGCTTGGAGATATGAGCTGGCAGTCGTACAGGCTTTCACCGCTGGGAGCAACAACTTCGTAAGTCAACAGTACTGGATAACACGCGAAAAATTCTGACGTACGCGGGAAATAGGAACTTGCGATCGCGGTGACCATCGCTGTTTATGGTGTGGACTCGGACCAGGCTCTGGCAGCAACTATAGGCCCTCTCGTAGAGGTCCCAGTGTTGCTTGCTTTGACGTGGGTGGCGCTTTATTTGAGGACACGTCTCAGGTGGGGTGCAGATGAAGACGTCGAATCAACAACAGCAGGCGATCCTCACGATGAGAGGGTGGGAATACCATCCCCCATTTGTGAGACATCCTGTCGTGACCGGTAGGGTGAGTTCTCGCGGCGGCGATTCTCACACCTGGGTTGTTCCTCTCTTGTGTTTGGAATATACTTGCTTCTCGGCTGAACACGGTTGTAAAAGCAATTCTAGGCCGTACCTATTCCTAGAAAGGTCTTAGTGACGGCGCGTTGTGCTCGGGAGAACTAGTTTGCAGCCTGTGTAATGCCTCAACCAGCCTAGGGTCCATGGTGTATGACCGGTCACATCAGGCCGCAGACGAGCCAATTATGAGGGATATAGTGATATAACTGCGATAAACTTGACGAAGTTACACGTTTAGATGGGCTAAGGAGCAACGGTGCCTGCGTTCAGCGAGACAAATACACGGTACACCCCGGGAACACTTACAACAGACACCTAGCTCCTTGACTCCATGTGAACGACAGCATATAGCCGTGCACCATGGATACCACGACACAAACGACGTCATAGACCGAGTCGTTCGTTCTTGGACATCGCATCTTTCTTTCTCCTCGCTTCCTCCTGCGCTGCAAAGCCCGGGATACCGGTAACACCGTCCTTCAGCATCCCCTCCGTCTTTTGCAGAGCACTCTCCTTCTGCCGTGCGGCAAGCATGTCGCGGATATCCTGTACGTCGTTGTCGGTCATGGGAATGAGTGTCGGGTCGCGACGGATCATGGCGGCGAAGTACTAGCAGAAGTCGACGTGTGCTTTGAGACTGCGCAAATGCAAGGAAATTCTAGAAAGAGATAAGGTCTATAGACTGCGTAGGTGAAGTTGAGATCGAGATGGCCCCTGAATGAGCGTGCAGTGTGTCGTGCAAGGTGTCGTGGCAGGGGTAGAACGGGGTATGGGCCCGGTGGCTGCGCGCTCGCAGCGACTGCTGTAGCAATAGACGGTGACGCCTGCCGCAAATACATACACCTTGACGGCCGACAGCCACCTCCTACAGTTTACTTTCCCTTCTTCCACCCTCGTCTCTTCCTATCCCTCCTCACCTCACAACGTCCGCTGCCATGGAAGCTCTCATGCGTATCTCGGATACCCTCAAGTCCTTCAGGGTGCGTATAACCCGGTATTCCGTGACGACTTCATGACTGAAGGCCTTTGCGATGTGTAGGAGACCCGCCTCAGTGCGCTGCGCACGCCTTCAGAGTTCTTCGACCACCACCGGATCTCGCGGCCGGCGGACATGAACCAGGCGACCTCGGTATGTCCTTGCTTCCAAGCAAGTCCCCCATACAAGGAAAGCTCACCCAGACACCGAAGCGTATCTCATATAACACACGATACTTCTCTGGTGAGTTCCTGAGTAATCTTCTCGGGTGTGTGTTCTCTAAAGCCGCGTGCCTACAGGAAATTACGGCCTGATAGTGGCCGCCCTTGCGGTCTACGCACTGTGCGTACCCCTTGCCCTACGTCCACCTCACGCGCTAACCAGTTTGCAGCCTCACGAACATCCAGCTGGTCTTGGCGATGCTTTTCCTCGTTGGAGGCTTCGCCGCCATCAACAAATTTGGTGCGCTGCTCTCCGTTTTGCCATGCTCTCTCAATCTAACACAGCCATGCGCACGCAGCGCCCGAGCCGATGCAGGTCGGCGACCACGTCGTGACGCAAAAGTCGCTGTACATTGGACTCTTTGTGATTGGCGTCCCCCTCCTCTGGTTCGCGTCCCCGCTCTCGACCATCTTCTGGATAGTCGGCGCGTCGGGTATCCTCATCGTCGGGCACGCCTCGCTCATGGAACCGGGCATCGAGAGCGAATACGCGCAGGTCCAGGACAGCGTGTGAGCCTCCAGTCTAGGGTGCTCATAGGGAAGGATTGGGGCTGCGAGGCTGGCGATATAGGCGAGCTCACTAATACCTCTACTTGACTTGAACGCACGTCTGCTTCTACTCTCACTGGCTGGGCCTTGTGGTACTGTTTATCTATTCACTTCTGGTATTTAAATATAGTCGTGGAAATGTACAATGCACAGGAGGAGAATCTTCAGGTGAGCGTACAATCGTAACCAAGCGTAACCGGACGTCGGGGAGAACGCCACCTTGTAGGATTTTCAGATTTTTAAGCTGGAGATGCATGTAGGATGGGAGGGAATGTCCGACACAAAAATGCCAAAGCACGGTGTAAGATGCAAAGCAGCATATGATAAGAGGATTGAAAGCGTATGATAAAGGGTAGGCAATGCAGATGCAAAACGAGAGACGACAAAGATGCTGGAAATGCGGTGCTCGAGGATGTGGCCAGGTTGGACGGCACGTAGTGTGGTAGCGCGTGATGGATCATGACGAGGATTATATAGGACGGCCCGACGTCTCGAAACAATGTTAGGCCGGAACTCCTATGTAGTGTGGTCATAGCAAGGGTAGCCATTGCCCTGTCAAAACACACGAAGTCAGACTCGCGGTCTCAAACAGAGTAAAGGACACATACCAATCACTAAACTAGGGAGGTCCATGATGTCCCTGCGTATTGAGAAGCAGAACGTGCACGGCACTGGGGCACCTGACGGCTTGAGAAGGATGCAGTGAGAGTACACCGACTGCGTCGTGTTCTCGAACGCGTGATTGGCGAAGTTTTCCCAATACTCCACGACTGACTGGTTCTCGAACAGCTGCGAGGCCGGCGGAATTAGCAGAGCATACAGTCGAGGTTGCTAGCGACACGCACCTCGTATACGTATTTTTTCCGACCAATCAGCTCTTCCTTCTCCCAGCCAGTGAGCATGCAGAACTCTGGACCAACGAGGCAAATTTCGCCTGTACGGCGCCACGCCAATGTGGGCGTCCCGCTGAAGGACACGAGCTTGTCGAGTTCCTGATTAACAAGGACATCGCCGTGAGTCCAGCACCGCACATGCAAGCATATCGCAGTACTTACGACCAACGATCGCTGGAAGCACTTCTCGATGAAAATCTCGTCCTCTTCTGTCATTGGCATCTGAAGTGCAATGAGCGACGGCCGGAAGATGGCGAGGGCCCTGACGACCCGGAGGATGTCGTTCTTCTCAAAACTACTGCACCAAACATGAGTTACTCCACATCACAAGGGACCAACAAGGCATACCGAGTCGGGAGGTGTTTCATCAAGAAGTGATAGCCCTCGGTGTAGTCGTACGGATCTGTAACTGACTTGTACACGCTGACCACGTCGTGGTGGCCGACGTCCGACGGCGTCGGCCCTGCCCACGACGCAGTCCCCGCAGACACTGATCGGTCAATGAGAGTGGTGGAGCTAGAGCGTGTAGGAGTTACTGCAGGCTGCCGCTGCGCCAGCTGGACCGCCGAAGGGGCCACCTGGTTGACTGAAACCTGCGCCGCCTGACCTGTATAGCTGCCTAATGACGCTGGCTGCGACTGTCGACCCTGGTTGGTGGTGTATTCCGGATACTGGAGTTCCTGCCCCTGAACAGGTGTAGTGCCGTTCGCGGGCGCTGGAAGTTGATATTGCGGCGCGACGTAGCCGTTAGGCGCCGCCGCTGCCGCGCTGGCAGCGGGCTGTTGTTCGCTGTAGCTGTTGGGGGCCGCCGGCCAAGAGCCACTGCCCATATTCGCGGACGATGGTTGCGCCACGTATGATGTCGAAACTTGGCCAATCTGCTGCTGTGCCGCCACTGGACTACCGGCAGAATTGCCTGATTCTGGGGAATTGCCGAGAATCGACGATAAGATCGAGTATTCCAAGTTGGCGGCGTCTGAGGGCGGGAAAGCGAATGCTGGAGCTGCTGTCTCGTAGTTAGAGAACATTGGTTCTGATTGAGCGAATGCTCCGGTCTCTGTCGAGGTGGCAGCGGCTGCTACAGCGTAAGTGGTGTGAAGTGCGATAGCAGGCAGGAGAAGTCTCACGTTGCTCGTTGGGCGCTTCTGCGGTGTTGGTGGACCCGTCCCCAGACTTCTGCCGCTTCAGGGCCTCTGCACCAAGTACCCCTGTCAGATCACAAAACTGAGTGAGAATACAAAACACGAACCAAGTTCCTCCTCGTCCAACAAATACTTGGCTTTCTTTCGATGACCCTCCGTGCAGTTATCTGCTATCCCGCGCTTGATGCAGCGCTGGCATGGTCGTGCTGGGAAGTCGGCGGTCAGCGTCAGCCATAACGTTTACGTGAAAGACAAGCCCCGAAAACACAAGTAGAGAACGAGCAGGCCGCGTATAGACCCAACGAGAGATCGTGTGATACACGCGTATGACGCAAGGGGCCGATTGATGTGGTGTTGCATAGCTAATTGGGGATCCAAAGTTAGGTTGCCCATTCAATTCGAGCAGGCCGGTCTCCAAGAGAAGCTGTGAGAAGGTTCCCCAGACAATGCGACAGTGGCTATCAGACTAGTCGCTATTCTATCGCCGGCTCGAAGGCATGAATAGGGGCGTGGGGAGTGCACTGTCCGCAAGGTCGCCGATATTCGTCTAGAGCGTGCGCCCCGCAAGCAAAAGCGTCGGGACAGATAACAAAGCGTGCTCTCCAGTAGAACAAGGCGCGAGCATAGGCTAACCCCTCTTTGCTCTCTCTCCAGTCAAATTCCTAGTCAAATTCGAGATGGTTCGACTGGCTTGCTCGTGGAGCATAGCAAGAGACAGAGATCGCGTAAATGCAGCAGGCCTGAGCAAGAAGACTCACAGTCATCACATGTCAGGTGTGCTTTCTGACAGTGGAAGCAGGCGCGGTTTGCCTTCTTTTTCTTTGGCCCATCGCGTGTTCGGGTGGGTGGATGTGAAGACGAGGATTCCGTGTCGCTTGGTGCATCGGTACTGCGCTTGCGCTTGTACGCAGGCTTTTTCTTCTGCTCGAGAGAGATGGGACTGGCGGTGAGCGACGAGGGTTCTCCTGAGAAGACTTGGCTGCCGGCGACGTGGGTGAGCATCGAGAGGCCCAGGGAGCTGCTGTCATGAACTTGAGCGGAGAGCATGATGGCGGCGTAAAAGCATGTAGCGAACAGCGTTGGAGGACGGCAGTGGTTGTAGACAATGAGGGTAGGATTTATGACGGCCTCGACCAGGCGTCGAATGACTGGTCGAAAAGTGCCTGAGAGCTGCGAAGGGTCGGCGCTTGGCTACGCGCAACGTCCGCAAGATAAATGCCCTAAAGCCGCTTAGCCGACCGTCGAAAATACACCTATTTATCGCTGATATTCCCTAGAAAGGAAAAAAGTCGTGGCGGAAATAGCGTCGGCAGCTCGGCATCTCCGCACGAGGCCGGCGCGCTCGTCCGGGCGCACGGCGTTCTCGCGGTTCTCACGCTTCCGTCTCGCTCTCGCGCGGAACGCCCGCCACTCGCACGTATCTTTAGCGTTGGTCTCGCTCGGAGGTGGCATAAAGCAGGAGGCGGTCATTTTTGAGTTTGCTGAAAGAAGCCTGTGCAACCCCATGCGCAGTCACTATGCGCACCTAGGCCTTTTGTCTCAACTATCGTCTGCCCTTGGCCATGAGTCTGCGCGGCTAGAATTACGCTGGATGATGCAGGCGCTGCGAGAGGCCTCCAACCGGCAACGCGGCAGTAGCCTGGCTGAAATGGTCGCCCGCAGAATGTCAGGCGAACCCCTGCAGTACATCCTCGGTGAGTAATGGGCGCGCCATGCAACCTCGTGCACATTGTTTGAATCTCATCCTTATGGTTCGCAGGTAGTCAGCCATTCGGCCCTCTCAACCTCTTGGCCCGCTCGCCAGTTCTCATTCCCCGCCCAGAAACCGAGCACTGGACTATGCGCCTCTCCGAATACGTCACGCCGTCCGCCTCCAGACCTATCAGTCTCCTCGATCTATGCACGGGGTCCGGGTGCATCCCGTTACTCCTCTGTCATCTCTGGCCGTCTGGGAGCGTCCGAGCCTTCGGTGTAGACATAGCTTCGGAAGCTATTCAACTGGCCTCCGAAAACACAGCGATTTGCGGCTTCCATACACCTTCGGACAATCCTCCGTCCCAGTCTCCATCTTTCCGGAACACCTTCCGTCCCATCCTCTCAGACATTCGAGACCCCACCTTCCTGCGGAAGTCCGGACTATATCCGCCATTCCACGTTGTCACCTCCAACCCGCCCTACATTCCTAGGCGCGAATATGACTCTTTGCCGCCCTCGGTGAGAGACTTTGAGGACAGACGCGCGCTTCTCGGAGATCCGGACTCTGAGCAGGGGGACGGGCTCACCTTCTATCGCGACATCGCACGACTCGTCGCAAACGAGAAACTCCTCGCTGACGATGGCGTGCTTGCTGTTGAAGTAGGCAAGGGTCAGGCAAAAGACGTCGAACGCATCCTGCAAGACCAAGCCAAGCTCCCGAAAACAACCATATGGCGGGATCCTTGGTTGATCGAACGTGTGGTTGTAGCAACGCGCTAGTCTCCATCCAGTTTAGCTGGACTCTTTCGGTTCCACGTTTTGCCATACTGTAAGCAGCCTGACCGGGACGTCGATCGGCCTGCGTTCTTTTATGCGACTTTCTCCTCACCCAGCGGATTCTGCAGCACTCCAAGACCAGCGATATCATACCTTGTAATGAGAGAAGGACGACCGTCGTCTTCCAGAGTTTTACTTCTCACCTTTGCGTTGCTATAGGGTGCTCAGATCCGACCGCTTCTCTAGTGACGCCTCATCTTCTCCTGTCGGATGGTCCAAGTACGCAGGCCGGCCGATCAGACTTTCCCTACCGCCTTTCGTGACGTAGTCTCATACCCCTCCCTCTCTGTTCTGATGGTGTGACGCATCAGGTCTCGCTGTTCGTTCCGTATGTATCGGCCTGTGGGTCCACATGTGTCCCTCGTACGCCGGTATCCTGTGCAAACAATGACGCAGTGCGCGCCGGCAGAGCATCTGTTGCTTTGTCTATCAGGGGGCGGTGATCTGGTCACAGGCAATGCAACGCGCAGAGTCTGTCGATAAGCTTCGTGAAATGAGCGTGAGTGGCCCCCTCTTCAGCCCTTTGTTACTGTACCTTGGGTGACGAGCGGCCTGGTGGCCTTACTGCCGGACTATAATATCATGGGCGCTGACACACTTCGACCATTATGCAACTCTTCTTCTATCTCCTGTCATTCTACTCTCCATGAATAACACAGCAGCTTACTCGGCCCCCGGCTTCCAGCCGAATTGAGGGACGCTATCGTCGACTACCTCCGCTATGACAAGAAGACCTTGCACGTCTGTGGTTCGGTCTGCCAGGACTGGTTACCGCGGGCCCGGTACAACATATTCCAGGCCACCACTCTCCATACCAAGAACTGTGCCGCCTTTCTTCAGTTGGGCCGGACCCCGGACATCGTGGTCTGTATCAAACAAGTGACATTGCAGCCCCTTCCGCTCGGACGAAGGCCCGTCTTGCCATCACAAAAGCTTGGACAGACCCTGGTCACCGTCGTTTCGCTAGTGGAGGTATTCCGCTTCACAGGCGTCGACATAGATCCGGCCTTCGCAGCCGTGTTCCGTTTCCCTCGTCTGTACACTCTGCATCTCACTCTAGCCCGGTTCGAGAGCGTTGGTAATCTCTTCGAGCTACTCGCCGCGCTGCCCTCGCTCCGGACTTTGACGTGCCGCAATGTTCGTTTCTCGTCGTGGCATTATCCTCCCGGGCCCTTTGAAGGCATGAAGGCCAAGGGTCCGTCTCAAGCCTCGCTTACAGCTTCCCATCGCGCGGGACGCTTCTTCCGCGACCCTGTCCAAGTCCGACTCCTCCGTTGCCTCATCGCGAACAGACTACACACCGAACTGCGCTCGCCCCAGGTGCCGAATATCGACGACAACGATGACGACAGAGAAGTGTGCTGATAGATCTCCTCCGCGACATCGGCCCGAACCTCCGCGCGCTCGCTCTCGCTCTCTTCGCACAGCAAATTCACTTCGGGTCTGATCGTGCGTCGTCACCGCTTGCCAATTGCTATCTGCGAAACCTGTGCTCACGCTGTCCGCTGCACCCAGGCAACCTGAGTGCCGTGCTCGCACAGTGCACGGGCGTCCACGCGCTCTGACGCTGTACCCCATCAGCCTTCTGCGCCGCTCCCCGTGGGTCGGCGCCCTGCTGCTGCGCGCGGGCGTACACACACGCGCGCCGCCGACCGCCTCCGCCTCCGGCGTCGCGGCTCACGGTGCGGACGCGGACGACGTCGGCCACCTCGACTGGGACGTGCCTCGGCCGAACGTTCTCGGACACGAGCCTTTTCTGCCGCGCTGACGCTCGACGTCTTCGGTGGCCAGGACGCGCAGCCGACGATCCTCGACCACGCCCAGCAGTTCTCGTGTTGCCGTGAATGCAAACAAACAGGGCTGGCCGGGTCGCCGTGAAGCTTCGTACTGCGGTTGTAGCGTGCCCCCAGGCTGAGGCGCACGCTCGTGGCGTTTCTGGGGAGTTTGTGCGTCTCGTTTCGTGCATTTGCTTTCACACAGGTCCCCCGCCTAGGCCTGACTCCCGCCTCTTCGCTAAATACACGTCATATCCGCATGCCCAGCACGCGCGGGATGGTCTGCTCATCGGATGCCCGGGACGGTACTCATATCCAATAATGCTTGGCTGATTGTTCCTTCCCAAGGGAAGCTTTTATTTTTGACATATATAGCTCGATGACACAATGAAATGAGCAGAGATCGTCTCCGAGAGACATAAACAGATGACGTGGAGATCCGGTCTCAAGCGGACGCGAAATATGTGCCTCCGCGAAACGTTACGCGTTACTGCCCATTACCGCAGGTTGAAATTAAGGCGGAAAGCTATGACGACACGAGATATCAGTCCAGGGCCGCAGAGTCGTGGCGGATGTAACTTACTGTCCAAGTCGCGGCGGTCACAGATGGTGGCGAGGTCTAGACGTCCGAGGTGCAAGCAACATGTCTTGAGAGAATCCCACAAAGTCGATGACGTTACACCGCGCTTGTCGTTAGTCCCGTCGCCGTTCGTGATGCTATCGTTCTCTTGTAGCGAGAGTGCATCCAGGATATGTTCTGATGCTTCTTGATGGCGCTAGAAACCCGAGTAAACATGAGAGAGCTGAGGGACAAGGAAGTACGGCGATGACGTACCCGCAGGTTGATACATGAGATACCAAGGTTGAACCTGGTCAGCAAATGTCAGCAGGCGTGGCGTGCATTCTCATGGTGACCCGTACCTAGCCCGGATATACGCTGGATTGAGTTCTAGAGCGCGGTAATAGTAAGCAAGTGCCTCTTCTGGTTTCCCACTGTTCGCAAGGGTCGCGCCGACACGGTTGTACAACTGCCAGTCCTGTGGGAGAACTCAGCGAGGGAGCGCCCAAGACGTCAAAGTCACACTTACGTCGGGGCGGACTGCAAGGGCCGTCGTAAAGCAGTCTTTCGCCTTCTCGTAGGCCTGACTCCGACGTGAGCGGAAGTTTGCTCCAGTAATGCGGGGTTACTCGCCTCGTTTGTGTTCATGAGCACAGCAAGAGCGATCTGAATGTCTGCGTCGATCTCTCCGCTAGTATCGCTTCGGGCCATGGTGATGAGGCAATCAATCATATCGTTGAACTTCTCAGTTTGGGACATATCCTGGCGAAGCGGTTTTTGCAAGCGGTACGCGCTAGCGACATCACGGTATTGCTCGTTATGGTCTACCCATTCCCGAACGGCTTCGAAAGCCCCGTGGCGGTTCCCCTCATTCGTGTGTGACACTGCAAGCGCCAGCCACGACGGTAGGTGTGTCGGATCGAGCTCGAGGGCGCGACGGAGAGCCTGTACAGCCTTTGCCTCACGCTCGTTTTCCTGCTGCTTCACGCCAAGCTGAAACCAGGCCTGTGCGCTCATCGGCTCCCGTTGTACCGCCGCTTCCATCTCCAACACGCTCTGCAAAAAATAACGTCGTTAGCGCGCACAACGCGCAAGCCTCTAACTGCGTCGATCAGCGACTTACGTCGTACAAAGTGTTTCGCTCCCCCTGGATGTGCATCGCATGATGGCGTGATGTCTCGCCGACTAGGTACGGGTTGTGCGCCTGAAACTGATAGTTGGCTACCGGCCTGATCCCCGTTGCGGTTGCCTCGAAGTTGTCCCAGTCCCGCTGCAGGCGGCCCCACTCTGCGTTCTCCCTGGGTGTCTCCGTACGAGGGGGTGCCTCACTACGCCAGTAGCCGATGTACGCCTCGTTCTCCTGGCGGAAGTATTCGTCGAGATCGTCGACCGCAGATGACAGTGATCCACGCACTTGCTCGTCGCCAGCCCGTTGGCCGGCCACGGCCGTTGCCGCGTATACTTGCGTCGAGTCGCCGCCCGGTACCATGGAGGATGTAATGGTGCCATCAGCAATGTCGACGGCACGACCCTTGCCCTTCACGTCCACAGAGGACTGCAAGTCGTTCGCCCATGACGAGGCCTCCTCCCGGGGAACCATCTGGTTGCCTTCTATTACAATTTCGCGATCCCGAAGCTGCCTCATCAGTCCCAAGAACGCGCTGCTCTGAAATTTGGGGTTGTCCTCGTGTCTCACGGCATCAATGAGGGAGCCAGCTGTTCGCGCGAGCTCGTCAGGATTATCAAGCCTCTGTGCGGGATGTTCCTGCGTGACTTCTTGAGAAGCGCGCAGTACGGCGACTGTTTCTTCATGGGACTTGAAAACCTGTTCCCATTGGGACTCTGCAAAATTTTAATAGCGGCTGATACATGTTCACATGAAACTCACCGTCCAGGATCGGGGCCGAATGCACAGGCTGGTGCAACTGAGAGCCGGACGCCTGAGGTTGGTGCATCATGTTGCCCATAGGACTTGCAAATCCCACTGCGGGCGGTGTCCACTGTAATCGTGCTGATTACCATGAGATCACGAAGCACTCATACATGATGGAGGCGCCTTACCCTGAAATGGACTGGCCATATTTGCCGAGTCGCGCAAGGCATGCACCGTCTGGTTGTTCTGCATTGCTGACTGCCCAGCGTCCAATTGAAGGGGCCTCGGGCTCTGCGCCGGTTGCTGGAGGAGGAAGTCTGTTGCCCAAGGCGCGAGCGCCGGGCTCATGGCGATCGGAGTTGATTGCGCCGGTGTCTGAGTGTGAAGGGGAGGCAATGCGCCATGCAGCGCAGATAGGTCGTACGGTGTCGTGCCGAGTGAGGAAGGCCCAGGAGCAGGCCCGGCAGCGAAGAATCGAGCGGCATCTTGGGTCGCACCCGGGGCAGCGTTGTATTGCGTCCGGAAAGCCTAAGTGTCGTGTTCAGAGGCACGGGGATGAAATTGCCAAGTTGACAAGGCGCACCTGTTTGGACGGTCCTGAGCGTCCTGTGCCAAATTGGTCCTGCGTTCATTGGTCAACCCCCGCCCGCGCTCAAGCGACTCGTCACACGACAATGCGTACTTGCTGCAGGCCCCTGTCACGGTCGAGCTCCTTGGTCAATCCCTGCAGTGGGTTGCTGGGACCGCACTCTGCACCCCCAACAAGCATAGGTAGCGCCATGGCGGGCAGAGAAAGATGGACGTGAGTGGCAAGGAGGAGGTACCCGGGCTTGAAGCGGACTCAGCGGCGGTAACGAGCGGCCCGCACGTGATTATCCGGTCAGGTGCTCTTTACCGCCCGGAAACAACGACCACATCCCGGCAGGCGAGCTCTGCAGAAGGGAGCGGTTTGGCACACCTCCGCACAGTCTTCAGGACGCCCGCCAGGAGCACTTTGCCGCGTGCAGCCCTAGCGGAGGGCCGCGGAAAAGCCAAATCTGCGCCACAAAGCTCAATGTGACGGTGACATACCGTAACGGTACTGCCACGGCGGTCACGCCCTGCGCGGACGCAGAAAGACACCCAGCGTTTCGCAGGTTCTGGGCCAGGGTACCCACGGTGCCCATGGTACTTGGCAGCCACAGGTGCGAGCAGTTTATTTTCCAGGCTTGTGTGAATATATTAGCGAAGATCATCCATGCATGGAAGCGTCGGCCGCCTTAGAGCCCCGGCGCTGGCCATTGTCTGGTATGCGACGAGCGTGGCAACGAGGCACTGGCCGGTCGATAATAAGGATACGCATGACGGCACGCCCCCAGGACGCGATGCTGATCGCATCTTTCCCGAATTTTTCGGCAACGGCTTGTTTCAACCGGGGGCTTTGTTGTCCAAGCCTGCGTCCGTGCCGCAGCTGCCTTCTGATGCGCTTTGCGAGCAGAGGCAACCAGGATTTATTTCCGTCGAATGCCGCCTTGCCTTTGATCGTCGAACGAAGGCGTGTGTGCGTGTGCGCGTGCGTGTGGGTGACCGGCACGGTCTCCGCCCCACGGTTCTTTCCGCTAAAATAGCGAGAAGGGTCTAGAATATATTCTGGCCTCACCCCAGCTCGCGACGGCAGATGGAATCCCGTCTGTACTGCTCGCGGCGGCGCCCGCAGAGCCTCCGACGTCAATGCAGTGCCTCCTCGTGCAACTCAATACCTACCATATCGAGCGATGGGCCCGCCCCAGCGCCACAACGACAGGACGGAAGCAAACCACGTGGCGGCCAGAGTGTCTGTGGTCCCGCGTTCGCTCGACACGGCCCACTCGCCTGGTCCCCAGCAATCGCCATGGCGCTGGAAACCCCCTGCAGACCTGGGTCGGGGGGCTCACACAGGGAACAAGACAGCTCGTCTTCTCGCATCGCATGCAGGTGACCTCGATCATGAACTTTCTATTCTCCACTTTGGCTTCCATCCTGTGCTGGCAATATGATACAATGAATAAGACTTTACACGAAAGCGACAAGTACTCGTAATAAGCTAGGAAACTCAACAAGCAGGCTAGCAGAACATGGCTCAGTTGACGTACAGAGGAAACGTGTATGTATCGTTTAGGGCGAGGCCTTTCGGTCCGAGCTGCTACTCTGGTCCTCCCAGTCGTCTTCGTTAGGGCTGCCGCGTGCCGCAATAGCAACTGCATCCGCAGTCTGTCGACATTCCACGCCACCTTCTGAGCGCACTGCCGACGACGACCCATCAGTCGGAGGTCTCTTTTGATAACGACCGGGAACACTCACAGTGCCGCTGGAGAGGTGATCAGTCAATGATGCATCGGAGCGGACAGAAGAGCATCAGCAATGCGCTCAGAGGGCGGACGGGCCAGAGATGCTTACATTAAGAGCGTCCAGCCTGCTGAAGGTTTTTCCGCAGCCTTGACAGACGTTTGACGTCTGTGATCGGGCTGCATGTAGGGCTTGGTGTCGCCTAGGCGCGCTGGGTGAGGACGCGGCGCCCGGACAAGCGAAGACGTCATGGACCACTCACTTGCAGTCGTGCTGGCGCGCAAAGCCTTTGCCACAGCCAGGCCACTCGCACACGAACGGACGCTCTTCGGTGTGGGACCTGAGGTGCCCTAGAAAGAAAAGAGACGACGCAAGTGAGCGGGTCTGGCGTGTGCGGGCAGAGGACGGGCTTTAGGCGAAAACGGGACTAACCTCGGAGGTTGAAGCGACGAGTGAATGTGCTGCCGCAGCCGGGGACCGGACACTGGAAGTTGGCCTCGTTCCGTCGGCGGCTCGCGCTGGCGGCCTGGGTTGCGCTCGTCGTGACGGTCTGCTTCTCGACCTGGAGGATGGGCGGCAGACGCGTGGAGTTCGAGCCGTAGGCTGAGCTCCCTCTCTGGGAGGACAGGGAGCCGTGGAGGAGGTTGCGCGACTGCTCGTAGAGGATCGCGGCCTGCGGAGCGCGTTCGGCCTCGCCCTGCGGGCTTCTCCGGGTTTCTCGGCGACCGGAGGAGGGCGGCATGATGGATGCCGGAGACGCGATGTGCATCGAGCCCGAGGAGTGAGACATGGAGGAGGCGACGGACGACGGCCGACTGTGCCAGCCCTGGGCGGCGACGGGCTGGAGCGAGGGCGGCGAGTGCAGCTGGGGCTGAGGCGGCGTCGGCTGCGAGTACCGGTAGTGGTGGTTGGAGCCGCCGGCGGGTGGGAGATGCATCGAAGACGGCTGGGCGTTCGCGTAGGAAGCGGTGCTGGCGAACCTGCCCTCGACGGAATAGGCGGGGTAGGCGTAGGCGACAGAGCTGTGCGGGGCGTGCGCGGTGGGCGACATGTAGCTGTGGGTGGTGTGGCTGGGAGGGAAGAAGTCGCGGTTGGAGAGGGCGAGGGGGTCGAAGGTATGTGGTGGATAAGTAGGAAGGAAGGAAGCCGCGTGCATTCTACTGTCGACTTCCATGGTGTGAGACGCCGTGCAGATAGTTGCAGTACTAGTGCCTGAGGGGAGGGCCGCCGGGAGACGCGCTTGGAACGGGAGGCGGGGACGGAAGCTGTGCTGGGGCGGGGGACGCGCGAGGCCGACACAGATGATGTCGGGCGAGGGGACTCTGGAGCAGGAGGGGTGTGCAGAGCAGCCTCTGCGGGCAGGTGCGCAGGACTTTATACAGAATGGGGAGCATTGCCGGGGAGAGAGCGCGTTGATTTGTGACAAGTCTGCGTCGGAGAGCTGGCTGTAGATCGACCCAATCTCAGATGGTGCCCCCAGCCTCCAGATCCCACAATCCGCGCGGCTGCTGAAACAGGTGGCGGTGTCCCACACTTTTTAATTTTTTTCGCCCTGGTTTCCCGTCGGTCTCCGGGGTCTATATTGCACGCGCCAATCACGCCACGGACCCCGGCCTCCCCGCGCAGCTGCGTCGGAGAACGCGACTGCCAGGGCCTCGCAGCCATCTGCTCTCTTAGCACGGCCGTGATGATGACATCGACGTCCGCGACGACGCCTAGACCCCGCGGCCAAGCGCGCACAGCCGTCGGGGCGTCGGCCGTGCCATCAAGGCCCCCCCATCGGCCGCGTCTGGCGTGTCACGGACTCTCGACACACGCGCACGCATCTCTGTCTACGCGAGACACACCCACCCGCACAGCAGGGCTTCTCGCACTACTTTGTCGGCACACCGCACGCGCCCGGTTTCGATTATTATTAGCAGTGCTACAAAATACACAGTTGGCGCGCACATCGGCCAAGCCAAGTCTCCGTACAATGTCCCAGCCCCAAGCTTGGCGCACGGAGGCAAGCAGCGCCCGACCACCTCTCTCTCTCTCTCTCTCCGCCGTTTTTCCCGCGCACACACGGCGCCGCCCGCCGCCAACCCCCGACGGCTCAGGGCGTGTCCGCCCGCGGGCTCTCGTTCGCGCTCGTGATGAGGTGCGAGTCCAGCAGCCGCCGGCGCCGCATCAGCTCAGACTCCGTAATCGTCTGCCCCGCCTTCGCGGGGGCCTTGCTGCCGCTCGTCGGCGTCGACGGAACGAGGAGCGTCGCGGGCACCGCATTCGTCTGTCCTCTATCACCACCACCACCACCCAGACCGTTGGCGGCCGCAAGAAGCGGTGCCGCGACAGTAGGTGTCCCCTGCGAGGCATCAAGGGGCATCGACGCGGCATGATGCGCACTACCATTCGCGGGTGGCAGGGAGCGCGGGCCGTCGTCGGCACGGAAGTAGTCCTCGTCGGCTGCTGCTGCTGCTCGCCTGTCGGGAGCGCCCGTCTGCTGAGGCGTCCGCGAACGCGAGCGCATCCGGCCCACGATTCGGTCTTTCGTCACGGTGCTGAAGGCCAGCGGCGGCGACCGTCGCTTCGGCGAGAACGTCAGCGCGTCGTCCGTCTCGGCCTCCGTCTCGGACGTGAGCGGCGTGCTCAGGAAGCTGCCGCCGTTCGCGAGCCCAGGCGGCCGGCTGTCCTTCCTGGCGGCTGGGCCCGCCACGACGGCGTCCCGGCCTCGACGCGTCGTCCGCTTCGCGGCAAAGGCGTCGTCCATGCGATCCGCGAGATCGTTGATCACGGTGCGTGCCTCCTGCATCAGCTGCGCCATTTGCATGTAACCATGGCTCCAATCACTGAAGATGTGCAGCTGCACCCAGTCCTCCTCCGTCTGTGCTTTCAGGTCCGACAGCTCGCGTTTCATCGCCCGCACGGACGCCTCATCACGCCCGGCGTCGTGCACGCTCATCCGGAGGTGCTCGCCATACTTCGCGCCCTTGCCCACCAACGCCTGCTCGAGCTCCCTGCGCCTGGCCCGCTTCGCCTGGCGGACGCGCCCCGCAAAGATGATGGTGTCGTCCACGAACGGGTCCTTCTCACCGCACGACATGATCAGGAGCGGGAACTGCGCCAGGAGGTGGTCCGGCGCGAGCACAGGCGACAGGTGGTAGTCTGAGGCAAAATCGGGATTGCGATGTGGGCCGATGAAGAGGATGGCCATGGCCCTCATCTGTGGGAGACGTGCGAGCACTCACACATCAGCGGCCATCACACCTGCCAACCTCGTTTCAACGCACCATGCTAGGGGCGATGATGCGATCCTGGAAGTACCCCGTGCGACTCGTCATCGTCAGGCGGGTGCCGAGCGGTGCTTGCTCATCCTCACCTGGACCCTCGTGTGACCCCGAAAGGGACGGGGCGTCCGCCGGCGGCCTTTCGTGCTCGAGCGAGTTCACGACGGGATGAAAGCGGACCCTGGCCTGGATCGGCTTGTCTTCGTCGGGTAGGATGCTTAGGTCAGCACCGTCTTCTTCGTCCGCCAGGCTGCCGGCCTCATCAGCAGGATCGGTTGCACCCTCTTCCGAACGACCAGTCAGTTTCGGCGACGGGGTCTTCGTCACCCTGCGGCTCGGTGCGGACGCGCGGGCGTGGAGGGGCGGCGCCCGCTCGCTCTTTGGCGACGTCAATGTGCGGATGGCGTCCCGCCAGCTTCGTTGGCGGCGCAACGGCCTGCGGTCGCCGACCATCGAGAGCGGGCTGACGTGCTTGAAGTGGTCCTTCTGCTCGATCAGCCCCGGGAGGCTGCCCGACGACTGTTCCGACTGGAGCACGCGCAGGTTCTGGGGCGCCATCCAGGACGTGAAGTTGAAGTCGAGCGCGGCGTAGTTGAGTTGCAGCGCGAGCGGGTGTGGCACGGCCAGCTGCGTCTCGAGGATCTTGATCATGACGGCGACCGCAACATGGGCACCCCTGCAGGTGCCACAAAGAGTCAGCACAGGTCGCGCCAGCTAACCACACCGGTACCCACGCGGAATCTCCCGTCAGGATCATGTCGAGGGTGGTCCCGGCCATGCCCACCAGCCTCCCACATGATTCGCCGAGGACGCAGTATGCGTCAAAACATTCATCAATCGCGTATGGGTACGGGTCTGTGAAATCTTTATTCAACTGAGACATCCTTCCTGCCGTGGAAATTGGAACCTCACACTCGGGTGCCTTGCCATACTCGATCGACAAGACCGGTTTTCCGGTGCGCACGGCCCACATTCGGAGGCGATCTTCGTGGTGCTCAGGTGCCATGGAGATAAACCCTCCTCCGGGAAAGTCGAGGATAAGCTCGGTCGCGCGGGACAATTGGTGCTCGGGAGGCGCGAAGAAGAGCCATGCCGTGATTTGCCGCTGATACGCCGATCGACTGGGACGCGGCAGGATGACCTTGCGGCGAATACTAATCCGTGGCAGGCTGGTTATTAGACGGAGCTAGAAAAAGGCGTTGCGTCAGCCGCGAGTTCAACCGCGTCATAGGCGAACACGACCGTGTACGCGCGTACATAAGGATTGGCCGTCTTTTCCCAGGTCGTCCGAAGAAACTCGACGGTGGGGACAGCTCTAAAGCGCCGAAGCTGCAAAGCAAACTCAACGTCCGCGTTCTTGCACCGAAAGCGTTGGAGACCAACCTTCTCGTCGGCTTCTTGTGCGTAGACTATATAATACACGGAGAACAGTACAGAACATAGGTCCTTGAGCCACTTGGGCCGGATAGACATGGCCGTAGCAAAGCCAGCATCGAGGCCTGTGCTTATCCATGTCGCGCGGTAATAGTTTGGGGAATACTGAGATCTCGGTCAATATTAGTGTGGCGGCTTCGGCTTCGAGTGGACTGACCAGGTTGGCGAGAGGTTCAGGTGCTGGTTGCAGGTTCAATCTGACTGCGACGACCAAGGAGGAGCAAAGACTCACATCCGAGCCCTAGTATCTTGTCTATGTTTCGCACTGCGTATACACCTGTCAGGGTGCTGACAATGAGTTGCCACGGAGTGAACTGCCCTGAAGACGGTATGCATGTTAGTGAGACGGCTGCAGGAGGAGACAAAGGACGCACGCAACAGCCTGTTTGCCCTGCGCAACCACAAGATTCTGGGACCCCCCGGGTTCCCATACAGGATCCTCCAGATCCAAAAGAAGACCACAAGAAATACCTGCGAATATTCTCGGTCAGTAGTGCCCGGAATGAACCACGGCTGCAGGGCGTGTTGCAGACCTGGAGCCTCTTCCAAGAGGGATTCGGGCGGCCCATGAAATGGTCTATCATGGCTGGGAGTGCAGTGGTGGATGGGCGAGCGAAGAGTGGTAGCAGGCCTCCATCTGACCGAATGGGTCGACAGGCTGTGGTCCGACGCAGTGACGGTGGGGAGGCATGTGATTATCGCCACACCGGCCAATCAATGTTCGGCAGGCGCCCATACCTCGATCGTCCCGAACTTCCACGGAATGGCGTCCGCCGTCCCACGACGTCATGCACCAGATGGATTATTATTCTCTTGAATATCGACGGGATTCCAGAGCATGCGTGAAACACGATGCAACCGGCGTGCAAAATGACCTACAAAAATTGGCGGAGGCGAAGAGGCGACAAGCGACATGGCGATTCCTCGGGAGATCTATCTCCATATCTGAGGCACTGTTACGCATGCCCCCTCTGCTCACCTCGCTCCCCTCCTCTGCTGCTTTGCCACCAAGCACACACAGTTCACTCTCCTAGACGAACGCTGCTCACTCACACAGAATGCCTGTCGAATACAAATCCGTCCCCCTAGAAGACTTCTCCGAGCACTTCTCCACGACGATAGGTATGCACCTCGTCGTGTGACCGCACGTCCGCCAGCTCACGCCACCCAGAACTGTCCAGCGTCGCCCTCGACGGCCAAGTGTGTTCTGTTTCAGACGAATTTTTCGCCAGTGCGCATCACCTTTTGTCGGTCGAGGTGAGCCATTCTCGTTTGGGGCGATTTCGTCTGCTTTTGTGCGGGCTGGGAAAATGACGCACGTACCAGCCCGCGCCAAGTCTCAAGGGCCAGTTCGGACCAAAGGGTGCGCTTTACAGCGGCTGGGAGTCCCGCCGGCACAATCCCACCTACGATTGGTATGCCGCTTCCCTGAAAGAGTTTTGTTCGCGCGCGTCCTGAGTGCGCCTGCCCGTCCCCAGGTGCATCATCAAGCTCGGATGTTCAGGTGTCGTCCTGGGTTTCGATGTCGACACCTCCCATTTCAACGGTCAGCTGATGCCTGCGAAACAGCTGCTTTGTCGCATTGCTGACGCCCCTCCAGGCAACGAGGCGCCTGAGGTCTCAGTCGACGCCATGTACCATCACGGGAGCCACCCGGCGGAAGACGACTGCAGGGTTCGTCCTGGATACGCCCATGTTCTCTGCGGCATTCTACCGGAGCCTGCTGACCCCGAGAACAGTGGCAGGAACTCCTGCCGAGGGTGCGCCTTGGGCCAAACTCCCGGCATCTCTTCAAGATCCCGCAGAGTGTGAGAGTCAGCTACGTGAAACTGAACATGTACCCCGACGGTGGCATCGTGCGTCCGATGTGTTCTTCTCTCCTTACGTACCGCAGCCAACCACTTGCTCCCCCCCAAAAAACAAAATACACACAAACAGGCCAGGTTTCGCGTGTACGGCCTCGTCGAGCCCCAATTTCCATCAGAACTGGGACAAGTGTTCGATCTCGCCCTGGTCTGCGCGGGAGGACGAGTCGTCTTCACTTCAGATCAACATTTCGGCGCCGGGTCCAATTTGATTCTTCCTGGAAGAGGTAACGACATCCCGGAGAATGGAAGGCATCGACACTGATCGCTAGTGGCTGTAGGGAAGGACATGGGCGACGGCTGGGAGACGAAGCGAAGCAGGGAGCCCAACCACAAGGATTGGGCCATTATAAAGCTGTGAGTGCACACGGCGTGGGCCACGTCTCGGGCTTCTGCTGACGGTGTGCAATTTCCAATGCTGACCGTGATGGCACAGGGGAGATGCCGGTCTGCTCTCGTACATCGAGATCGACACAGCCCACTTTATGGGCAACTTCCCCGAGTCGTGCGAAGTGCACGCAGCGTACAGCGCCGATGTCGTGCCGCAGGGTTTCGAAGAGAAGGACTGGACGCTTGTCCTGCCCCGCACGAAGCTGGGACCCCACGGGCAGCCCCGCTTCCTTCTCGAGAACGTCGACAGGCCGTACACGCACGTCAAGGTCACCATTTATCCGGACGGCGGTATCAAGCGGGTGAGGGTGTTCGGCCGCCGGGCGTGTGCACGGAGCAGGGCGGGTGTGGCGCAAGCCGGCGAACCCTTGACGACTGAGCACACGGCCGTTGCACTGCCGACTGATGATGCGTCTCCTCCCTCCGACGCGTCGGACACCGACCATCCCCCGCGCGTGCACACGACGACGACGACGACGACGACGGTGCTGCCCGCGCTGCCACTGAGCCCGGAGGCGTTTGCGCCGTTCGGGCAGGTCGTGCAGGCGTACGCGGACGTGCACGCGGTGCCTGACCCGCGCAGCACGCGCGTGACGGGCGCGAACGGGGGCACGGCGGTCAAGTTCCACAAGCTCGCGCTGCTCGAGTCGGCGTACCCGCTCGGCTCGGGCGCGAGCACGGGCATCTCTGTCTACCGGTGCACGACGCCGGTCGTGCGCGCGCGCGGCGGCGGCGCGTGGGCCGTCGCGCTGCTCGAGCGGCACCCAGCGACGAAGCAGGCGTTTGTGCCGATGGGCGAGGCCGTCGGGAGCAACGCGCTGGAGGCGACGCCTGGGAAGCGGTACCTCGTCGTCGTGGCGCTCAACGGCGAGGAGGACGACAAGCCGGACTTGCGGACGATGCGGGCGTTTGTCGCGTCGGCCGGGCAGGGGATCATGTACAACACGGGCATCTGGCGTAAGTTTTTTTTTTTTTTTGCTGCCTTTGCGGGTCTGGATCTCACTCCGGCTGCGTCTCAGATCATCCGATGGCGGTTCTGGACGGCGTAAGTCACGTTCTTGATTGGTAGCCGCGTGTGCCTTTTGTCTGACGGGTTTTTTGCAGCCGATGGATTTCGCGTGTGTGGAGACGCAGATTGGGAACGGAGACCCGCTTGACTGCGAGGTGGTTTCTCTGGATGGGTACGCGGTGGAGGTGCCCGCCGCCTAAGTAGGCAGCTCATGTACACGCGGGAGAAGTGACCGAATCGAGTAACTGTCTTTGTGGCGCGCACGTGACGATAAGATTGCAACAGATCTGGCCGAGGCATTTCTCAGCCTCGTCCTCGTCGTCACTATCTCCTCAGTTATTCTCTACAATGGCCTCGCTGGGACTGACCTCGATCCGGACAACCGGCACCAAGATCGAGATCGTCAACCAGCTGCTCCTCCCGCACTCCGTCCAGTTTGTCGAGATCGACTCCATCGAAAAGGCCCACGATGCCATCAAGCGCATGATAGCACGCTTCGTCCCACCTCCTCAACACACTCGCCGCTCACACCTCACACAGATCCGTGGTGCGCCCGCAATCGCGTCTCTCGCAGCCCTCGCGGTCGCTTCCCATCTCTCCCTTGCCCTCGACGCTCCGGCCGCCCCGGAGTGGCTCTCATCCCCTGCTGCCCTCCAGGACCATGTACAGCCCCTCCTTGATTATCTCTACACCGCCCGTCCGACCGCCGTCAACCTCAGCGCTGCCACCCGTCGCCTGACCAGCACCCTCCAGGCCGGCGTCGCCTCTGGCAAGGACGCTCGCTCCATCGCCCAGAGCCTCGTGGCGGAGGGCAAGGCGATCGACGACGAGGACGTGTCCCGGAACAGGGAGATGTCCAGGCGCGGCGCGGAGTGGCTGCTCGAACAGGTCGCCAAGAAGGGCAAGCTGCCGGCAGAGCTGCAGCTCATGACCGTCTGCAACACCGGGTCTCTCGCAACATCCGTAAGCACCCCTCCTGCCCGGCTTGCCTGTCAGCCCCGGTGACGGTTTTACGCGCGCGCGCGCGCGCGCAAGGGTTATGGCACGGCGCTGGGCCTCATCACCCACCTCCACGAAACAGGCAAGCTCAAGAGGGCGTTCTACACACAGTCCACGCCCTATCACCAGGGGTCGCGGTGAGCCCGCAACTCGCCCCTCGCGGCCAGGCCCCACCAGCGCTGATGGTCGAGCCCCAGACTGACCGCGTTCGAGCTCCAGTCGCTCAAGATCCCCTCCACGATGCTCTGCGACAGCATGGTCGGTTCGCTCTTCCAACACCACGACATCGCCGCTGTCGGTAAGTCCACACGCACGCGCCGAGTCCTCGGCGCCGGCCTCTTCCTCCTCCTCCTCCGCTGATCACGGTCCCACATACACACAGCCGTCGGCGCCGACCGCGTCGCCCGGAACGGCGATACCGCGAACAAGGTGCGCACGCCCACCGCACACACTTGTGTGCTCTACGACGCTTTTGCAGCGTGTGGGGACAATGCCTGACACCGCGTCGCGCAGGTCGGAACGTACAACGCCGCCGTCTTGGCCGCGCGCCACGGGATCCCGTTCATCGTTGTGGCGCCGGTGAGCACGGTCGACCTCGAGACCGAGGACGGCAGCAAGTGGGTGGCACCGACGTTTTTTTTTAATTGTTAATGCTTGACGAGCGGGGCGTTCACCTTTTCGTGCCAGGATCCCGATCGAGCAGCGCCCTGCGCTGGAGGCCTGCTTGGTCCGTGGCGCACTCTACCCCTTCGCCACCGATGAAGGCGGCGTCAAGCAGCAGGCGACCGTCATGGTGACGCCGGACAACCTCGACGGGGTCTACAACCCGAGTTTCGACGTCACACCCGCCGAGCTGATCACGGCCATCGTGACTGAGAAGGGTGTCGCGGTGAAGGCGGACGGGGCGACGCGTTTCGATCTCAGCAGCGTCGTGTAAAGAGTTTTCAATGTAGAAAGCTTAACTGTGTAGACGACAGCTGTCTTCTGGCGGGATTACATATGCAATGTAAGAGATTTGCAGGCCGGTCGCTTCAGATCGCCGAGCTGGACAGCATTTCGTCATGGGAAAGCTTGTCAGAGCGTCACCGCGAAGCGGGATCCTCGTGCTTGTACACACACACCCATGTTCATACCAACCCCAGCGTCGGCATACCAGGGTCCCGACGCTAGAACGTGCACTACATTCCGTGCATAAGCCATGGTACATTGAAACGCGTGCAGGGGCCATAGCAACCGCCGGACAAGCGTCGCCGCCGCTTCTGCTTCAGCCGGCGGCGCCCTCGAATGGTGGTGAGCACGGCTACTTTCGAGTGGAAGAGAGTACACACAGGCCGTCAGAACGGCAAGCGAACTGGTTGTCCAGGGTGATGGTGATGAAGACAAAAAAATGTTGATCCCTGCAGGCCCCCCCATCTTGATCGGCGTACTTGAGCCGTGTGGGGGGTCGCCGACGCCTCCCATCTTTCACCTCTACCTTCCACCTTCAGCCCGGGACCCGCGCCCTCCCTCCCTGTCGTTCTTTTTCTTTCCACCTTCGACACCATGAAACTGTCCGCTCCTTTCGTCGGCCTCATCCTCGCGGTCGGCGCCGCCCAGGCCGCGTTCCCGCACGCTGAAGGCGGCCTCTCTGCCCGCGAGCACCACAAACGTCTCGGTAACCATGCGCGGGACCTCGTCAACGGCCGCACCATCGTCCGTCCGCGCCGCCGCTCTGACGGCACCAAGAAGTGCAAGGCTAAGACGTCGGTGAGTACCCGCTGCCGGGCGCGTCGTCGGGTGGTGCGCTGATCTGTGGTGCTGTGACAGAGCTTGGGCGCGCCGCCCTCTTCCACCGCTGCAGCCCCTGCGCCTGCGCAAACCAGTCCTGCGTCCACCGAGTCTGCTGCTGTCACTACCAGCGCCGCGCCCTCTCCTCCTCCCTCTGAGGCGCCTGCTACCACCAGCGCTGCGCCCTCGCCTCCCCCCTCCGAGGCACCTGCCACCACTAGCGTCGCCCCGCCTCCGCCTCCGCCTGCTTCCAGCTCTTCTGCAGCCTCGGCCGCCAGCGAGAGCGCTGGTGCGTTCGCGCTCAACACCCTCACGTCGAGCGAATGCGGTGCCAGCGGTGCTACAGGCAAGTAGGACCCTCTGTTGAACTCTCAAAAAAAAAAAAATGAATCAACCTGTTGTTGCTGTTGTAGAACAAATCACGGCGACCGCCGGGCCCAACGGCGCGGAGAGCTGGCTGAACTGCGGGATCCAGGGCGCGGGGTGGAACCCGCCGCCGATGCAGGTCAGCGACGTCGTCTCGAAGGACCTGAACGACGCCCTCTCGGAGCCGAACAGCCCCTTCGCCAACTGTGAGCCGTACGTCAGCTACTTTTACCAGTACGGCGGCCAGTACGGTGGTGAGTTGAGGTTCAGAGATGTGAGCGTGAGGCCGCTGTTCTGAGCTGCTTTTTTTTTTTTCGCAGTCCCGCCTATCTTCCTCGCGTCGATCGCCATGCAGGAGAGCTCGTGCGACCCCACCAAGACCGGTGGGGCCGGCGAGCAGGGTTTGATGCAGATCACTGTCGTACGTCTTCCAGCCCACCCGCGCATATCCGGTCCATCCACTGACGCGTGTCCTTTTTTTTCTTTTCGCACAGGACAAGTGCGGCGCGGCGCCCAACGGCAACTGCAAGGACCCGAACTACAACATCCAGCAGGGTGCGCTCTTCCTGTCCGGGCTCATCAGCGACAACGGCGGCAACGTCCTCCTCGCCGTCGGCCAGTACAACGGGTGGGTGAACGGCATGACCGAGGCTCAGGCCACCGCCGCTGCCGACACGGGCTGCTGCCCGTGCCAGAACAACCTCGACTAGTACGTGTTCCCCCCCCCCTCCCCCCACCCGTTTTCCTGCTCTCTTCTTGCTACGGGTGTGCTCTGGTGCTGACACCGGCGTGCGATTGCAGCCTCATGCAGTTCTTCAACGGCTGGGTCCTCGGCACCGACCCCACCGCCAGCCCCCGCCTCGGCCAGTTCTTCAACCTCGACATCTGCGGCACCGGCCAGTAGAACTCAAGACGCTCGCGTCTCTTTTTCTTTTTCGATGATACCCCCTCCCACCTCCCGCTGGCCGCTGGCGCCGCGCGCACACCCCCATGGCCCACCAACGCTTGATGCTTGATGGCTTCTCGATATGCATATGACGTGATGACTCTTGCCGCTGCTGTTGTTAATGTTCCGCGCAGTGCATATATTGTTCTCCTGCTGGTTAATCATACGCATATTCACGCCTAACCTGCTGTGCTTGATTATCTGGTCGGCTCCGACCGGCGTGGCATATATAAGGATTCGCAGCTAGTTTGCTCTTAAAGTTGATGGCTGGTACATTGATCGTCCAATGACTTTGGTACTCGCAGGAGAGCTCGGGCGCTCCAGCGTCCTGCCACCTTCCGGTTTGAGTGAAAGGCCTCCCAGAGTGGTATCCGCTCAGTAGCGACCTTGTCGAGGCTATACACATGTGAGTCTGCGCAAGTGTCATTTGGCGTTTAATAGCTGACTGAAAATGGGCTTTGTTACCGTGTGCAGCAGGGCTTCTCGAATAGACTCGGAGCACATCGGACGCAATCGACTGACTGGTACTTCACCGTGTTGACACCAACTTCTTGGCGGTGTGCATAGCAACTTATTGACGCGACCCTGGGCACTTGTTAGAAGTTCTATGCGCCCTTGAGCACGGCATGTGTTGTTCGGCACAAGCCTCGTTCCCAGTCAGGTATAAGGGATGCCTGTTCGGGTACAAGACACGCACAGGACAACGTCTCCTGGCGTCGCGATGTTGGCGAAGGCTGCGGACCGTTCAAAAATCCCTGTGGTCCCTCTCTTTGGTGTGCTGCTGCTGACTCGCCCATCCCTCTTCCCTGTTGTCCATTCGAGGCCGCATCCGTCTGTGCTGCGCACATACGCTGGAGCGTTGCCGTTCAAGTATCTGTCCTGTACCTATAGTACCGTGCCGCAAAATGCCGCTCAAGCTTTTCGATTTCGCGTTCCTCTTTTCCAAGAACAGGACGGAGAACAAGTGCTCGATTGACATCCTTCCGAACGACGTCCTGGTCGACGGCGTGTTCGACTATCTCGACGTGGTCGATATTCTGAGGCTCCGGCGAGTACGTGCTTCGTGTCTTTCATGCGAACGCGTCAAATATTAACGCATTTCTTGCAGGTAAGCAAATTATATTACCACCTTACGCACCATGCCGTCGTTTGGAAGCGCTTGGTCCAGCGGACTACGCTTCCTCTCCCGCCTCTCCCGCCTACGAAGCGGCACAACCTTGAGAACCTCACCGGAATCGAGTGCGAGCGGCTCCTCACGCGGGCGTACTCGGTCGACAAAATATGGTGTAAGAACCCGAACTTCTACGATAATTGGCAGTTCGATGCATACTACCACATCGCCCACATGGCCATGCTCCCCGGCGGCCAGTTTCTCGTTGCATCTGTCTGTGACAAGGACAGGGAAGATTGGTGGGTCGTGGTGTACGTGTTGGACAATAGGTATACCGCGGTTCCGATCCTGCGCGAGTCGACAAGGTCCAAGGCATACCATCTTACGGCAAAGTACCTTACGTTGCATGGTGTCCACGGGATCATGGTGTCTTTCGTAACAAGGCTCTGGAAGCATCGTGCCGACTGGGACCGGGGGTGCGTTACTGTCTCAGTGAACATCGACGCATAGCTGATTATCTGTTTCGTAGAGTTAACATTAACGAGTATGCCGCCGAGTATGATCTCGACCCGCCTTACCCGATCAAGTACGAGTGCCACACGTACCATATTCCCCTCGAGGCTCTCGAAGCCCAGTCCGACCCTCGCATGATACCAAACTCGGGGGACTACATCAGCCGTGCTCTGGTGCAGGCCAAGGGCTTCAACCACGTCTACATGATACGGTCATCTACTCCGATCTCCTCCGTAAGCCTTGACGACATTTACGGCGTGCCCTGCATCACGGCCGTGAAGCAGCCGGCGACCATCATGTTTAAGCCCCTGACGGTCCCATCTGTTGCGCCATCTATGGTGACCCTGGCACCAATCCAGGGTCATGAGCACTTCGTGAGTGTTCCATCTTGTTCCTGTGTGTCTCAGAGCTAAAATATATTATAGTGTCACCGCATCAAAGCTGTTCGAGCGCTGCCTCTGCAGCGGCAGTGGCTCGTATTCCACGAAAGTCGGCTTCCGCAGAACCTATCCAGGCACCCGGTCACCTGCTTCGAGTTGATCAGTATCCCCGACAACAAGACGGGTGAACGACTCGAATATATCCATTCATCGCAACTGGACTACTATCTCGCGGACGACACGTTCGCGGAGGTGTACATCACGGAGCACTCGACGCCGAACTGGTTCGACGACTCGATCGTGCCTAGCATCCGGACGCGCTGGCAGGATGACGGCTGGAGGCCCGGGACGGTCAGCGCATTCCTGCGGACGACGTCGCCTGAGGACGGGCTTCTGCGCATGACCTTCTATCCACGCAAGGTCGAGCAGCAGTCTGGGCACGCCGCCGCGCCCGTCTTCGCCGGCCGGTCACACGAGAAGCCCAAGCACGTCTGGCGGTACGACCTCGAATGGTGCTCGCCCGTGCGTTTCATCACCGCACACACCAACTGCAAGTACCGCATCCTCGCCGGCTCGCGCCGCACGCTGCTGTACACCGTGCCGTGGGACGCGATCTCGAACAGTCCTGAGATCCACGCGTTCCATCGCTACTACGACAGCGAACTGGAGGCCGAGCATCCGGAGATGGTGAACGGAGAGCTGGTCGTCAACGAGGCCCCACGCTATCCTATCCACCGGATGCCTTTCCAGTTCCCGCCGGGCCAGAGGTTCGAGACGATCTGCTGGGACGAGACCATCGGGCGGGTCTGCTTCGTCGCACCCGAAGACACGAGGGTCCTGGTGCTGGACTTCTCTAAGCGTCCTAAAGAGGGTGAGTATCAGTTCTTCTGACCTCCCGTGGGATATTCATCCGCGTGGCGAAGATTTCTTAGGACGCAGGCTGCCGATTGCCCTTGAGCAGGACGAAGACGCAATGCTCGAGCCCGATGAGTATCATGAAACCCCTGGCGAGCCTGTCGCTTGAATGGAAATCACAGAAGCTCTGTAGCGGACCATGTCGTCGGCCTCAATTTGAGACTGACCCTGAGCTGTTGCACGATTAATCTCATGAACATTAAACTTTTCCCTCTTGCCTGGGACTTCGTTAACTCTTAGAACTCCATCCGCTTGCGCTGTAGACGCAGTCATTGTGCCGCTTAATGTCTAGCATAGTGATATCGCTGCATTGTAACATTAATCTACGCGATAGGCGTGATGGAATACGTCCACAAACACGATTTATTACCGGCAACGAGACCGAGATGGCTATGCCAGCTTTTGACCACGATCTCCACATGATCTTTCCGTGGAGATGAGTCCAGAAATGCGAGAGCTGGGCCGGAAGACCCTAGCATATTCCTGGGAATTGGCGCATCATCCTGTGCGCAATCCGCGTGGACATGCGTTTGGGCCTCTCAATCTACGAGACCAGTTCCTTCCTGCCTGCAACAACCATGAGCTCAGAATCTGGTCTCTCGACTCCTGCTTCATCCACACCACCGACATCGGCACCGGCATCACCGGCGTTGAATCCAAAGGAGCTACCAGAGCCTACGGAAGAGGCGAAACAAGAGGCGGCTAGAATCAAGGCCTCGGCCAACAAGGCGTTCCTCGGTATGTAATCGCGTGCGCTCTCGGGCACTCTCGCCTTAGCTAACTTTGCACTTAACGCACGCCTATAGATCATCAGTTTAACGAAGCGGCTGATTTGTACACGAAAGCCATCGAGCTGAATCCCAAGGATGCCACGCTTTGGTGTAATCGGGCCTACACACGGGTCAAACTCGAGGAACACGGGTATGGACTTGCGGATGCCACTACGGCCATTGAACTCGATCCGAAGTACGCGAAGGCATACTACAGGTACGTATCAATATGCTCTGCGCGAGACGATGGCACTGAAGAACTAGCAAGACGAGCGACATGCTACCTGCAGACATTGAAGTACAAGCAGGCTATCGCAGACTTCAAGAAGTTGCTCCAGCTCGAGCCGCAGAATCAGCTCGTGCGGACTCAGCTGGATAGCACGACAAGGATCATGCGAAAGTTCGAGTTCGAGAAGGTAGTGCTCGCATGTGCGTTAGACTACCGCGGAGCTGACGCGTCCCTCAGGCTATTGGGATGGAAGAAGAAAAGAATGCGGTCGAGAGATGTCTCGAAATAATTCAAGAAGGTGCGTGCATCGTATCGGTGCTTTTCAACGTAGACGTTCTGATGTTCCTCATCAGGCGGGTGCGATCTCGACAGAACGTACGACGGCCCGAAGCTTCCCCAGTCGGAAAACGGCAAATATTCCATCGACCTCGACTTCATCCACGCTATGCTAGAGCTGTTCAAAGCGGGCAAGACACTTCCACGAAGGTTGGAACTTTGATATATCACCGTACGGCGACTATTCTAAACAAGTTCGAGTTTAGATATGTATGGGAGATCATCTTGGGTGCTCACAACGAGTTCGTCAAAGAAGACAGTCTAGTAACCCTTGACATTGAGGACGGCACGACTTGCGATGTCATCGGTGATGTGCATGGCAAGTACATATGCACTACGCTATGTCGCTTGCTGACCTATGGGCAGGCCAATTCTACGACATGCTGCACCTCTACTCACTTACCGGAGAGCCGAATGAGAATCACTGCTTGCTCATGAATGGCGACCTCGTAGACCGTGGATCATGGTCCATCGAAGTCATCCTTACCGCGCTCGCGTTCAAGTGTGAGTATCCTCGCTCTACGTGTTAAAGCGCTGCTAAGGCGCTCCACAGGGCTGTATCCAAACAGGATGTACATTAACCGTGGAAACCATGAGACAAAGGAGATGAACCGGACGTACGGCTTTGAGGGTGAGGCGAAGCACAAGCATGGCGAGCAAACGTACAAGGTACGTTAGATGCTATATCGTATCTGGGAGTTCTCACTAACCTGTCTCCTAGTTGTTCGCTCATGTCTTCACAGCCAGCAAGTCGCACTCCTTGTGAATTAGATCACGACTCTGACATTCCAGTTCTACAGTGCCACTGGCAACCCTGATCTGTGCGACTAAACCTCCGTCATCACCTTCGAAGAGCGCGATCCTGTCACCTGAGGGCAAGAAGCGGTTCTTCGTTGTGCACGGCGGCCTATTCAGCAAGGATGGCGTCACGCTCGAGGAAATTCGCAAGATCGAACGTATAGGACGTCAACCGGGTACGGAAGGTCTTATGTGTACGTACCGTTCATAGCCGCATCCCAGCATTTTATATTGACCGTGTCGTCCTTTAGGCGAGGTACGCAAACGGTTCCACTTCTGTCGATAATTCAGATTACGTACTGACTGCTTGTCTGTTCAGCTTCTCTGGACGGACCCGCAAGAGCTCCCGGGGCGAGGTCCAAGCAAGCGGGTACGTCCTTGAGCCCTACATTACCGCGTAGTACCCACCTGTGACGGGACATAGGGCGTAGGCATTGCTTTCGGTCCTGATGTCACTCGACGGTGGTGCGAGGCTAATGGAGTAACTGGTGTAATTCGCAGTCACGAAGTCCGTCAAGGTAGGGTCTTCACACTCATGGTAAGATATTGTACTGACCTACTGTGTTAGATGGATACGCAGTCGAGCATGGCGGGCTCTGCACAACGGTCTTCTCAGCACCCAACTATGTTGACCAAACTGGCAACAAGGGCGCATTCGTGAGTGGTGTCTTTATTTTTGTATGCCACATGTATCTCAAAGTCGCGGCAGATCCGTATCGATGCGGAAGGCACACAAAGATACACGCAGTTCGATGCCAAGCCGCACCCACCGATGAGACCTATGGCTTATGCCTCCGGCGGCCTAGCAAGCCTCCTCATGTAAGGGCATTGCAGCTGCAACGACTGGCCGACACGCTGGCATTCTCCGGGATTTCAAGTGAAAGGATGACGTATCGGTATTGCCACACGTATCGCTATGTTTACTCATACTTTCCTATACGGAACTACTCACCATGACCTACCATCTGTGCTCTGTTGTGTACGTCACATTGCTACAACCTAAACTGCATCACCAGAGCCGCCATACCCGGAAGCGCAAATGGGCTCTAGAGGCTTGACTGTGCTTGTGCGTGTGCAGTGCTCGGTCCCGACCAGTCAAGTGATATAGTCCCAGCACGAGGTCACGGCGCAAAGTGTACATCGTTCGTCGAATGAGTGAGAGTTCTGCGCATGTAAGACTGGCCGCTACCTGCAACTGTTACACAGCCCGGGCTCTTCCAAAGGTGGCCAACTCCCGACGCGCCGGCGGGGTTACACCCGAACGGAGGCAGGATAACAACTTAACAACCGCATCGTCTCACTTACAGAGGCCAGACAGTATTATCCGATAGATGGTGGACGTTCCAAAGCCCTAGGTCACCCATGTACGATCCAAAGATGCGCCTCGACGAAGCTGGAGCTGATGCTATGGGCGTCTGTTCCCCGAGGTTCCACGTCGCCTTTCACGCCCATGGCAATTCGGCCTTATTCATATTCATTCTCTCCGCCGCCGGTATTTATACGCTGGGACCTGTAGTTTAGTCCTCGCGACTACTCTACACTCGTTCTCATGCTGCCGCGGCATCTATACACGCTTGTGTTTACGTTCCTGCTGCAAAGTGGTGCGGAGGCGAGCGGCCCACAGACTTCATTAGCAGGCGGAGGGCTTGGAAAGAAGGAACAAGTGCAGGACGTGCTAGATCACAAGCCGGTGACAGAAGCATCCTGCAAACAGTTCGTATGTGCCAGCTACTCTCTTTTCACGATGCCGTCATAACATCTGCGCTAGCCGACTGGTCCAATAGACACGACTTCGTGCGACTTCGAGACAGTCGAAAGCGTGAACGATGCCCTCTACACTCATCTTCATGATCTCGTGCAAACGCCGTTCTTCAAGTACTTCAGAGTGGATCTTTACCGTGACTGTCCCTTCTGGCAGGAGCATGGTCTTTGTATGAATAGAGAATGTGGGATTACGACTGTGGACGAGGTTCGTGAGCACTCTTCACTATCGCACTATCCTTCTGACTTCTATACAGAAAGAGATACCTGAAATTTGGAGGGCGGCTGCGCTGAGTAAGGTCGAGATACCACATAAAGACCAGGTACGCTACAGTTCGCTTCGGCTCAGACATGGTAGCTTACCGATCTCACAGCTGCATCACTTACCGGGATGCTACTACAGAGATTCGGATTTCTGCTTCTTAGATGATATGTCCGAGGGTGATTACGTAGACCTCACGCTCAACCCCGAACGTTTCACCGGCTATACAGGACCGTCAGCGCATCGCGTTTGGAGTTCAATATACGAAGAGAACTGCTTTGGTGTCTCCCACTTTGATACGCTTGGTGCATTCACGGAAGAAGAGGAGGCAAAGACCTGTCTCGAACAACGGGTGTATTACAAAATCATTTCAGGTACATCTGCTCTTACTTTGCCTGCGCCTTCTCTCACTAGATGCAGGCCTTCACACAAGCATTTCAACGCACATCTGTTATGACAACTTCAACCAGTCCACAGGCGAATGGGGTCCAAACCTCCAATGCTTCATCGACCGTGTCGCGTCCCACCCCGAACGCTTGGAGTACATGTACTTCAACACAGTCTTACTCCTCCGGGCAGTTGCTCGCATAGGCCCCTATCTTTCGGCATATGACTATTGCGGTGGCACCGGAAACCACGAGACCGATCCGTACACCTTAGGTGAACTGAACAGTGTAATCAATATCGCACAGAATGTCGGTAAATTCGACGAAAAGACTCTGTTCCGTGGGCCGAATGCAGAGGTAGGTATTCACTTCCTTCAGCTTGGCTTGCATCGCACTCATAGGCACATAGATCCTGAAAGAAGAGTTTAAGCAGCACTTCCGCAACGTTTCACGCATCATGGATTGCGTGGGCTGCGACAAGTGCCGTCTCTGGGGCAAGGTCCAGACCTCCGGTGTAGGCACCGCTCTGAAGATCCTCTTCGAACTCGATGAGAAAGCTCTCGAGTATGTCTTCCCCTTACGATTAGACTAGCTGAATTACTCATCGGAACACAACAGCCCGAAGCTAAACCACAATTTGCTCTCACGCTCTGAGGTTGTTGCTCTAATAAACACGCTGCACCGCTTCACAGAGAGTCTGCATGCCGTGAACGAGTTCAGGGACATGTGGCAGCGCGAGGAAACCGCTCAGAAGGGCAAGCTACTCGAGAAGGTTGATGACGCGTCATCAGTAAGCGCGTCCACTACTCGAAACCTTTCCCGCAGATTAACTTGGCTGTGTCACTAGCCGCGGCAATCCCCTCTGGCTGGTAGCGACGTTCTCAGGTACGAACTGCTTGCAGACCTGCAACGCTGGCTGCGCGTATGCAAGCAGAGCACAGTATTCTGCGTGAGAGGCATCTTGGCCGGTCTCCGGAGCGCGATAGAGGCTGTTACAAAGCTGTTCCAGCTCTCCGGTAAGGATCGTGCACCGCATATCGAGTTCTAGCGTCGTGTCTCTTTTTGTCTGTCCGCTTCCCAGGCTAGTATTACAATTCGCAATACTCCAATGATGCACATTGATGCACGCTTCCCGACGGCACTACGTTCTGCCTGAAGTGGATGGTCAAGCGGCGTGAATTAGGTATTGTGTACATTAAGTCCGCACAACAGAAATAGCTCGACAGATAGTTCACAACAGCAACATTGACATGAACGAACGCATAGCGATGCTAGAAATACAGTTCAGGGATGAGTCCGTGTGTATAAAGTACGTGACTGCTCGTCTACGAAGAGAGGGTAAAATGCGTATGTGATGATCAGAGTAGTGCTCGGCCTTCGTGGGCCAATCCATTATAAAGCAACATCCCAGACAAGAGGCAGAAGCTCCTCTCCCTGGGAATCCAGAAGCCTCCTCCACAACATGACGAGGCTTCACGCGAGCCTCGGAGTGCCTCCTCGACCCGCCCTCGGTAGAGCACCGGCTCCCGATCGGGGCGAGCGTATCCGAGGCCGCAAGCCGTCCTGCGTACTCACGCGGCTAGTCGCAACATCAGGCCGTATGTCACGATCGTGCTCTTGGCCCTGTTGAAGCGCCCTATGCCACTAATCCCGTGCCCAGTATGGGCGCGCCGGTGGCCGTGCTCAAAGGCATGCGTGATGGTGGTGGTAACGTTCGGGAATGTACGTGTCGTAAATCGGGGAAGCACGGGAAAACGCTTTGACACCAACGAGAATAGTGTCGTAACAGAGAGAGCCTTGGTCATGACCTGCATGGCCTGGAGTCAGCGATGTTGACAGACAAGGGAAGAGATAGAGCGGACTGCTTGTTATTATCGCCCGTGTCATGAGGAGTCTCCTGTGATATTGAACATGCCGTCAATGTCTGAGTATGGGCTCCGGATCAGCAGGGCCTCGGCCTGCATATTCTGTAACATGATATTCAGTCGTCAAGGGGCAGTCAGCATGAATGGGAGTCGTACTGCAATCGTGATATTAGAGCTCATTCCGATCAGCGCCGCATTGCCGAACGTGATACGAGGACTCAATGCTTCGATGTGTTGTGAGAAGTAAGGCAAGGAGGTGAGGAAGTTCGCAATATACTGCGGTGTCGAGGTATTGGGGAAGAGGAACGTGATGTTAAAGTCCAGATGGTCCGGTGCTGTGAGGTTGGAAGGGACCTAGTGCAGACAGTCAGATGAGGGGAGAGGCATAGAGCTATGTACCCACATAAATATACAGCCCATCAGACCCGGCGAGATTCATGAGGCAGACACTTGTCTGCTCTCGAATATCTGTCCCAGTATACGACATGAGGACATCCACGGTAGCCCGCGGATTGGTAGAGTTGGGATTGATGCCCACAGTGAGTGAACCCGTAACGGGCCCCACTAGAGACGGCACACACGAAACGTTCGACTGCACAAAAATCGTCGGCGTCACCGGTAGATAGTACTCCAAGCTAATCAAAGAGGTCAGTAATCAACAAAAGATAAATGAGGCGGACGACGTACTGGGCTTGTAAGACTCCATCCTGCCACTGATCCTTAAAGTCCCACGAGTTGCATTGCGTCGCCGAGTCGACAGGAACCGGCGTCGCTCCCAGATTGAACCCTGTTGATGAATTACTGCCCAACTGCGGCGGCGAGGGGTAGAGTACGTTTGGGGTTTTGTAGCTTTCACTATCATGTCGTGTTTTCTAAACAGTGGATTCAGAGATACAGAGAGAGAAGGCACAAGGAAGAAACACACCACTACGATCAGGGGCACGCCGATGGCTACGGTCACCACAAAATACGCGACAAGGCCGTATATGAACCACCTCCACCTCCTCGACCTGGGCTTTACATGGAAGGGCGTTTTCAGATTCTCGTGCTCCTGTGAGGTCTCGTAGTCTGGAAGCGACGGTGTCGGGGTCCCAGGCCGCCTAGCCACTGGGTGAGCGGGCGGGGGGCTAGCGATCTTGGGGAACTGCTCCTGGTCTTCATCGAGAATAATCATCGCAAGCGATGTGGGGAACCAGAGAGCACAACTATCGCATCCAGAGGAACGACGAGCAGGGGGTGAAGGCGTTATCGAGGACGTCGAGGACGAAGATGGTCGTGAGTGTGGGAAGGGGAGAGTGGAGGGAGGGCGGCTAAATCCACGCGCTGACACAAACCAACTGACTACTGAACGTAAATAGGCGGCGTCTCCTTGTTGACCCCCCGCTGTGTTGGTGGCGGGCATGCTGTATACAGCTACCTCCCCCTGCGGTGTGAGCATACGGAAGGCGTACTCCGCATCGCTCTGGAAGGCTCTTTAACTGCTTGATATCGAACGAGACTCGATAGTTTGAGCCGTTCGTAACGGCGAATGGAGATATTCAGCCAGCAAGGAAACAGCGTCGAATATCAGAACTGTTCTATGATTGTCTCTCGCTCGTGCGGATCGGCGTGGACTGTCCGTGCCACAGTGTCGACGCTGGTGTTATCCACAGGCTTTTCCTCAGGAATAAATGATCGTGGCACGTAGAGTCTGCTCGACTGATTCTCTGGTCACGTCTCTGGCTCGCCACGCCCAGTGTCCTCCTCGGGCTCCTTCGGAAGATCGCACACTCTGGCGGTCTTGCCCATCCAAAAATATCTACCGGAGCATTTGTGCGCATCATTTTCCTCAACGGGAGAGACGGGCGCTCCGACTTGGAACGACCGGCCTCACTGTGATGTCATTCGATGCAACTGAAGAGCATTTCGCGGACTGGAGTGTGAAACTTTGAGTGGGCTTTGACGGCACTATCGTGAGGGATTGGGCAGTAGACTACGTCAATCAATGCAGTGTAAACGACGCGGATACCGCGTCTCACCTTTTTCTTTTCCTATGTAGGTGATGCCACTTTGTCCGTCATGGGTTAGGCGAACACTAGCAACACTAGTTCAAGTCGGTCGTGTCCAAATGAAGTAACTCCGAGACTCGGATAACGTCGACATTATTTGAGTATATAGTAGTCAAGTATTAAGCTCATAATGTACAAGGTACCTAAATACATATGTGAGGCAATAATGCGGCTAGCTGGGGCCTCCAGCCAAGATCGAAGCTCATGATGCATAAGCGGTGGCGATGCGTATGTTAAAGGGAGGTGGGAACAGACCATATGCATTATAAGCTTGGCAACTACATGCATAGAGCTTCGTCAACAGTCTCAGCTACCCAGCTGACGTGCACACATACATGCCACGTACGATAACACAGTTCAAGCATATACATTTGGCACCTGTCTTGTGTGCACAGTATGCTCGAACTCATCCATCCAGCTGACGTATAACATATACATGTCACGTACGACAAGACAGTTTAAGCATCTGCACTTGGCATCTGTCTTGTGTGTATAGTATGCTCGAACTCATCTTTTCAGCTGTCATACACATACACATGCCATGTACGATAGGACAATTCAAACATATGCACCTGACATCTGTCTTGTGTGTACAGTGTGCTGAACTTGAAGAAATCTCCTTCCCTCGCTGTTAAGGCGGACTTAGCGCTGGCCTCGCCCCATTCCATCACTAGCTCCTCACTCGCAGTACATATCGTCTCCATATTCCTGACAGACGAGAACAAGCACACGTTGTTTACCGTGAGAGGATCCGCAGAACAATTTGGAATTACCGTCTGCAAAGTAAGAAAACTTCCGAAGGAGGTGCTCGTCAGCAGCGTACGATTGCGTGATAAGTTCACCATCGCACGCTATATAGTCTGGCCTCCATGCAGTCCGCATCTACACTCAAATCTCCTCAGCCATTGTGGCGTCCTCTCAGAAAGACACCACGCCCTTCTTTTCTCTTGTGAATTAGACGTTTAGCTATGGCCAACCAACCCCACGGCGGTATCCTAAAGGTATATTTTCTGTGGCGATGATCCATCGGAGCTCCTAATAACACCATTGCAGGACCTGGTTGCACGCGATGCACACATTCACGAAAACCTTAAGGCCGAAATAAGGACTCTCCCTGACATCGTCCTGACCGAGGTAGGAGCAGCTTGTTCCGATCTGCCAGAGTAGACTGAAGTTTGCGTATAGCGCCAGTTGTGTGACCTCGAACTCATTGCCAATGGAGGTTTCAGCCCTCTGGAAGGATTTTTGAACGAGGCCGACTACAAGAGGTGCGTATGGTGCCACATGCTCGAGTCCCATGCTCACGGCCTCAAAGCGTTGTGGACAACCTTCGTCTCGCAGATGGCACACTCTGGCCAATGCCTATCACGCTTGACGTCTCCCAAGCAGATATCGATAACAAGCACATCGCCGCCGGTAGTCGTATAACGCTCCGGGATCCACGCGACGAGGCAGCACTTGCTATTATCACTGTGGAGGATGTTTACCGCCCCGACCAGCTGAAGGAGGCGACTAAGGTCTTCGGGGCCGACGATCCAGCTCACCCGTCGGTCAGCTACCTTCGTAACAAGGTCAAAGAGTTTTATATCGGAGGAAAGGTACAGTCTATCCAGCCCCCGACACACTTCGACTACGTTGCTCTTCGCTGTAAGTGTGGCTTTAATCCGTCTATAACCACGCTTCTGACACTCACTGCAGTTACACCCGCTGAGCTCCGCTCGCACTTCAAGAAGGTCGCCTGGCGCAGAGTTGTTGCTTTCCAAACTCGTAATCCGATGCATCGTGCGCATCGCGAGCTGACCGTCCGCGCTGCCCGGCAGAGGCAAGCCAACGTCCTCATCCACCCCGTTGTCGGACTTACCAAGCCGGGCGACGTCGATCACTATACTCGCGTCCGTGTATACGAGGCAATTATGCAGAAATACCCGAACGGAATGGGACACCTCGCTCTTCTTCCGCTTGCGATGCGCATGGCCGGTCCTCGTGAGGCGGTCTGGCACGCCATCATTCGTAAGAACTTCGGCGCGACACACTTCATCGTCGGTCGTGACCACGCCGGTCCGGGGAAGAATTCGCAGGGCAAAGACTTCTACGGCCCGTACGACGCGCAGGATCTCGTTTCGATGTACCATGAGGAACTCCAAATCGAGATGGTGCCCTTCCAGCAGATGACGTATCTTCCGTCAACGGATGAGTACCAACCCGTCGATGAAGTACCGAAGGGTGTACAGACTCTTGACATCTCCGGCACTGAGCTCCGCAGACGGCTGAAAACTGGCGCCCCCATTCCTGACTGGTTCAGTTACGAGTAAGTTTGCTATTCCCGCAGAGCTAAACATCCTCTTACCACGCATTACCACGCAGTGCTGTCGTTAAGACTCTCCGTGAGAGTTATCCACCACGGTCGAAGCAAGGATTCGTCATTCTTCTAACGGGTCTCCACAACTCCGGCAAGGACACCATTGCGAAGGCCCTGCAGGTCACTCTCAACCAGCAGGGAGGCCGCAGCGTGTCTCTTTTCATTGGCGACAACATCCAGGCAGAGCTTGGCGCCTCGTTCACCGAGTCCTCGGAGGATCGTTCTAAGAACATGCAACGCCTCGGCTTCGTTGTTGCTGAGCTTGCCCGTGCAGGTGCTGCTGTCATCGCAGCGCCTGTTGCTCCCCAGCAAGCGTCGCGGGACCTTATCAAGGAGACAGTCTTGCACTCGGCAGGTGCTGGCGGAAACTTCTTTACAGTGCACGTCGCAACGCCGCTCGAGCATTGCGAGGCTATCGACCGTAAGGGTGTCTACTCCCGCGCTCGTGCCGGCGAGTTGAAAGGCGTTGCCGGTGTCGACATCGTATATGAGGCTCCCGAGCGCGCCGACCTCACCGTCGACGTTACTACTCAGAGCATACCTGAGATCGTCCACAGTACGTAACTTTGCTATACATTCCGCTAAGCGGTTGACTGATTGAACCGACAGGCGTTGTCCTCCTGCTCGAGACCACCTCCCTTGTGTAAATCTTTTAGCTTGGCGTACCTTTGTACCTGTCTATCTCCATTGTCTTGGCCGCCACAACTCCAAGGGCCGACTCTCGAGTCCGCCCCGGGCCCGTTGCTGTCTGACCGGCATATTCACGCACACTGTATACCACACATATACTCTCGTCTTTTGCATATAATAGACTATCTGTATCGTTCCATGTTGCTGCAAGTCCTCGGCGGGGTGGCCATCTCCTTGCAACGATAGCTATAAACTATAAATGAATGCTGTGTGAAGCGATACTGGCGGTGTGCCGAGTGCCGCTAGCCGTCTGCGCACTGATGATGGCTGTGCGAGCGCGCGCCTTGCCGATTCCTCGCCTCCCGCCACTACTTCAAATATCAAGTCGACACATTCTTTTCATGCCTCTGCTTTGACGGCTCTACAATACTAGCCCGATACCCGACTGCTACTTGCTTTTTCTGCCTGCCGCCCGGGACACGCTAATCGACGCTTACTTCTATCTGACCCGCCTGGCGCGTGTCGTACTCCGAGCGATGAAGTTCCTAGTTACCTCGCTGCTGCTCTACCTGACTTTGTTACTTGAGGCCGATGCTCTGCGGATAAGTGGGAGACGGATCCCATGGGAGGAGAGGCTGCAAAGGAGGGGGGCCATGTCCGCTACACTGACAAATGATGGAGACCTCAAGTACTTCACCAATATAACGCTGAACGACGAGGTATTTCCCGTGCTCATCGATACAGGAAGGTGCGTGATGTGCCTCTACATGTTCATTCAACCCTTCTAAGCTAAATATCGCAGTTCCGACTTGTATGTCGCGGGTGATGTCGCCGGAGCAGGTAGTACGGGAAAAAACGCAACCGTTACTTATGCCATCGGTGCTGCCTCTGGTGGGTGCAACGGATATCACTTTGGAGCAGGAATTTTAAACAGCAGATACCTCTAGGCCCTATTCTCACTGCGAAACTGGAGATCGAGCAATTCACTGTCATGAATCAATCGTTCATTCTCGACCAGTCCGGAAACAATCCCAAAGGTCAAGGACTCATTGGTCTTGGCCCCAACTCTGGCTCCGAAACTCACTCCGTACTCAACAACCCAAACGGTGACACGCCGCTCGACCGTATTTTCCGCCAGAACACCTCGACCCCGAACTACCTAACCATCTATCTTGGACGGAGCGATGACCCCACGAACTCCTTCCCTGGCGACCTGACAATCGGACAGCCCGTTCAGGGCTTAGAAAATGTCACGAGCATGCCAAAACTGCCCGTAGTCAACGTTGACGACGGCTTAGCGCAGCATTGGCAGGCCCTCCTCGATGTCGATGGCATCATCGGCCCTGACGGTCAGCCAGTGCAGGTCACTTCGCAAGTCAAGAACGGCGGTACGAATAGGCTGAACGCCATCTTTGACAGTGGCTTCTCGCTCCCTCAAGTGCCCCAGTGAGTGTGCCATGATTACTGCCTTCGGGATAGCTGCTGATATAGTGCAGAGCTGTTGCTGATGCGTTCTACGGGCGTGTACCCGGTGCACAGCTGACGAATTTCACTGGTCTCGGAGAAGTGTACACGCTGCCGTGCGATGTTGAACTGAATGTAACCTTCAAGTTCGGCAATATCAGCTATCCCATAAACCCACTCGACACAAGCTTGTCTGAGCTTGACAAAACAAATGCGTCTGGTAATCCTGTCTGTGTCGGTGCCTTCCAGCCTATTCAGCCCGGTGCGCAGTCTTCCACGTATGACATGATTCTTGGCATGGCATTCTGTACGTTCCTCTCAAATACAACGGTTTTCCGTAGCTGACTGGCAGTGCAGTGCGTAATGCATACATGCTCATAGACTACGGCGATTTTGTTGATGGCTCCTCCTCAAAGACAGCCCCTCCTTACATCCAGCTGCTGCCGCTTACGACAGACCTTGCGGAGGTACACTCTGACTTCGTCAAGGCCCGCCTCATGGGTGTTGACAACACGGGCAACTTCAAGCTTCTGCCGGAGTCGGTCCTGCCGCCAAATAACGATGACAGCAGCAACAACAACGACAACGAGAGCTTCGCAGAAAAAGTGCACCCATACTTGCCTTATATTATCGCGGGCAGCGCGGTACTGGGCGCGGCGCTGCTCATTGCCGTTGCATTCTGCATTGCCAAGAGCCGTCGCAAGCGTTACCGCCGCCTGCACGACCCCGCGCCTGCTGGTCTAGAGTACGGCCAGTATGGATACCACAATCAGGAGGCACCACCCTTCATGCAGTATCAGCCTTCCCGAAGGTACTAGGCACCGCCCTTTCCTCGACCTTGCCCTGAGGCAGGTGCCACAAAACCACAACATGTGCATCTTCATCACTCATCTTTACCGGACATTGCATAGGACTGCTTCATTTCAGGGCTGGGAGATGATCTAGCTGTAGAGATCTATTCGCTCTCGATGGACACTGCCTTCAAGTATATACTATCCTATTTATTCGACGCCCGCAAAACAGAGCGCATCGTGTTTGGATTGTCCCAGAGAGGGAATCCCCCGAGCCCCTGAGGGAGCAGCGGCGTGACTGTGACTGGTGTCCGGAGCGGCCGGCGAAGCGAGCGGGCGACTGCGGACGACGGCTTATCTAGCGTGACAGCTGCCGGGGTCGACGCTGGGCATAGGGACGCCGGTTTGAGCGGAAGCGCAGAAGGAGCGCGTGACGGGGGACAATGAGCGGGCATGTGACTAGTGTGACCGGACGTGACAAGCGTGGACGTTGCCGGCGACGATGACCGAGGTGGTCCAGGCGGCGGCTGTGACAGCCGAGCTGCGGGCGTGGAGGGGCTGTTTGTAGGGGTGTTGTTTGGCGCATCGATGCCGGTGCCATAGAGTTTGTGCAGCACGCGGGGCTGTGATTACTGAGTGATTGGCCCATGACACCCGCGTCGGCGACGGGGAGAAACGAGGGAGAAAGACTGGAGAAAGGGGAGGGAACCATGCATGCGTGAGCGTCGGATGGTGTGACAGAGTCAGCTGGAATAGGGAGATTATTATCTTGGATGATGCACGGAACGGTTAGGTCGGAGTTCGCCATGGGCGGTGACGATGAGGGGTGGCCCGGCGTCGACTGACCACGCGTGCGAACACCTCAGCCCATCCTGGGACGTCGGCTCTGGCGCTCGTAAAACCCCTTGTCAACGCCGCCCACCCCCCTCTCACCGCCTCTCTCACTCTCGTCGTCGTCGCGCGCACGCGCTTTGGTAGCTGCTCATCGTGTACCTCATTTCATGTCGAACGTCAGTCTTGACCAAGACTACATGATGGCCTCCGACCACTCCCCCGTAAACCCCACTAGCGGCAGTAGCGACGAGAGCGACGACCACAACATGCAGGTCGACTCTGACGTCGATGTCCCGAAAGATGTCGACATCGACGCCGACGGCGAGTACGACGACGACGACGAACTCGAAGACACTGCCCAAGTCACCCACACTGTGCCTTCGTCTTCTGCCTACCTCTCCAAACGTGCAGTGAGTACTCTCGACGTTCGCGACGACCTCTGTGTTGACCACATGAACGTTCAGGTTAAAGATGAAGAAGACTCGGTATGTTTAGCCACTTTTGATATTTATCCATATCAAGTATATGTTGCAGGGTTATGAGGATGATCCCGAGCCTGCTTCGGATGACGATGAGGACGCCTCGTACGCCGACGAGGAGTACGGGGTGGCCAAGAAGAAGGCTCCTAAGAAGAAAAAACAGCCGTCGAAACCGCGAGGTGCGCTCCTTACGCCTTTTGCACCCCTGCTGTTGACCCCTCATTGTATATATTCTTCCAGTGACCGTTCGCCACTCGCCGTCCGATTCAGATTCAGATTATGGCGCACGGTCAAAGAAGAAGAAGAAACCTCGCATTCCGAGCGACGAGATCCGCGTCTCGAGTCGAGGCACCAAGGTCCCGAACTACATCGACGACGTTCAGGACTTCGAGCAATTCGATGACGACGAGATAGATGCAGGCACGTATGGCGGGCCCCAGGTGGTTAAGGAGGAGGATGAGATTGAGATGGTGCTTGGCCATACTCGGGATGAACAGCACCTAAGCGACCCAGAGGATAATTGGTATACCAACACCGTGCGTGGCGTATGTTTTCCCTATTCCTCATGTCTAACAGTGTCGCAGAGGTTCCATATCAAGTGGAAGAACTTCTCGCACCTCCACAATACTGATGAGATGTACGAGTTCCTGAAACGTTTCAAGGGTGTCAAGCGTGTGGACAACTACATCAAGGCATACAAACTCTACCTAGAGCGAGTCAACGCCCCAGGCCTTTCTAGAGAAGACAAGGAAGCTCTACTGCTGGACAAAGAGCGCGAGAAGGAAGAGTTTGAGACTTACAAGACGGTTGAGCGGATAATTGCCCAGCGGGAAAACGCGGAAAACCATGTCGAGTACTTCGTCAAGTGGAATAACCTCAACTACGACCACTGTACATGGGAGCTGCAAGACGAGATTCGTCCAATTGCAAAGGAACAGATTGACGCATTCAGGACGCGCGAAGCTGAAGCCAAGTTCCCATACAAGAGCGCTATGTATGCGAAGAACTCACGCCCCGCATTCAAGAAGATCACGGAGGACCCACAATACCTCGTGAAGACAGGCGGAGAGCTCAAGGACTTCCAGCTCACTGGTCTCAACTGGCTCGCATATCTCTGGAGTAATGGCGAAAACGGTATCCTCGCCGACGAAATGGGACTCGGGAAGGTAAGCAGCTTGCTATACACTTTCAGATGACTTAGTCTTGACATACGCTGTTATTAGACTGTGCAGAGTGTTTCGTTCCTGGCATATCTCTTTCATGAGATGAGACAGTTCGGTCCCTTCCTTGTTATCGTTCCTCTCTCGACAATCACCGCATGGCAATCTCAATTCGCGACATGGGGTCCTGACCTCAACGTTATCACGTATATCGGCAATGCTAACGCCCGCGAGGTCATCCGCACCTTTGAGTTCGGTCCTTCAAACAAGAAACTGAAGATGAACGTCCTCTTGACGACCTACGAGCTTACTCTTCGGGATGCCAGGGAACTCAGCGACATCAAATGGCAAGTTCTTGCCGTGGATGAGGTGTGTACATTAGTTTTATGTAGACGTATGCGCATACTAAACTCCATGTCCGAAGGCCCATCGCCTAAAAAATTCCGAGAGCCAGCTGTACGAGGCCCTGCGAGCTTTCTCCGCCGCGTCCAAGGTTCTTATCACCGGGACGCCACTTCAAAACAACGTCAAAGGTATGTGGTATACCATCTGGCGTATGTTTGGGTCCTGACTCGCGATCACGTTCTCCAGAACTGCTGTCATTGATGCACTTCTTGATGCCAGAGAAATGTACGCGGTCCCTTCCGGTAAATTTCCTACATGGCGCGCTAACCACCGGTTACCCGTTGTGTCCCATCTTTACTTTACTCTTCGTCAATAGTCCACCTTTCGAACGAGTTCGATCTCACCGATGTGGATCATGAGGAGAAGATCAAGGAGTTGCACAAGCAGTTGGAGGCGTTGATGCTGCGTCGTCTCAAAAAGGACGTTCTAACATCACTGCCCACGAAGAGCGAGCGGATCCTTCGAGTCGAGATGTCAGCTCTGCAGACGCACCTGTATAAGAACATCTTGACTAAGGTGAGGCACCTGCCTCGTTGTGTTTGTTCTCATGCTCACTATCCTCATTACAGAACTTCCAAGGCCTCATCAAGAGCGCCAACGGTAACACGAACATCAGCTTGTTGAATATCGGTGAGTTTTGCGCATACCAGGTGGTCGTTGTGCTCATGCGTGGATGATAGCAATGGAACTCAAGAAGGCGGCCAATCATCCCTATCTCTTCGAGGGCGTTGAGCCGGAATCTGCGACGAGCGAGGAACTCTTGAAAGGTCTTGTCATGAATAGCGGCAAGATAGTGCTCCTTGATAAACTCCTAGCTCGGCTACGTCAAGACAGCCATCGCGTACTCATCTTTAGTCAGATGGTTCGCATGCTGGATCTGCTCAGCGAGTACATGCAGCTGCGTGGCTATCAGTTCCAGCGTCTCGACGGCATGGTCTCGTCGGAGGCTAGGAAGAAGTCGATCGCCCATTTCAATGCCCCCGGGTCACCAGACTTCGCTTTCCTCCTTTCGACGCGCGCAGGCGGTCTTGGTATCAACCTCGAGACAGCCGATACCGTAATCATCTTCGACGTGAGTTCGCGTGTTTCGTGCTCCGACTCTGAACGCGGAATCCTCGTTGCTGACCCTGGACCCTTACAGAGCGATTGGAACCCGCAGAACGACCTGCAGGCCATGGCACGTGCGCATCGTATCGGCCAAAAATCACACGTTAGCGTGTACCGGTTCGTGAGCAAGGACACTATGGAGGAAGACGTTCTGGAGCGGGCAAAGAAGAAGATGGTCCTCGAGTATGCGAGTAAGTCCTCGCGGGCGGGATCTCGGGTGGGCCCAGGCCGGAGCTAACCCTTTTCATTTCAGTTATCAACCAAATGGACACGTCGCAAGCACACCTCAGCTCCAAGGCGGGCGCTACGAAGGAAAATACGAAGCCGAACGACCTCAGCAAGGACGAGCTGCATGCTGTCCTCAAGTATGGCGCGCAGAAGATGTGAGTGGGCCGTTTGTTGCGTGTATCGATGGGATGTGCGGCGTCGTGCTGACCGCCGTATGACAGCTTTGACAAGGATGACAGCCAGCAGAATCAGAAGCTGGATGAGATGGATCTCGATGACATTCTGAAGACTGCCGAGCAGCACGAGACCATGGCCGCCAACAATGAAGGGGCCTCTCTCGGTGGTGAAGGTTTCTTGGCTCAGTTTGCGAACGTCAGCGATGTTAAGAACGACATGAGCTGGGAGGACATCATCCCCGTTGAGGAGCGGCAGAAGTTCGAGGAAGAGGAGGCGAAGCGTAAAGCCGAGGAGCTAGCCGCTCAGGAGAGAGAATCAAAGGATCGCAAGCGTTCCCACGCACCAGTTTCCTACGAGGGCATGGACGTCGAGCAACCTGCTCCTACTCCCGCCCCGAAGAAACCCAAACATCCCGCTCCTCAGCGCAAAACCGCCAGCCAGAAGGCCATGGAGCTCAAGGAGCGCGATGTCCGGGTCCTTATCCGGAGTCTGCAACGATGGGGTGATATCAGGCAGCGATACGATGTCATCGTATGTGACCCATGCTTCCTTTGTCCGGTACCAACTAACCGCTGAAATATAGGTACAAGAGGCTAAGCTTCAGGACAAGAACCGCGGCATGATCATCGATACATCCGATGACATCGTCGAACTGTGTGCACATGCAGTGTCACAGGCAAACCAGGAGAAGCGAACCCGTATGGAAGCTGGTGAGCAGCTGACCAATGCGCAGAAGAGCAAGGCAGTTCTCGTCACCTACCGCAACGTCGGGAATATCAATGCGGAGACCGTTCTCTCGAGGCACCGAGATCTCCAAGTCCTCTTCAAGTACCTCAGTGAACTCGACGACCCCTATCAGTGGACGATACCCATCGACAACATCCGCCCGACATTGAACTGGTCAGGGAGATGGGGGCCCCAAGACGACGCAATGCTGCTGGTCGGCGCGTATCTGTACGGCTTTGGCAACTGGGAGGCGATGCAGAAGGATCCCCGACTGGGGCTCGAGGGCAAGTTCTTCTTGGAGGAAGGGAAGAAGGGCGAAGACACCTCTACGAGGCCGATACCTAACGCCATTCACCTTGTGCGCAGAGGAGACTACTTGCTCGGCATCCTCAGGGAACACGACGAGAAGATTCGTGCGATTGAGAGCACGCTGCAGCGCAAGAGCAGTGGTGGATACAAGACCTCGCTGTCGCCGCCACCGCCGGCCGCTTCGACATCGTATAGCTCATCTGTCAGGAGGAGGGCTGAGAGTGAGGCTGTGGCGTCTGTCGAAGAGGGCAGCACGAAGAAGCGGAAGCGTAGACCAACACCTACCTTCACCGACTCTTCGTCATCTGATGAGTGGTACGTACGCGTCGTAGTGTGACCTCGTTGATATACTCATCATTATCTCAGTCCTTCAATGGATGAAGCTGCAACCAAGGAGGAGCTCCGGCCGGTCAAAAAGCAGCTCGTAAGTAGCAGATGACTATCGCTTACCTTCTCTGTCTGCTAACTATGTTAACAGAAAAACCTCAAGCTGTCCGGAGGAGACATGCCGCGTGACGATAAGGTCGCCATTCTCAAAGAGTCGCTCGCTGCCATTGGCAAGCGTATCGAGTACGTACTCGAGCAGAAGGCGAAATCCGGAGAAGACGCAAAACGGTGGAAGCGGCACCTCTGGACGTTCGTCACGCTGTTCTGGCCGAAGAAGGTCAAGGCTGCGAAGCTCGAGGAGATCCACGCGAAGATGGTCATGAAGGAGAGCTCCAGTGCACCCCGCGCTGGCTCTTCAGATCCCACCGCGACGAAGAAGCCTCGTCTCAGCTCAACTGGCGCACCATCACGTAGCAATGGTCCTTCAAGCTCGTCCCATGTCAACGGCAAGTACCGGTGACCCACGGAGTTTGATATGAGCCTGTACTGCTCGTAAATGGCATGGTCGCGCGATGGGTCCCGCGTAGGGCACATGTATCTGTGGCACCTCAACTCCCGAACCGAATAATGTATTCTCTTCTCTCTACCTGACCGTTCTATGCTTCCTGTGACGCTCTTCTCCTATTTCTTCCGTGTTTTATCTGCTCGTGTGATATTGCTATGCATCCTCAGTTTATCCCTGCACTGTCTCGCTATAAGACTCGCACACTGTACCCAGTATGACTACCTGTACCATTGAAGACTAGCTAATGATACACCGTTAGACCTGTCGAAAGCAGAATGTACGTGAAAGCCGTAGAGGACAAAGTGTGAGAGGGGAATGTGAGGTATGAGGTAAGGGGTATCCGCGGAGAGTATGGTAATCTCGATATATCGTGTCTCTCTTCAAAGTTGTTCTGTCGCCGTTATCATATCTGCATATTCGAAGACATCAATGTTGTATTTGAGCACATCTCATACCACACTGACCATCGTGTATGGACGTGCACGGAGGGCTTCAAGATGCTACCACCTCCACTCTTCTTGCGGGAGCGTGATGGGCCGGCACCACCCAGTGTGACGCTGACCAGTGGTGTACCGTTTGACGTACTTATCTGGGCGGGGACCGGCTGAGGCGAAGGTTGAGAATAAGTTATCTGGGAGTGCCGCGTAACCTGGGCAGGAGGAGGGACAGGAATGGGCCGCTGATTCGCTTGCGCAGCTACGGACGTCCTGGCTGTTAGCGTGGACAGAACAGAAATGGTGGGCGCTTAACGAACCTTCAACAACCTTGGCATCTGCCTCACGATGGTAGCTGTCCATGAGAGTAGAGTACCGCTTGACCTGCCAGTCGAGCTGGTCTGCACGGGCGATGTTTCCCTGGCTCAGCGCCCACTTGCGTTCCTCCTTGAAGCGGCGCCGCTCAGAGTCGGCGAGCGACGCACGCGCACGGAGCACGGCAATTTCGCGCTCGGCGGGCGGCATCCTGCCGAGCGGATCGATGGACGAAGGGAGCGAGTCGAGGGTCAGCGCCGTGCTGATGCTGTGGGCATTCGTCGGTGCAGGCGAGGACGCGTTCGCACGGGCGCGGTCTGCTGAAGACTTGTGTCGGCGCGAAGGTCGGTCGCGGTCTATGCCGTGCTCAAACGAGACGACGCGTTGTCTCCTGGATGATGTTTCGCGCGATGATGCCTGCAACGCCACGGTTGTAGCAGGCGAGCGGGGTTGGACTTCGTTGTACCGACCCTCTTCGAAAAGCTGGGTGATTAGATCGGTGCAGAGCACGCCGAGAGCTGCGCCTAGCAGTACGCACGCGCATCGGGTTGTATCAAAGTTCGATGCGAAGTCGTAGAGTAGCTTTGCGGCTATGGCGAACCCCACCGGAAAGACGGCCCAGGTAGTGTGCTTCAAGACATGATACAACAAAACTCCCTGCCAAAGTCCCTGCAGTAAGTGGTCTGCGGTGGAGTCCTTGTGGTCTGGGTTAATAGCATTCAGGAATAGGCGGATTCCAAGCGCGAAAAGGAGCGGGGGCGCGGTGGTGAGGTACATTCAACGGAATGTTAGACAGGGTATATCGATGAATTTGGAGGTTGCTCAGACATTAATGAGTATGAGGAGATGTCACAGAACCTGAACAACCCCGAGCGCTGTTTCAACGAGGACAGGCGGGAAGGGCACGCGAGCAAAGCAATGAGGGCGAGTGCGAGATCGTGGAGCGAGGCGCCCGAACATCTCGCGTCTGTAGACGCACTCCGGCGCATCAAAGTGACACGTGCCGTACACACTTACACCGGTGTCTGGGAATATTGACATATCCGCTGGCCTTGCGGTCGTCTTCCTTCATAGTGGCCAGTATTACTAAATAGAATTATGGACGCACCAACTAGCATGATTATCTTGAGGCCGTACTGATACTCCAGCGAACGCAAGTAGCGTTCTCAATATTAATGCAGCTCACCCCCACTATTTATCACAGTAATACTGTAGGGTGGCGTATATATCAACATTAATGCATAGTCTTCGGTCCTTCTAAACGATGCGGGCCATGTTCCCGGAATGAGACATGCACAACAACACCTTTCTTTCGCCGGTACAGGCGCCCATGTTAAGGCTCTCCAAAAATGGTGTTTACTCAGGAACCGATCGCTGTAGTTTGACTCCTGAGCTTCAAGTACTCTTCCAATGCGTCTGGATATCGTACTATTTTCAGGGCTGTGTAGGATACAGTAAACTGGAAATGAAATAGCTAGAGAAAAGCTGAGATGGGCGTCTAGTAATATTACAGGCTTACGGTAATGATCACTGACTGCCCTGAGTTGAACACAGGGTGATCTCAACCTTGTTTCTTCTATCTTCTAGCTGCTTGCTGCGCGTCCAGCTTGTGCTATAGGGCTGCCTATTGCACATAACTTCCGCGGTAACGGGCAAGTTCCAAGCACTCACGAAGGAGGGCTTATACTCGCGTTCTCACACCGATATCGCCAACCCGAGTCTAACAATTTACCATATCCTGCCCTCCGAATTAGTCTCATATATTGTTGTACTTGATACAAGCGAATCAGTGCACTCATGAAGAGTAGCAAAGCACGCTACGCGGCGAGACGTCATGCGTCCATAACCGTCATGGTCTTTCCGCGTCTCGCTACTAGAGATCTAACGGGGTCTCATCCAATACTTCAAGTAGGCCGTGTCTTCTTGAAGATACTGAAGATGTTACTCGCTTGCAATCGTCATCCCTCGAGAATCTTTCTGCTCTGGTGCAGTAGCTGCTCCATTATACGACCTCATGGCAGAATAGCGTCTCTCCCACCTCTCTTATGTGACTCAGCCTTGGATTTCTGCGAAACCGCAACGACCTTCTCTTGCACAACTATCTCTTTATGTCCTTACTGACTTCGTAGAAACATTCATGTGTTCATTCATCCTCTACATAGTACAGACTCTGTTTTCGTGAGCGCTTGAGGGCTATTGCGGAGATTGAACTTCAGGTCTCCGCCGCTTCTCGCTGGACGTCGAAGACGGTGTTGATGTTCGTTTTCTTGTCGTTTCCTCACTCCTCTTCCTCTCCCTCATCGTTTTGCAGTTCTGCAGGCTCTGCCCTACAAGTTCCAAAGCATGAGTGTAGAAGAACACTTCATGGACTGCGGCGTTCAAACTGAAGACTCTCAAATCTTGGCGGATCAAGTCAGAGTAGAAGACGATGGCGGATCGGCGTTACTAGCCGGTGCCCTGGATGCCGCGGACACCTCTGTTTCGTCAGTATCGTCGCTCGTCATCCATACCAGACCTCCAACTCCCACAAGTGCGCCGTCTGAGTGCGAGGTCATTGAAGGAAAGGGCTCTCCCCCTTCAATCCAGACCAAAACGCGCACCATGAAGCATCCTCAGCTTGTCTATCTCCGCCCAGCAGCCACAGGCGCACAGACCTTGAAGCCTGTCTCCCCCAGGATTGTGTCTCTCCCAGAGACAGTCTCGAAATACTCTGCCAAGCAAGAAACAATCAGCAGACGTGTTGTTTCTATGCCAGAAGGGAGGAAAGGCCCTCTCCCGTCGCCCCAGACATTGAGTCCGCACATGGATCACGACTCGTTCGTCTCAGAGATGGAGAGCCCTGCCCGGGTTCGTGTTCATTCTGCTGCGACAGACATTCCGTACACACCGTCTCCGCCATCGTCGCCGGAATCAGTTGTCTTTATCGCGAACAAGTCACCGCTTGCGGAACAATTTCTCCGCAAGAAAGTCCTTGTTGGCCAATCGCGCACGCCAGAACCACGAGACGACGGTACGTACAGGCTGTACACTTTCGTCACTATTCAATTATCTCTTACCGCTGTGCTGATAGATTGGGCTGCTTGGGCAAAGTCTCCCCCGAGGCCGATTCCTGCCCTCCATGGACCCTTGTCGTTGCCATATGCTAGATGCCCTTCGTGAGTATAACGACAGGTATCCTATATGTATGCTTACTGTATCACAGTGGCGCGGAAGGCACACTTATAGAAGAACAAGAGAATTTGTCCCGAGTCATATGGGGCCTGGAGACATCGGACAACGCCAAAGGAAGCAAGGAGCCTACAGCACAGGCAAGCAACGACGCTCGTCCGGCCGCACCTCCGGCGACTCGCAAGCAAAATGGGCGACAGAAGCCAACTACGCCTGTTCCGCCTAGGTTCACTGGCCAGAAAGATCTTACCGAGGCGGAGGCTTCTCAGAAAATCTCTGCTACTCAGCCTCAATTGCTCAGCCCAGAGTCAGATCATTACCTCACTCCTCCACGATTTCCGCTCGAGTTCGATGCACCCGATCAGCTTTACATGTCGCTTCCTTCGCACGGTCCGATTGACCTCAGCGAACTAATGCGCCCCCGGAACGAAGTAGGGATCAATGCGTACCTTCAAAACAACGGCTTGCCCCCCAACTCTGCTTTCAATCATCTGTCTTCTGGCTTGCGCACGTATGGTTCCTCTGGAGATCTTGGATTGGACTGGACTGCTTTTATCAAGCCGCAAGATTGCCCCCGTACGTCTCTCTCTGGTTCCGCGTGGTCTTACCCTGGAAATACCCTTGGCGACTACGTGGGTACTTCTGGTCTTTCGCCATCTCTGTCCATGCGGTCTCTGCTGTCTTCGCGTAGTCCTATCATCCTGGAGCCACCTGGTCAGCTTTCTCACGGTCGTCTGGTTCAGCACTCGCCTCTGTCGTTTCAGCACGATTCCTCTACCTTGAGTGTTCGCGCACTCCCGTCACGGGATGGTTCTCAACGTTCCCTGTCTGCTCTAGAGATTGCTCAGAAGTATCGTCACCAGCAGATGATTCAGCAGAGGCAAGTGCAATCGATGCTCCCTACGCCACCTAATTCTGCGTCACCCATCTGGTCTTCTGGGTTCTCTCCGTATCAAGGCTCTCTACTATCTCCTGAGGTTCTCACTGCAGCTCGTTTGCCCAGTGCCGCAAAGGATCTTAGTTCCCAGCAGTCGGCCCTTCTTCAGCAAGCCGAGGTTCTCCAGCGGCTGCGTACTGCCGACCATGCCAGACTCGGTGTATCCGGTCGCAACGCACAAGCCCAAACACCTTTCCTGGCTCCGGCCGCCCGAATTCAAGACCACATCAGCGATGTAATTGACCTACCTCTGGCTAGCAACAGTTTGAACGGAACTTCATACACTGCACTGCCTCTCAGTACACATCAACCTCGTAACGTAGGTCCGGGATTCTTGTCTGTCGCCCAACAGCATCGTTCTCCAGCTTACCCTCGTCCTCCACCCAATACACCACATGCCCCCGTTGATACCCGCTATTCCGGTTCGACCGCAGGAAGCTCTGTTCATCTCCACGGTACCGCGTTGCCTACTTCGCCCAAAACACTCGCTCGCGGGAAATTACCTCAGCAGAACCCGAGATCTGTTCCGCTCGCCCGGCTCGTGCAGCGCAGGCTGTCGGCGGTGCCTGAAGAAGACTCTACGATGCTCCCTGACAACGGGCGCATACAGTCAAACCCTGCCGATCTCTCTGTTGTCTATCATATGTTGGCTCCCGCTCGTACTGACGCTACAGTGGCTGGAAAGCCGCACTATGCACCTGCCGAAGCTGCAAGCATGAAGCAGCAGAGGCGCAAGCCAACTCCAAGCGCCACGAGCCACCCTTCTGCTCAGCCGAAGAAGTCGGCTTTGGGTGGCCAGCAACACCATCGCCAGGCTCGAGAGGATAAAGGCTCGACTGCTCCTCATGCCGGTCTGTCCAACGAGCGCACGGATGATACCGCTCGCAGCTCGAGCGTGGACAGTATCGCTTCTCAGCGAACGGACCCTCCGCAAGGTCTCAAGCGCGGAGGGTTCCGCGGCCGTGGCCGTGGCTGGCGCGGCCGAAAGGCCAATGCCGGTGTTCATGGTCCTGAAAGAGCGGATGGCGGTCTCACCGTCAGGTCGTAAAGTCTTGGCCTCGCCATTCATGATTATCGCACTGTTCTCTCGTTCCGCCATCGTTCGGGGACGTCTGTCATATTGTTTTCATCGTTGTCACTCGCAACTTCGCATTCGCATGGACGCTCGGTCTCGTTATCAATCGTTTTCGGATCCCTCTCGTTCAGCATAGCTCTACACTATTAGCACGCCAAATAATCCTAATATGTCGTCGTACAGACAGCCCAGAGTAAATGAAGTGTGCATTGTAAAACATAGCAGCACGAATAACGACGCAATTATATCCAATCCAGATAGCATGATCGAGCAATGGGGATGGGGATTAGCATGGGCATCAGTCGCGGCGGCCGCCACGGTGGGGGCGGCCAGTGGACATTTTGAGGATTGCATCTTTGGCGGTCTCGATGGCGGTCTCCGAGCCTGTAGACATATATTGAGCTCTTACAAGTCTAGAAGAATCAGCTATCCTACTCACCAATGATGACAATCGTGCTGTCGTCACGGCTGACAGTGATATCGGCGTTGCTCTCAGCACGGAGCCGGGCAACGTTCGAACCCTTTGCACCAACGATGCGCGGGAACATCGAGCGGTCGGGGAGGGTGAGGAAGCCGACGTGAGTCATCTCCTCCGCGTGCGTAACCGCGTCGCGCACAGCGTCGAGCGCCTTGTCGAGCGCGGCCTGGTCGAGAGCCTTGAATGTCCAGACTGCCTCGCCCTCTTCAGCGTCCTGATAGTTCGGCACGACCTGCCACTGCGCCTCGACGCTCGTCGTATTCTCACCGGGGTCGTCGATTCGCGCGGTCGTGTCTCCCTCCGGTGCGGGCCGAGCAGGGACCGGTGGGTTCTTGGGCGCCGCGGATTGCTCGACGCTTACACCAAAGTTGCGGAGCGTGCGGAAGAGGTTACCCTGCTGTGTCACAGCGTGGTGATACTTCAGCGGGACGTCCAGCGTGCCGGTGACGCCCTCGGGTGCAGGAGGCTTGACCGCGGCCTGAGAGTAGACGTCAATGGACGAGTAGCATGCCAAAGTAGGGGTGCTAGCATACCTTGAGCTCCGCTACAGCTTGCTCACAAGCTGCACGGGGACCAGTGACCTTAACTAAGTCAGCGGGATCAGCGTCCGCCAGCTCGTCCGCGTTCTCGGGCTCGCCGACGTTGCCGTAAGAGCGCGAGCCTGGGAATTGCACCTGGGTATGTGTGCGGTTCTGGAACTCGTTGAGGTGCTGGCCGCCTCGACCGATAAGCGCACGGTGCTGGGCGGCAGGGATCTCCACACCGAGTACGACGCGATCGCGAAGTGTCGCGACAGCCTTCTCGAGTTCAGCCTTGATCTTGGCAACGAGCTTAGGTTCACCCCGCAGGGTAACTTCGTCCGAGGGCTCACCGTGGCGCGGGCTTGATGTGACTAAATCAGCATTTAGTCGAGTGAGCGAAAAACAAACAACGTACAAGCGGATAAGACCACCCTGTGCCTTAGGGTCAGTGGGTCCACCGCAACGGGTGATAAGCTCCTTAAGGCCTTGGCCACCGGGGCCGATGATGGTGCGATGGAATTTGCTCTCGATGTTGAGACTGTCGATCGTTTCCTCATGAACCTGCTCGGAGATGCTGAGGATATGTTCCTTGGCCTCGTTAATCGAAGCTTTGGTCCCACGGAGCACGACAGTCGTGACCTCGCCGTTCTCGGGGGATTTGTCAATGTCAATTTGGGCACCGGTGTTGTCTTTGATCTCGTTGACTTGGGCACCACCGCGGCCGAGAATACGAGCAACCGAACGAGTAGGGATCGTGAACTCGATCTGGTTGTCTGATTCCTTCTCGAATTCGTACGCCTAGCAAGCCGGGTCAGTAGCGGGTAGACCAAAAACGATAGTCAGACTTGCATCAAGCAACTCCGTCTTGGCCTGAGCGACTCCTTTCTTAGGACCTTTGACAATGATCTCATCAGGCTTGGGAGCGTCACGCCTGGCCTCAGCAAATTCCGCATTGCCACGGGGGAAGGTGATCTTGACATCGTACTTATCCTCAAGACGGACGACATACTTGCCCCCTTGGCCTATGAGCGAAGGATGGTAATGACGAGGAACCTTCAGGACCTCAGTAGTCTCGTCGGCCTGCAACGAGATGAGTTAGCCTTGGAACCCATGCACGGGTACCAAATCACGTACATATTTGTCGGCCTGAGTGATTATACGACGCTTAGCCTCCTCGACGTTCTCCTTGCGACCAGTGATCTACACAGTGTTTCAGCTCGACCAGCAGACAGTGCGTCACCAGGAAGGCGTACCTTGACCTTGACCTTCTGTCCAGCAGGCACTTTCTTTTTCTTGCTAGCATCCTTGTCTTTATCCTCGTGATCATCAGAGAAGTCGACCTTGACGCCGAGCGAATCACGGATCCTGTTGACACCAGCCCCATGAGCACCCACAATGCGGGCGACAAACTCTCGGCCGATTTCGAATTCAGTCGACTGTTGGATATATGCGTCACAAGGAGCAGTAAGCGAAACTATCGGTGACGATTATGAAGATCGGGCAGGTGTGGTACGCACGTAGCTGCTGACGATCTCATCGTTCTTGGCGGCCTCGACAATCTGCTCAATCTCCTTCACGGCGCGGTTCACGTCGGTGCTAATGCCGTGAACAACAATAACGTCCTCAGTAGTAGCGTCGCCTGCGTCCTTACCGAACTTGATGGACAGAGTCTTGTCCTCGCCGATGACCCTGTACAATGCTCAAGTAAGACTCGATATGGGCGTTTGTAGCAACCCGAAGCGTACGCATTCAGAGTCGTCCCGCCCTGGCCGATGACAGCGTCGTGCCACTTTTTCTCGGCGTTAATAGTTTGAGTCTTGATGTCGGCAACAGCCTTGGCCATCTTCAGCAGCTCAGCCTCGACCTCCTCGAGCTTCTGTGCCTTCTCAGCCGGGGAAGGAGAAGCGTTGGGGGAGGTGGGGTCGTAGACGAGAAGGACTAAAGACTGCTCGGCGGACTCAAGAGGGAAGAAGACGAGAACGTTCTGCTGTTCGTGGAAGGACTTGAGCCTACATATCGTCATCAGCCTAGTACACAACGGAATACTAGTGGCAGAGCCTACTTCTTAGCGTTCTTCTGGGAGTTTATAAAATGGTGAAGTAACCAGTCAATCGGAACATCCTTCGTGGCGCCAATGAGCTTGCCAAGGAGTTGCGAAAGCTGGCGGACGGCAGCATCAACAGCGGGCTTCTCTCCCACAAGATCGACATTAAGCACGGTAGCCTTCTGGATGGTCGACACCGGTGGAGTATAGACTGCGACACCAGGGTTTTCGTCGCTGAGGGTCTCGGGGTATCCCACGCGGGTCATGTATGTGAGCAACTGCCGAGAAACGTTGGTAGGGCCAGGAAGTGGGAATTCATGAATGTATGCCGAGTTCGCCTTCTCCATGACGGCGGTAACTCCGTTTCCAATGTCGGCCGCGCGGCCGTACACATTGACTTCCTCGCCGGGCTCCTCGAAGCTCTGGACAATAACCACGCAACGTGACTTGGTCATGATTTCCTCGGCCCCCTTGTCGGTGAGCAGACGGTGCTGGCGCTTGGGAAGCATCAGCTTCAAAGACGTGACATCATTTTGGAAGAAGTCGCGCGCGGACTTGATAGACTCGATAACCCGTTCAACGGCTTCACGATCACCGCTGACAGAGATTTCGCGAGCAGCTTGATTCGACTGAAGCTGGACATCTCCGCCCTGGGCAGCCTCGAGGAACTTTGCGCGGTGAGGAAGGAGGAACGGCAGGATATGTGCAGGAATATCCTTGACGCGCTGCGTAGTGCGAGACATTTTGGACGCGATGATTTGCTGAATCATTGCCTGCGCTTCCAGAACAAGAGGCTGAGGGCCCGTGATAGTGACCGGCACAGTAGGCTCCTCGTCTTCGTCGTTGTTGTCAGGAAGAGGAGTAGCATTGCGCGAGGGGGAATGAGGACCACCGTTAGCTTGACCGTTCAGAGCGTCTCTGCGAGGTATATCGACCCTGACACCGGTTTGTTCGCGGATTTCCTTGAGGATAGCACCTTTAGAGCCGATGATCATAGGAATAGTAGAAGCTGGCGCATTCAAAACGACGGTTGCCTAAGCCCGTGCATTAGTGCTGGCTCTCGTGACGCAACGTAAACTGACGCACGACTGGGGAAAGACCGGCGAGCAGAGCCTTCTTTGCCTTCTCGAAGTCCCTTTTGTTCTCAGATTTAAGGAAGAACGTTGTCTGACGGAGCTTCTGGTTCGTAGAGGCGTCGAGCTTGACCTTGTACTGGGCCATGATCTGCTTCATAATCTCACCGAGCGATGTGGGCCTGCCATCCCTGCCAGCAGTGGACAAGTCGCCGACGGGAATCGTGAAGGAGTCGGAGAACGTCGGCTGCTTTGACACAGTAGCCTTAATGCGGGGCGCACCCCACGCTGTAGCCGGAGCCTTGACTGCAGGAGGCGCGGAGGGCGCGAGCGACGGGAAAGCTACGTCTGAGTCGGTGTCGAGGGTACCGCTGGAGGGCGGGGCAGGGCGCGCTTTCACCGGAGAGTCTGTCAGACTCGGGAACGGGTCTGGAGCTCCTTCCAACTCAGCGTGTCTCCTCTGCACGGAATGCTTGAGCTTCCGTTTGCTTCCGGCTATATACGCGCGAGAGGGCATACCTGGAGGTCGGCTGCAGACATAGCTGTGCGAAAATGGACGGCCGAGGGGCGGTGCCTTTGACGGGAAAACCTGGGCGATGAGAGTAAATACTCCCCCGCCGACCGCGAGCGAAAAGTGAGAGAGAGAGAGAGAAGACGAGGGTTTTGGGTGACGAGCGTCGCGTTGTACGTGGACGGTCAATATGAAGGCATTTATGCGTGTGAACAATCTGCCCTTTCGGTACCGCCGGCTTCCCTCATCAGCTGGCCATTGCAACCACTGAGACACCACCACCCAATGAGACACTACCCTCGGGAAGCGTCTGTCCCTCAAGAACGAGATTCACAAACTGATGATAGATTCTACTTGACATATGCACCTTACACGCAGAACACGAACACGAGGGTACGTATCTTTGCACCAAAACAAATCAAGTAGTATGCCTCGACAACAACGAAATCTGGGCGCTTCTAGACTCTCCGCTGGCGTCGGGTGCTCAGATCTCAGAATCACCTGAGGCCTGATGATCATGGGGTCCTCATCCTCAGACCTGCATTAACTTTACGGGGGTCTTGGTGCAGAGAACCGGAGGCCCGATGCTGAGACTAGCCTTCGAGGAGAGCGCTTTACGGCCTCGCCGCAAATACGGGCGGTGGTAAGAGATCCATCAACATACTCTCCCATTTAGTCATGGGTGCAAACGAGCCAATAAGTTTGAAGACACAAAAGGGTACGGGGAAAATAGTTGTACTGAGGTTCGCGGCTCTGCGTGTGAGCTGGTTCAAATCTAGTTGCCTCAATGTCTGTAGTCTCTAGTCCATTCGGCTGGAACATCGATATCGGGTATAGGTCCACACAAGTCTACAAATATATACACCAGCATGCAGTTCAAACATTATAAGGCTTTAGGCTGGAAGAAAGTGGACAGCTTTGCCATTCCTTTCGTGTTCACCTTCTTCAGCTTCTCCACTCCGGTGGACGCCGTCTTCCTCTTCTTGCCGTTAGTCTTCTCCGTCGCGGAGCTCTTGCTCTCCTTAATTTCCATCTTACCCATCTCAGCTGCTGCGAGAGCCGCTGCTTCGTCGTTTAATGATTTTATGTGTTCCTCCAAGGTGGTGAAGCTGCCAATACCAAACGTCAACAGCAGGTTCCTCGATACTGGCGACCGTAGGACGCACTCATACGATGCCAAAAGTCTCTTCTGAAGATGATCTGGTACATATTGCGACACCAAATCACACGCAGCTCTCAGCCGCCCCACTTAAATAACGAGGTCTAGATCAGTAATCAGAGCGAACGAGACGAGACTCAGCTTGCCTTCAAGTATACCGTCCTTGCCGTCGTCCATGAGGCCATCCCTCGCCAGAGCTCGCGTCAACGTCTTTGATGCCTCGAACATAGGTTGTGAGTTTAGTCGCATAACCTTCTTCCTAAGGTTCTCTACGACAACATCAGGCGAATATCTGTACACGGTCAGCTCTTCCGTGATTTCTACAGCAGGCGTCTTCAGACCCAGTGTAACTGAACTCGAATCCGAGCAACATACGTTTCTTCTCACATGTCCTCGCCATAGCATTCCGCGCACAATCTAATGACAAAAAGCGCAGAAGGTCTTCTTTGCACAGGTGCTCAGTGCTGCTTGGTGCCGATTGCAAGAGCTTCTCGACTGCGTCTTCGAACATATCGTCAACAGGCCTGAATGTTCCGGCATGGCCATTCGGCTATATCCGAGTGTAAGAGCAACGATGGGGCGAAGATGATGCGTCATACCGATGACAGTACGTGTAAAATCGGAATGAGCAAGAATGCGGGGTCCACTGGTGTCATGATGAGCAGCTCGCCGTCTGGTAGAAATGGGTGAGCACTTGATGGGGAGGATTGGCGTAAGTACGCACTTTGCACCACCTGCCCTTCCGACAGAAACCAAGACCTCTCATTTGGTGGGGCAACCGTCTGCACCTCCATGATAGATGTTCTTCCGTCTGGCTTCGCGTAGGGTAGGAACAAAGACGGGACTCCTGACCCTTGTTGAGCTGGCACCAAGACAACCATAAACGCGTACGTCTTACCTGTCCTCGGGTGAGGTAACCTCAGGAACCTCAAATTTTGATGCGTGCCAGCTTCAGTGAGCTTTGCCACGAGAGCGTCGAACACGTCTGGAAGGTAGTCAGTACTCTGGCGAAGTTCCAGGCAAAAAAAGTATGAAAAGAGCACACACCAGTTGGCAAAATACCAATATGCGAGGTCATCTCAGCTCAAGCTTCTCCTAAAAACACGTCGAACTGGAAGATAACTCAGGCGAAGACTCAAGATGGAGGTCGTGTCGAATCTCGATCCCCGAGCGCGTTGCTTGGTCCTGTTGTGGCGCTGCACCGAGAAAGGCAGTCGTAAATCAGAGTGCTATTGCTCTTCAACCATCACCAGCGTCCTCTAGAGTCCGACGCCGGCGCATGTCTCAGCCAGGACTTGTCCTAGTGGCCATTCATGGCGGCGCCGGGTATCACTCAGAAGAGTCGGACACTGAAGTCAGAAAAGCTATGAAAATGTGCGCTTACTTAAATGCGCTGTGTTTTGTTGGTATATCAAGTGATCCGTCAAAGAGCTTGCAAGTATGCACTGGCTCGTCTGCATAATGCCTGTAAAGCTATAGATGCAATCGAGGACTCAATAGTGGTTCTTGAGGATGACCAATCTCTCAACGCTGGTAGCATCATCCGTGTCGCGTTCTCTCCATCATTCTCATACGAAGCTTTCAGGCTTCGGTTCGAATTTGACCGTAGACGGTACCGTCGAATGCGACGCATCCATATCGGACGGCCGGACTGGTGACTTCGGCAGCGTCGGCGCTGTCGCAGGTATGGCATAACAATACACATGTTATCGATGGTACACCTTCTGACATACTCCCTCTGTAGGCATAAACAACCCTATACGCGCCGCACGTGCCGTCCTCGACCATTCAAGAGAATCTGATTCGCTAGGGAGGATACGACCAACGTCTTGTACTCTTCTCTGGCTTTCGAAGCGGGTCTGACTTTCGTAATTCAGGATGCTCGTCTCGAGCGGCGCCCGCGCTTTCGCCGAGGAAAGAGGTGTGCCATGCGTCTCTCCGGACTCTCTAGTTTGTGAACGCGCCAGAGCGGAATGGACAATGTGGAAAGCATGTCTCGACTCAGTCTCCGGCGGAATCCATGCCGCAGATGACACCGTGGCGGACAAGGGCGATCTGCATCGACTCCAAGATACCGTAGGAGCAGTTGCATGGGACTGCCACGCTGACCTTGCAGCGGGAGTATCAAGGTACGCCCTATGTTCCACAAGTTATGAGCCAGCCTTACAGTACGCAGCGGTGGCCTTCTGCTTAAATGCCCTGGCCGCGTCGGCGAGGCAGCAGTTTACGGAGCCGGCTGCTGGGCACAGCAGAGTGCAGAAACTTCCACCGGAGTGGGTATAGCATGCAGCGTCTCAGGTGAGCTGCAAGCATCTTCCAAGAGCCTTAAGCGAAAGCAACTTAAGTGAGTTACATCAGGCTCAGGCGAATTCATTATTCGTGAGATGCTTGCGAGACGAATATGTGAAGCTATCATCGAGTCGCCAGACAACGACGTACATGAGATTCTTCACTATTGGCTGTCAGGATTCCAGAGTGGGTACAGCAAATATTGTCCTCCGACAGTTGTCAATCAACGGACTACAGAGCGTTGTCGAGCGCGGGGGGAGTCCGACCCAATTGCGGGAGTCCTCCTGCTCGTCAAAGAAGTCGACGATGGCGGTGAAACTCGCCGTGAGTATTCTCTCGAGCACACTCAACATGACGACCCATGATGTTTTCACACGCGGTCACAGCACGACTATGGTGCGGCTTCACCTCACAGAGCATGGCTATCGCCTACGCTTCGAGTCTCGATCCAAGACCAAAGGTAAATAAGGTGGATGGAATGACTTTGGGGTTGCTCACGGCGCCATGGCATGGCCAGGCGATGATCCTCCGCAGACCGAGCTCGTCTAGAGAAGACACACCCTCGATCTACATTACAGCGCTTTCCCTCCGCCGCTGATTAGCTTCTTACCCTCGTGCTACCTCGGCTCACCGTTCTGCATCGGCGAGCTCGTCGCTGGTGCACTCCCATTGCTAACGACCCTCGGTACAGCAGCAGGATTTATACTTGTTGAACGAGGCAGACTGTTTGCGGATATCGCAGGTGTGGCAGTCCGCGCAGGCGTTGATGAACGCGCGGGTGTACCCGCACTGCCCGGAGCGGCGTTGGGGCGCGACGCGTTTAGCCGCTGCAGCGTCTTGATCGGGAACTTGGTGCGGCAGGTCGAGCACACGGGAACGGGCTGGCAGAATACTAGAATAAGGGTAAGAAGCAGGAGGGAGATTAGGAGGGAGAAGGGACGCGCACTGGAAAGGCAGACAGAACAGACAAAGCCGATGTCGACTATGTTTTTGTGACAGAAGCACGCCGCACGGAAGTCGATTTTATCTTGTGTTGGCACGGATATAAGTTGGCGGAGGCCGGGTGGTGGAAGGAAGGACATCTACAGACCACTAAGGAGCATATATTTGGAGGCTGTGCAATATAGGGTGCTTACCATGAGGTATTGAAGTATGGCGTCTGGCCGGTCTATGTCAATGTAGGAGCCACCTGTGAGATGGGCAGCTTGCTGAAGGAATACGCTTTCGCCACCGAAAATCTTGCAGACGTCGATCGTGACTTTCTACGGAATTCGTAAGAACTACGTGACTAACAGCTCAGCAAGGAGTTCGTACAAGCTTCTGGGCTGAGAATATTAAGTTCATGACGGGAATATATGACGATGACTGGTCGGGAGACACAGAGATGACAAGGATTCGTGGATCTGGAAGGGTTGCCAGATCATCATTGCGAGACGTCGAGCTCGTTGAGCCATTCGTGACTCGGTTGATATCTGAGATATTAGGGTCAGCGACGAGTTATATCAAAGGCAGGCGAGAATACCCACAGCACATCGCCTTCGTCAAAGCTCCCACAAAGCCAATGGGTTCTAAACAATCCTGTGATCAGACTTGCACGAGTATCTAGAAAATTAGCCGTACCTTCAACCTCAGGTTCTCCCAAAGCCTCAACCTCGCTCACAATATGCTTCATAATTGTCGAGTCCATGACCTTGAAAGGTCGGTACGTATTTGCGTCCGCCGGCTGAATCTCTTCCTCGTTAACGGGCATCGTCGAAGAGTAGAGCATCACGCTGCATCCAAGATTCCATTATCCCTCGTCAGTTCTTCTGCAGCCGTGTGAGCGTATGCAGGTGCAGAGCGCACCTCTTGCCGGGCAGCGCTCCGAACAGCGCAAGACTATTCTCGTCTTTGCATGCAATATGCGCGTTCAGAAACGCTAATAGATGTGAGAGAGATGCGACAAGCGTAATCGGGTGCGGGTTGCTCGGCTGCGCAGCGAGGTGCCATTGCTTGGGCGAGAGGTCGAGCACAACTCCGAGGTGCGAGGCATTGTCCATCGTCACAACTTAGAGCGTGCAAGTGGAGACAGCGTTCGGACTAGCGGGCGCAGAAATTGGTCGCAAATTGGTCGCAAGTAAAGGATATCAGAGCATCGTTTAATGTAGGCGTAGAGAGTAGCGTGGGCTCAGCAAGACGGGCGCAGTGGCGGACGCGAGCCAAGCGCCCCTGCCGTAGAGCGCTAGCTAAATGAGGTCGAGCGCTGAGTAGGTCGGTGTTAGCCTAACTCAGTATGTACGGGTCCGGTGCATTTGCCAGTCATGAGAATACAGTGCATTTATTTTCATGGTATGTGTCGCACGAAATACAGGAAAGGGTACTGCCGAAGAGTTCTAAGGATCTAATCTCTCATCCGTGCCATCCGAACTCGTGTTTAGGTAGCGGCACAACTTGCACCTTGTCCGCGTTCTCCGGTTTCGGCGGGCCCATCCATCGCCAACATGGGGCACAGACGACGAACGGAGTTTCACCCAGTCGTACATCCCCGTTGATGGCATATACCGCGGGCACCTTGTTACATGCCCTGCAGTTCTCTAGCAACCGCGGAGTGATCTGTGTTGTCAAAGGGAAGCTAAAAACCGGGGGATCCGAGGGATGATGCGCCCTGCAGAAGATCAACAAGCCGAATCCCAGTGAATTAAGAAGTAAGGGAGTGTGCGTACCTGAGAAGCTCGATCACGAAGAAGTGGTCGCAATTGCCGGCGTGGCAGAGCCAGTAGGGATGGTGAAGTCTGATTTGGAGAGACCTAAAGGTGACTTCGTGCATGGGAAGGCCTTTCTGCAATGCCGCGGCCTTCTTCTCAGCAAGAAGCTGTAGACTTTCCTGTAGTCGACTGAGACAGGCCAACCGATGAGAAGCATGATACAGGCACAAAGAAAGGGGGAAAAGAAAAAGAAAATAACACACTCAGAATAGTCCTTTTCGGATTGCCCATCACCATACGCGACACCTTCTAGGCAGATCACCGAGCCAGAACTGCCCCGGGCAGACGCTTCTCCCCATGTCTCATTGGAGCTGGGAGCCGGGGGCTCAGGGATTTCGTTGGAGGAGCAGGGGATCACGTCAAAGAGGTCACCGAGGCTGTGCGAAGAGAGCAGCACATGCTGCGACGACCGTGACAAGAGCTTGTGTCCCCAAGTCAAACGGTCATACACTGTTACAAATACGAGGGCTTCGCAAGGATCTGACACAATAGCAGGCAGAGATAAACACTTCTGATGAGACAATTTAGTTCCTGCCGACTATACACATACTAAAAGGCACGAGGCGTACCGTAGCCTGCAGCGTGTTGTGATCTGACTGTTTGGGCGGGCGTATGAATAATGCCGAGCGAAGAGTGAGTCTAAAAGCATGTGAGATGTCGGTAGTATTGTCTGCCGCTCTAGAACTTACGGCCAGCACTTGAGACGAACAGCTTCAAGCCCACGTCTGAGCGCAAGGACATCCGAATTCTCTTGTGCGAACTCATCGACTGCGGGCCGCTTTCTTTTCTTCCGGCCAGAAAGCTCAGCGGTCTCATGTATCGATTGTGTGAGCCTCTCGTGCATCTTCATAACGTGCGCCATAAGGCACGGATCCGCGATAACATCGTTCAACGACTTTTGCACATCTTGCACGCTATTCTAGTGCCGCAGAGGTGAGCGAGACATCACGTCAACTTGGAGGGGACTTGCAGTAGGTTTGCCACCGCCGATGGCACGCGTACCATGTCCGACCGGAAGAGAGTAGAAAAAACGCACCTGCATTCATCCGCTATCGATGACCGCCGTTCCTCTGAGAGGTCTATCCAATTTCGCCTCGCGTTCTCTGGGAGAGCATCGGCCGACTGAGTGAACACGATACGCTTTGACGATTCCATTTGCGAGAGTTCTTCCACAAATTCCGATATTTTAATGAGCTCCGAAGGTGGTCCAAAGTGGGACTCGTTTGCCAGTGTCTGTCCGCTAGCCATTGTACGGCCGACGGCTGCTGAAGCTTGAGGCCTGAGGATCGACGCAGGGAACGAGTACAGGCGCGCGTAGACGCCGAATCCGGTTCCCGTTTAGCCGGGTTGACCGGTCCGTAAAATACGGGGTGGTACCGCATGCGGGGGGAAGTCGCTCGACGATCCCGACGGCCAGCCTCAGCGACCTCTTAGACTCTCAATTTGTGCGAGTGCAAATGCTGTCCACAGTACGCTCGACCTTACCACGCTCTTTGCGTGCAGGTGCTCCTTTAGCACGCATCCACAGCGCTGCCACACCTCTCCTCGCCAAGTCGCTCTCGCGTCCGACTCCCGTTCAAGCTCGTTCGACAGCAATTCTCAGGACCAGCCTAGGCATACGCACGATGTCTCACCACGCAGATGCTGCGGAGAGTGCCGTACGCCCCGAGCCCGACCAGGTGCTCCAGGACATCGCCGATTACGTGCACAGCTACAATATCGACTCTGAGCTGGCATTTGAGACAGCGAGGCTCTGTCTGATCGATACCATAGGATGCGGTCTCGAGGGCATGCGGTTTGAAGCCTGCGCACGTTTGATGGGCCCGGTGGTCGAGGGTACAGTCGTGCCGCACGGTAAGTCCATGAATGGAGCGAAGGGCGAAGAGCGTCTTGCTGACCTGGCCTTACTAGGCACCAAAATCCCTGGAACTAACTTCCAGGTTGACCCCATCCGTGGCGCGTTTAACATTGGTACTCAAATTCGATGGCTCGACTTCAATGACTGCTGGCTCGCAGCCGAGTGGGGACATCCTTCGGACAATTTGGGTGCCATCCTGGCCGTCGCTGATCACCTCGCGCGCAAGGGCCAGCCTCTAACCGTCCGCGATGTGCTCGAGTCCATGATCAAAGCTCATGAAATCCAGGGTCAGCTCGCCCTTCTGAACTCGTTCAATCGGGTTGGCCTTGATCATGTCGTCTTGGTCAAGGTGGCTAGCACCGCCGTCGTATCCAAGCTCTTGTACGTAACTTGTATGTTTGCTAGCTTAATTGATATGCCAACTATTCTTAGGGGCCTTGACCGTGTGCAGACTATCGATGCCGTTTCCCAGGCGTGGGTAGATGGCCAGTCTTTGCGGACATACCGCCATGCCCCGAACACCCAATCGCGCAAGTCATGGGCCGCCGGCGATGCCTGTTCCCGTGCAGTCAATTTGGCTTATCTAGTTAAGAAGGGAGAGAAGGGCATGCCGTCCGTCCTCACCGCGAAAACATGGGGCTTCTATGACGTACTCTTCAAGGTATGGCTGTCAACTAAGTCCGATATCTGTATTCGCATCCATTCACTAACTTTATTCTCGCACACCAGGGCAAGCCGTTTGAATTCGCGATGCCTTACACATCGTACATCATGGAGAACGTGCTTTTCAAGATCTCGTATCCGGCCGAGTTCCACGCTCAGACGGCCGTCGAAGCCGCACATATACTCCATGCGAAGCTCAAGGAGATGGGCAAGAGCTCTGACGACATCAAAAGTATCCGTATTCGTACACAAGAGGCTGCCATGCGCATTATCAATAAGAAGGGGCATTTGGACAACTTTGCCGATCGAGAGTGCGTCTCTTTTCATGTTGGCTCTTCATATACCATTGCTGATCGCCCTCGATGAATCATAGCCACGATATTAACTACATGGTTGCGTTCCCGCTCATCTTCGGCGAACTCACATCTGAATCTTACATGGATACGGCGGCCGCGGATCCACGGATCGATGCGCTGCGTGCGAAAATCACCTGCGTCGAGGAGAAGCAGTACAGTATTGACTACCACGAGCCCTCGAAGCGCTCCATCTCAAATGCCATTACCGTCGAACTCAACGACGGCTCTGTCCTGCCCGAAGTCGAGGTCGAGTACCCCGTTGGACACAAGCGCCGCCGTGCTGAGGGCACGCCCCTCCTGCTTGCTAAGTTCAAGAGGCATATCTCTGCCCACTTCGATGGGGCTCAGCAGAAGAAGTGAGTAATGTATAGATATGAAATTATTGCAGCTCTGATGTTGTTATCCTGCCAATAGGATTTTGGACACCGTCAACGACGCGGCTTCCTTTGCTAAGCTCCCCATTGATAAGTTCACTGACCTCTTCGTCAAGGCGTAAATCATGTGGTGTAGTGAGACTTTGGACGGTGATAGGATCGTTGCCGGAGTGCGATTTTCGTCGTTCGACGATCCTGTACTGTTGTTACGAGACATTTCTTTTGGCAGATATTACGTCTTTTGCCAGCTGGTAGTTGCGCGCGACGTGTCTCGTGTCAGCAGACATGGAAGAAGGGCAACCCAACTTCTGTCAGCGGCACCCACCCCACAGGGCATCATCACTCGGGCCGACATCACGCCGTGCGAGGTTGCATAATGCTTGCACACGAATAGCCCCCAAAGATTTGGAGACGACGTGCCACAAAGCGCAGTGCTTACGGGATTGCGAGAGGTGGCAAGTGGGGACGCGTGCGAACAGCCCATCGCAACGAGGGCGTAGGCCAGACCAGGAAGGGACACAGCGCCATCTCCGCGAACAGCGGCGTCCTATCCTCCTGCCAGTGTCTTTTTGTCGCACGAGGAAGATCAGAAGCAGCTTTAGAGTTGCAATGCATGTATGGTACCGGCGGCGAAATGCACTCCCCGCTGCGTGAGCATGAGAGGCTCTTGCTGTGAATGGCACAGCAGCGATGTGCAGGCCATGCGCACGACGAGAGAATGGTGCTTCTGTCGGCCATGTGCGGTTGCACACGCTCCCTCTTCGACGCACCCTTTGTCCACGCGCAAAGATAACCCGTGTCCCGGTGAGTTGAGTAAATACCGACTGACGTCGCCGTTGATACGAGCAGCATCTAGTGCAGGCCCCAGGGCCGCCCGGTTTATCATCGGAGAAGGTTCCGACGGCACAGGAAGGCTCGAAGTCGTATAGCGCATCGGCGGCGCGGGCAGTAATTCCAAAGCCCGACACTGTGACTGATCGATTCCCGTCGGTATATTGGGCGTCGCGGGATATCTACGACCCAAGTATGGTGCGAATTCACCCACCTTACAAAGAGTTGTCAGCTGTGACCGCTGCAACAAAACGTCCCGGCATGTGCGCAGTCCTGGTGCTGGTTGGTTATTGACCCGGCTCACAGGATAGATACAGTCATGGGAGGGCCCTTGACGTTGCGCCGATCCATGGAGTGACTTATTCGCTTCAGCGAGGCTGGGCTCACTTTGAGCGGCGCCAGGAGTGGCCGGCGAAGGTCTTCTGGCCGAGAAGACACCCTGGGTGAGGGCAGCCACCGCCACTTCACGGCTTCCGTAAGTACTAGTGCAAATCTCACCGCCTTGTCAATTTAGTTGTGCGTACGTGAGCCTGTTCGCCGCGATCTTGCGCATTCGGGGCGACTGATGGCGGGGACCCGGAGCTGCATCCGTCGACGCTGCTGAATGTCGGAGCGCCGCGCTGAAGCGCGTCCTCCCCGCGGCGGAATTGCACCTCAAGCCAGTTAGACGGTGCTGTATCGTCTACACACAAGCGATCAGCTTGTAAGCGATCCCGCGAGACTTTAAACTTGCATCGTCGATCGGCTCGTGTGCTGAAAGCTCTCCGGCAAGTCATCAACTCAGCAGTCCGTAATAAAGCAGAAACCAGACGTCTGTGCGCGCCGCTAGGACTCCGGACTTGTTACCGTGCCGGCGTTGGGGGTCGAGCTTCATTCGATCATTGTCCCGCCTCTTCACTTACGCCGTCGAGGGTGCCCCAGTTCATCTCCGCTGATCTCCACTGATGCGCCAAATCGCCATCAGCTGAATGCCTTGGTGGCGCTCCGGGAGTGTTCACCAGATCGCTGCGGTGATAAAGCCAGAGGTGCTGCCTCTGTTACCCCGACACGCCTTGCGACGACCTACACAAGGCGTGATGGTGGTAATCAATGAGTCGCTCGGTCGCGCGGCGTCCCGACACCACACGTCGCTGCATACCGTCTTCTCTCCGGTGATCAAAGAAAGTGCCATGCAAGCCAGAGCCTGTGGTCCGCACGCCGCACGCCTTCCGAAGGCCTAGGTGTAGCCCGAGCTTACAATTTGTGTGGACGGTTGACAGCCACCTTATACTTCTTCTGATTAGCTTCCGTGCTCTATTGGGCGCGATCCCGGTGACGATCCAATACACCGCTGACTTTTTTCGTAATGCGTATGTCGTTCAACAAGGGGCGTCCAAAAACGGAAAGGTAGCATTGCAAGCTTGTTTGCCACTGCCACTGCCACTGAAAATGCTAACTGTCGATGTCCGTTGCATTCTCTCAACCTTCGACGTGTTTCCTGCATGGATGCGGACAAAAGAGAACGTAACCGTCATATAGGGGGTAAGTGCACAGACGGGCCCGTCAGAGTGCGGCAGCGTAGACATCACAGTCGTGGTGAGCATTTGATGCAGGTCATGGCCGTGATGTCCCTACTGGGTATGAGTCTTGTCCCATCCGCAAAGAGCCAGATGGCCAAGGGCAGAGCCATGACCTTGTTGTTATTTTCGGGAGATCCCCGAGGTGCATGCGGGGTCAGATCTCCCGGCGCCTGGAGCGCCTCTGCTCATGAATTCAATGCCGCGGGGAGGTCAGCGAAAAGAAGACGCGAATTCACTTCCGACCTCGCAGTGTGATCTCGAGGAGGGCCCGCTCTACAAATCCGTGAAGTAATGGTGGGAATATAGGGGCGGCTGGGGCCAAGGGACGCGGCATCTCTCGTAAGTCATCTGATAGAACGGACAGATGCTACAGTCTGCGGTGGAGATATGGTGTGCACATATGAGATACATTTCTATGGCTGGCGGGAGGGCGGGCGCCGTTCGTGGGATATGGAGTGGAGAGGAGGTATCAGATGTGGTGTCCAGCTAGTACGTAAGGCCGTGCACAACATCGTCCGATATGGTTCTGCATTTTGAGAGCAGCTCAAAACTTTGTGCCTGCTGCCGCGGCAATACAACACGAGGCAAATGTGAAGAAACAATAATATTCTCGTGAAAACGGCATGCCTGTTATCTCGCTGTCGTTGATGACCTACGGAGGAGTTCTGTTACTCCGGAACACATCGGAATGGGACATGGTGTCACAGCACTCCCGTCGTAAGGTCGCCCTTCGCCATAAAAAGCTAGAATACGGAGCAAATTGAGTCGGGGTAGGTCCCAACTACACGTAACTGGTTCGCACTCTAAAGATATTATATTTTCCAGCGCCTCGTGGCTACGAGCGCCAGAGCGCCATGCATCATCTGCTCGCGGGGGGTGCTATAGAAATGACTAGCTCCGATGCTCATCTGTGTCACTATCGTCCCATGCATCTGGGAGTGATCACTGAGTGATCATGGTTGTGTGAAGTGGAATATGCTGCGTGGCGGCATATGATACACGGGCAGGGTCAAGAAATGCTTATGAACAAGCATGGCTTCCTCTGCGAAGCCGAGATGAATGGATTCTCCGTTTTGATGTAAAGCAATCTGGGAAAATTTATGAAGGTACGTTGGTACACCCTCAAGATCTCTACGGTCGATCCCCGATTATGCGGTGATCCGCAGACCAGTATGTCGACGACCTCTAAATGCTTCCCGGGAGTTTGTCCCTCCCAATTTCCTCAAAAGCCGCCAGGATGCAGAGTGACCGACCACAACTCCCTCCCCTCCCACGTCTCTACCGTAGCCATGTCGGACCGTCCGCAGTAGTCAGTAGCTCTCGTTGACGCGTCTTGTGCCCTCGTGCTGACACCTTTCCAGTCACTTCGCCAACGACATCTACAATGTTCAACGTACCGTAGCCGTTGAACCAATATCGTCCAGTCTTCACCCTGCGCCTTCGTCCTTCGAGCCAGAACCTGTTCAGCGCAAACGGGGCAAATTCACCCGTAGCAAAACCGGTTGTTTGACGTGCAGGACGAAGAAAGTGAAGGTGCGTCGTATACTGCGGCCGGCCGAGACGTTCCTGTCTGATTTCCTTCCTCCCGCCAGTGCGATGAGGAGAAACCTGACTGCAAGCGGTGTCGGGATACCCAGCGCAAGGTGGGTTCTGTTCGACGCCGACTGTTCCGCGTTCTAACTCTAATTTCGCAGTGTACATGGCCCGAAATCGTCCCGACAAGGAAGCGCCCGGTCAGGAAGGAGCCTGGTACAAGGCAGTCCGAGTCGCCGTTAGATGTGAGACCGTCGACAGCTGGTTCCTCGGGGCTTTCTGAACTGTCAACGACTCCTCCACGAACGCACTCCCCACCGAAACAGAACGTCATGGCTGCGCATTCTCTCTCGCATTCGTCTCTTTCGCATCCTCCAGCGATTTCTCATTCTTCTCTCGCACACCGACAAATGTACGTCCGACTTCCGCTCTGCTCTTCTGGCCGTCCTTTTGATTGATTTCTTATCTAGTCCATCATCAAGCATCCCATCTGCTCATCAGCGTCAGCAGTACGTGCCTTCGCGTCCGCTGTACATGAACTGGCGCTGACATGAGAGCTTTAATAGGATGATGGGCACCAACAGCCTGCCATACACTTTGCATTCTCATGTTCAAGCACCCACGGTTCCTGGCATTCCAAGCATGTCTGCGCATCAATCAGCTCATCCCTCATACTCATATCGTTACCCTACGCAATCGCACTATGTACAACAGCAACAATACCCCTCCATGCATGGTCTTTCACGTGTTACGGCTCATCACAACGAATATGGCTCCGTTAAACTTGAGGAGACCGGCGACTCTCCTGTCAAGTTCGAGGACCATGCGGACGAGTGGCAGTCTCCTCACTTTAGTCAACACATAGACCCCATACAGCCGTTTGTGAGTGACGTTCTTCTTTCCTATGCGCTTTAGGTGGCTGACTGCGCGACAGTTCCCGTCTGTGCAAGAGAGAGACTTGGTGGGGCATTCGAATTCTTATGTTCAGTATAGATACCCATCATGAATGCTTTTCTTCGCATCACTTTCAAAGATACGTCATTACTGCCAACATTCGCTGAGCTTTATGATGGCTCTCCCGTCTGAGAATCCCATCCTTGCTGCAAACCTGCAATTTGTATTGAGTCGTGTTTCCGGTTTCGACATGCCGGTCGACTCTCTGCGCAACGCATTGCTCGGCATCGCAGCCGTTCATACATCGTTTCTTGCCGCCCGCGAGGGCGACGCCAAGACCGCTGACGACTCGGTGCGACTCGCGAATGCGTACCGGTCTCAGTCCGTGTGCTTGCTCAATAAGGCTTGCTTGACTACCGAGGGTGTCCAAAGTGATTCTACTATCGCCGCCACTGCCGCCATCGCCCTGCTGGATGTGAGTGCTTCAAACGTTAAGTTGCGGCTGCTCGAGGCTGAAACGTGGACTGCAGATCCTATCGAGCGGACATAGTTGGGCTGCCAATCTCGATCTTGTGAGGACCGTCGTCAACGCCCGAGGCGGTCCTGCCGTAATTCTCGCCCGCAGCGCACGTCCTCAAATTGGGACAATCTCCGGGGTGTCGCGCGCTCGTCTGTTCCTTGAAACTGTTGCCATGTATGAGTTATTCGGCCAGTGATGTTATTTTGTGTTTCGTTGCACTGCTCATGACGCCGCGTAGGCTGCATCGGAACCGGTCAAAGACCCACGGTGCTGCAACCCGACGCGGACGGATGGTGGTCAGTTCACATCGCGCATTCCTGTACGCGGCCATGGCCGAAAATGTTTCCTCGTAGGCTCCAAGCTGCGAACAACGGCGATGATCAGTCCCACGTCGACGAGTGTTTCGGTATCTCGCGCTCGCTTGTCCCGTTATTGTCACGAGTGCGTTGCATCACAACCTCAACAATTTGTCCCTCTGATCTCTAGGCACCCGCAGGTCGTATCCGTCGTCTGCGATGTGCTCGAAAAGTACTCGGACGAGGCCCCTTGTAAACATGACGGCATGCACCTGATGTACAATGCCCGCGTACTGTATGACGCGCTCGACAGCTGGTCGGAGCCAGGCACCGTGCACGAGCGTATCACGGCGGGTAACTGTATCTACAGGAGCGCGGCTCAGGTGCGTCGGGCCCGTTGTTGCAGGGCCGATAGCCTCACGCTGATGGTACTGTTCCGTAGATATTGATCCTCCGAGACGTGTTCGGCCTTACACCGGCGGACGTCGCTGTGCAGCGCCTCGCGAACGTGGTGCTGAGTCTTGCTGCCGATTGCGGCGCACAGAGGCTCTCCGTTGGGTATGTGAAGCTCCGTGATATTCATACGCTGTGCTGATGCGGACACTTCGGAACAGTCTGAACTGGCCTATGATCATTGCTGGTTCTCAAGTTGTTGGAGCTGACCGTGCACGGGTGCTTGATATCTTCGAGTACTTCCGGTGCGTCCTATTTGTCACTATGCCGCATACACGCTGCTAACTTGATATATTAGTAAACAATGTGGGTGAACCTCTCAACTATGATATCTTGCAGCCCGGTTTACGTGACCTTCAGGTTGCTCCGAGCTTGAGACTTCGGCATATGTAGTCTCTCAGGTGCGTGTGTTTCTTCGCAGCTGTGCATACAACTTCCCCGTAACTTCGCTAGGTTCGGAAGCGCATGGACATCAGCCTCCCCGGTGCCGACTGGCGATCTGTAATGAAGGACGAAAGCATCGACGTGCTCATCGTCTGAGACTACGATCGCGAGTTTGGTCCTCTTGCTAGGGAAGTGGACCCTGAAAGTGCACCCCCATATCTACTCCACCTAATAATGCCCAATTTAAGCCGATGAAGATAATTGTACCTGTACATAGCAATAAGAATACTGTTGTTCTGTCTCCTCGACCGTTGCCGGCCACGCCGCGGATGGGTGATTTGCGGAATCGCGCAGGGGCGCAACGAGCCCGTGACCTTGTTGAATTTCTCAGGCATCGCAAATGCCCGCCCTAGACTCTATCCGAGCTTCCCTGGCTACTGCATGAGGGCGAATCACACGAACGCGCCTAGTGCCCTACTACCGCAGGCGCCCGCTACGAATACGACAAAATGCCTGCGACGGAGAGATGTAGATGGGGGAGGCGTCTTCCCTCGCGGCCAAAGCGTCGAGATCAAGAGGTCCCTGAGACGGCGATAAAGATGGCCCTGTATACGAGAGCAGCGCTGCCTTTCTCGACGAGCGATGAGCACCGATGGAGCAGGGATAGTTGCTGCCAACGGCGGCACGGCACTTGTGCGGAAGAACTCGCAGGGCCAACAGCTTCGCTGTCCTGCGGTGGTATCACTGACACGTACACATTGCGCAGGCTTCTTTTCTTAAATCCGTCAACGTCAGGATCTGATTCCAACAATCATAAGAGACTGCAAGAGCAGAAATTTCTGACCGGCGGGAACAGGAGGTGTAGAAGGCGTGTGATGCGATGCGAGGGTCTCGCGAACCTGAAGCAAAAACGGTAAACTCCACGCGCGGTCGGGGTCGGGCGAGAATGACGTAAGGTTAGGGTCGCTTCGTATTTATCGGAGGACATGACATGACAACTCAAACGTGGGAATAATATAGGTGGCAAAGTGCCGGCACAAACCGTACATATGCGCCGCTGGGGCATTAGGAACAGACTAGTGAAGTATAGTCAAACTTCCTCAGGCTCAAATGACACCGGACTTTGAACTTGTTGAAGCGCACAAGGCCCAAGCACCACAGCTGAGGGAGTCGTCTGCCAGGTATCTGATATAGGGGCAGCACGCGGTGATGCAACATCGCAAATGAAGAGCGCACCAGACGCATGGCCAGTCACTGGACTGGTCCGACGGGAGGGGGAGAGTTATTGACCGCGATTTCTAATGGTGAGACAACGGGAACAGAGCATCGCAACATAGAGACATACCGGCAGCCGCGTTAATGTACGCATCCATGTGCGCCTTGGAACAGGGCATTCTATCCACTCGTCACCGGCCCCCGCGCAAGCGATTGGGGATATGTCAGACGCTTTCTAGCAGACGCTGACATGCTGACATGGTATACATAATCATCATTGCTGCGTCCAATGCCGGGCGCGTGCCAAGCATACCATGACTCTACGGCGGCGAAGGAATACTGCGAGGAATGGAGGAGACATATTAAGCAGTAACAGACAGCCATGGCGACAGCGGAACGATAGAGTCACTCCGCGTTGGCCTGGAGCTGTGGATTGACAAGAAAAGGCTATCAGCGTCGGGACAGAGCTCAGGCTATCTCGGGCAGCGCGTTCAAAGACGCCGGACATATTATCAGAGCACTGCCTCATTTCCTAGTTCATGGTGGCATGTCCAAGGTGAGTGAAGGCTAGCCTGGGAGCTACAGTATACGGGGGTTGGGGATGAAATTGCGTGCTGCACAATCTTGACTGATGATACTCACGGTAAGTGTTCTGCCCTGCCATACCGAAGAAGTGACGCAGAAAGAGGGCGCTGCTCGGGATTACAGAACCTCTGTAGCCGCTACTCGCTTCCAGAAGTCTGTTACGGACGGCGAGACTGCCCCACAGTCAGCGACCGGTTTACGGACATCGCATGCTACGGAGCGAAGACAGAAGCAGGCAGTGGAGGCAGTGAGCCGTGTGGGGTTATCACTGCTCCTATGCGACTGCGGAGCGACCCATGTGTAGCCATAGTTTTTCTTTGGACAGCCATAGTAACCACGGGTTATGGGTAGGGGCAACACATATGCTGACGAGCTTGAAGACGCATGAGAGAACGAGTTACTGTACAAGGTCGCCAAGGTGGCTACCTCTGTCGGCCATGTTCGGAGCGCCTGTCGTGAGCGCCCGGACCCGTGTGAACAAAATGCGCAAGAGGCGACAACACGCAAGAGTCAGAAAACAATCTTTTTCCGGGGACGAGTCATGCTGCCCAGACAGGAGGATGAGCGAGGAGATCACGATTCATGAGGGTAGCACGAGCTGTCGATAGGCAGCCAGGAGACGGAAGACGCGAGAATTTGGTCAATATGCGCGACAGGCAGGGCTATCGGCTGCCCCCTGAGGCTGTGGGGGATCGAGTAGGTGACTGGAAGAAGCGAGTACGTATGCATTTGAGGCAAAAGCATGGCGAGTACGACGGCAGGAGCTTGCACACCAAGACAAGGGATCTTGGCCACTGGACTGAGCGAATCAGCACCGCCTGAAGAACGAACAGCCCGCAGGCCAGAAGGAGCGGGCAAGCCGCGGCGGGGACTAGAGGGCAGCCTGGCAGTGAGTGAGCGTGACTCGGCACCGCCCCGGGGGCCAACCTTCGGCCGTGACGGTCACGGGGGTGACTAGCAAACGCCCGGGGGTGGTGATTTGGTCTGACTCCCGCTCGCCGTGTGGTGACTCCCCCCGCCGTATATAACCCCTTTGTCGGTTATCCCGCCCCTCGAAGACAACCTCCTCGCCGCTCTGTACAGCAAACTCGCACTTTCGAAGCTAATCCGAACCCAGCGGCCTCCCGTTCTTCCTGCCTTTGGCGAAGAACAGTAAACGCCCGGATCGTCCTTAAGTCGCAGTGACTTAGGACAGTCCGACCACTCCTCAACTAATCGAAATGTGTTCGCCGCGTCTCAATATAGGAAGATACCCCCATCCGTCGCCCGTCGTCTCTGCCGCACCGTCTCTCGTCTTCCCGTCTTTTTCTAGCTCCATTGAAACCATTTTCACCACCACCACCGCCAATGCCAAGTTGATTTGAATTTTTTTCTTGTCCCTAGTCTCGTTAGTCCAAATCTCAACTCAAGTTCTTTGCTCTCTGATTCAACATCGACCTCGAATGAACGCAATTTCGCACTCGCTAGCCCATCGGGGCCCTGGCGCCTCGCGCACCAGGTCCCGCTGGCAACCTTACCACTCCACGCTTAATCCCACCTGCTCGACCCAATATCGCTCACCTCAGTCTTACTTGCATACCCCTGCTTCCACTATATTATCTGTATCCCCCGCTTCCTACATCAGTCCCGTCTGGAACCTCGACCAGACTCGCAAACACCCATCGCTCCCGATTGCCGCCCAGTCTGTGCAGACCCAGACCAATCCCGTTCGAGATGCGCAGAAGAATAAATATGTTACTCGACTTGTTGGTGAGTCTGCGGTGCCTAACGTCTATGCCCAGCCGCATTTTTTTTGGTGATTGTGAGCGGTGCTCATGGCTCCTGGCGTGCAACAGATCAGGCTGTCAAATCCCTGTGCGATATCTGGCGCCCCGAGGACATCCCTCAGGCTTTCCGTGTCTGCCCCCAAGACAGTGCCGCCACCACGTTTGCTTGCGAGAAGAACCCTGCTTCTGGTGAGATCCCCCTCATGCAGCTCCCCCTGCGGAACTCGCAGCTTCCATCTCCGATATCGCCGTCAACTCAAGCGTCGCCCTTCTGTTCTCCCTCCATCTCTCCCCAGGCTTCATCTTCCAGCGGTTGTATTCAGATGGACCATCTCATGCCTATCCGAGGATTCGTTCACGAGGTGCTCCGTCGTTCACGCACTTCGACGGGTGTCCTGCAGACGGCGTTGTGCTACCTGGAGGCTGTTCGTTCCAAAGTGCCTGATATCCTTCAACAGGAGCGATTCAAGGAATTGCACCCTGATGCTTCCATGACAGAAGATTCTGTTCAGCGGATCTTCCTCGCATCTGAGATAGGATACGGTGACACCAGCTTGGACTTGACTGGCATCTACGAGAGCGACACTGATGTCTCGACAATATCCGGGACGTCTACGACGACTCTTGTTGATGTCTGCCCGCAAGAACCTCTGACTGCGCCGCCCACGGAGCTCATCTCTAACAGCGACGCGAACCCGACTGGTCCACCTCCCATCTGTCATACGTCGTCAAAGATTCCATCGGCACCTCTTCCGCCTCTCCCTCCGTCGCCCTCTCCCCTCCTCTGTCCGCGTCGTACATTCCTCGCGTGTCTCATCCTCGCGTCGAAGTTCATGCAAGATCGTTCATATTCGAACAAAGCGTGGGCAAAGCTGGCCGGTCTCCCGCCACGGGAGATCGGCCGCTGTGAGCGCGCCCTCGGCGAAGCATTGGAATGGCGGCTGTGGGTCGGCAAGGGACCATCTGCGCCGAGTACAACGTCTGGCAGCATTCACCGAGCAGTCGCGCGCTGCCGCAGCGAACTCGCCGTCCGGTCGCCGTGTTCCTGGCCGACTCCCACGACTTTGGCGCCGCTGTACCCAGCCCACGCTGCTGCGGTGCAGACCTGTTCCCGGAGCCTATCAAATCTCCGGCGCGCCGCGACAATGCCGAACATGGAGGCCAACGCTGGCGATGGCTTCCCATGCGCGAACGCGGCCACAGTGTCCTATGAGCCCTCCGCGGCGACAGCTATGGAGGCGACGCTCATTGCGGAACCCGACATGGACGACTTTGCAGGAGCTCCTGTGCCGTCCATGCTTGTCGTACCTACGCTGCAAGCGTCCTTGTATGTGGGCGACGTATCATCACCGTCGCTCTCGACACCCGGCCTTGTGTATTCGCCCATGTCGACATCGTCAACGACATCCTCAGACGATGGAGATCGTACCGCGCATCTCGGGTTCCGGCACATACCCTCGAGCCTCGGCTACTCCGAAATTTCCGCTGACGCTCCTGGCGGAAAACCATTCGTCATGGACTACTCGCCTTGGGCGGTGAGTGAAACAATTTTTGCGAGGAACAATCTCCCTTCGCTCGAGCCGTATGTCGTCGACCAGCCTGTGCGGCTCCCGCTGTTATCCGAGGCCGTGTCGAACCCTGCCCTGCTCGAACGCTCTGTCGGACACCTAGCTGGTTTCCTTGGCTCATTCATTCATGGCCAAGGCGTCGGCACAGCGAACTCATACAGTACTTCCGCTAATTGGTCGGTGACTGGTCTGCATTGAACACGTTTTGTGATTCGGAGCTACGGACTGACTTAGCATTGGTGGTGGTGGTGGTTTCTCTCTTTCTCTCCTCTTGTACCAGCTCGTATTACTTATTCCCAAATTTCAGTTGTGTACATAGTTCTCACATTTTGTGCCCATTCATCTTTTCGGCTCTGCTCGCTTTCCTCTGTCCCATGTTGTGTTGTCTCCTTGGAAGGCAAGTGTACTTGTGACAACCCTTGTACAACAGTAGATGCTCGTCTCCATATGTCATCTATGGTCTATATGCCCACACCATACATGCCACTTAAAGCGGATTGAGGTGTAAGTGTCAGCCGCCTTATTCTGTTTTCGTGCTCAAAGAACATGTATCTATGCTGAGCTGTTTTGCGTCGTCAAGGGCGACCTGCTATCTTCATCTATCGCTGCTACGACCATCATGAAACCACAGCCACGACATCATGGAATCCGCAAAACAACAAATGTCCCCGAGCAGATCAAATTCCATCATACATCGGACCGTTGTCCAAGACAGATCTTCCGGATATCCATCAGGCGGAACGCGGGCCCGGGGGCGAAGCCTACTCGTTGAAGAACTCGAGTGGTGTGCTCTCGATCTGGATTGCGCGCCAAGTCATCGGATGGCCGTCGACATTGCGGTTGCCTTCGTCTGTCCAAATCGAATGGAATAACACATCCTCGGTACCCTATATGTGCAGAGTGGTATTAGAAGGAACACTTAGAACAGATATAGAACAGATGAAAGCGAAGATGCGCACTCGATTGGGCGGGTCGTGAATCCTGCAGAACGACGATCGTGCTCAGCCGCTAAACTCTCTTGTAGCATCAGGTACACGCACCTGATATGCACATAGCCAGCACCCTCCTCATCCTGCACGGCGGGAAGTCTGATCTTGCCCAGGATGATGGTGCCGTACGACGTCGGTGCGCTGCGGACCTCGACGAGATCGCTCTCGATCGTGAAGTGGACGAGCTGCTCATCAGTGAGACCCGCGGCGCGTGCCCACATCTTGGGCTCGTGCTTGTTCCAGTGGTGCCGCGACTTGATGATCTCGGACTTGATGGTGTGCAGGACGACGTGGAAGGCCTCGATGGCCTTCTCGCCTGGGCGGTGCGGCGCGTTCAGGATGATCTCTTCGGCGGATGCTGGCGAGGGCATGAGCTGCTGAACCTCTCGATTAGTCAGACTCAGTTAACCCACCCATGACTTTGCTTGGTTTCGCGATGTCAGTGGATCTCCTGGGAGCGATGTAACGTGCCAAGAGCGAAGAGCTTTCGCACGACGCGTCGGCCCGGAGGGTGCGGACGCCACAAAGCTGATGGCTCCCAGTATAGCAGGCAACGGTGGCCAGCTGGCACGAGTCAGACGACTACGCAAAGCGATCGTGTGGTCCTTTGTCGAGAACGAGAAATGGAGTTAATTGTCACAGATTTATGGCATGAGGCAAAGAATCACGGATGACCTGCCGTTCTAGGCGGACATATAAAGCCATCTACAGTGAGCCCAGAGCCGCCAGCTTGAACGGTCCTAAATCAGTACAACAACACCAACTCGGACCATGTCTCCTCCGCAGTCGTCAAACGAAGTGACATTTCCGGATGTGCTTCGGCGGATTCGGGCGCGCCGCGCTGGACCAAGAAGCTTCAGCCGCCCGCCGAATGGTACACTAGGCATCGATTCGTCCGGGATAGTGAGCACGGTGTTGAAGAGCATCCGACGCCGGCACTTGCATCGAACCGTAACGCTTCACTTCACCGACGGCACCGCTTACTAGGTCCGCATCGGCCACCACAATCTCCGCACTCTCAAGCAGGAAACCTCGCGGCATAATTTATACAGCGCTGGCCTTCCGGTGCGCAGAACAAGCACTCAGAACGGTTCGGACTGCAGCATATGCTCACACATTTGCACTGATCGTCGCATCTGGAATAGAGATCTGAAGTAGAGACTTGCTACCGCGTCTGGGTCCGTTTTGAAGAGCGCAATAAGTGGGGAGTATGCATCTTCAGGGACTACCACGACATCCATCTTGAGCGACTAGACAGGTTCCCGTTGCCCCATGGCCAGCATCTTTCCAAAAGCGCGAGCCAGAGGTATATTGATCCACGCTGTAATGCTTGTGACAGAACTAGGAATGTCAATATCAATGTTTCTTTAGGCCAAAAGCTTAACAGACTGCTTCTGATACAACAACGTGAGTTGGCGAGCGGATAGGACTCATCTTAACTTGCATTTAGGTGACATTTGATAGGGTTATGACAGGGTCATCTCTATCGATAACGAGATGGCGAGTTAACCTGACAAAAAGACACGAGCGAATATCGACTGAGGAATGAAAACCGGACTGATTTGACTAGCCTCCAGGTTCGTCACAAGACGTCAAGCCCATGTCAGTCTGAAACAGGGGAATGGAGCTTTATCCATCATTCGTCATTGTCCGTGCGAGAAGAGACGGGCGGTAGTAGTCGCCTACCTTCCCATGTCTCGTCAACCATGGTCCGTCTCCGTAAAAGTGTTACGTATCTTGACGGCCAACTGTGCTGAGCAGGGCCGCGGTGAGACATGTCGGACAGCCGTGCGAAGAGGCCGTCTTTGACAAGGGAGACGAAGATCCCGGCGACTAGGGCGGGGCTGGAGCGCGCATGATCGTAGTCGGCGGTGCTTCGTTTGAGTAAATAGGTATATGAATGTCGTCAGCCGTCAATGCCTAGCGATTTGACGGGACGCCAGCACGTACTGATCGGTGCAAGACAGAACTCTGGGCTCGCCTAACCAGAAACCGGGATATATCCACCTTATTCCAAAGGCACCTCGAAGTCTTGACATGCCAGGGAGCATCCAGGTATAAAGGCAGAAGGTAATATTCGACGAGGTGGTGCCTGGAGCCGGTCGCGGCAGAGGAACAGTAAGTCACGGCTGTTTGATTATCACGCACGGCGACAAAAGCCGGAAAGGTTCAGCAAGACAGGCGACCTTAACGAGTTAGCCTCTGACACGCACCTTACCGCCAGCTGCAATCACGACATTGCTGGCGGGGCCGCAGCCCTGTATCGTTCGTGCCTGCATCTACCTCCATTTAATTGATGCCGATACCGGCTAGGTTTTCGGGCGAGCACCATTTGCGGCGACAAGATGATGTGCGACGAGTTAAGATACACAGCCTACAAACTAGGAAGAGGCCCGGAAGCATAAACGGCGTCGTTTAGCTCGAGATGAGCGCGTTGCGATGTGAGAGGTGCCACTGCTGGTGCCGCCGGATCCCAACGTCGGTGCGCAAGCGACGTAGCGACATGTCAGCCGCCGATGGACGGGCAAAGACAGCGGTCGATTTCCCTTTGTGCCGAAAGCAAGATCAATCCGCGTGGCTCGTAAATGGCACAGATGGCGTACTCACCGAGGAGATGCCTGGAGATGCACGCCGCTGTCGCGCGAGACGCAGCGCCTGGCGCTCCGCCGCGAGTGCTCCGTGCCAGGGCGCTGGAAGTTCTGCAAGACGCTGGTGAGCTTGCGCCCAAAAATTCGCAGAAAATCAAGAGTAAATCACATTCAATAATTCCCGGTGCCGAACTGCGGAGGCTTACCTGCTAAGTCATTGTTTCAGCGGCCGAAGGTGTTGGTTAGGATTTGGCTTCCTTCTTCGTCAGGCTGGGGAGTCTGGTCTAGATTCCCACGCTTCCAATGTCATCTACTACTCGCTCTCAGCCGCGAGTCTCATTCGCCTCATTGACTTCCAATAACCTCGGTAAGCAACCTTGCTTGCACACTATGCGGGCAAGCTAAAGCTTCCATAGGCACTGTTCGCAAGCTGAACTCTGTGCTCTTCCCAATCAAGTACAGCGAGAAATTTTATAATGGCATTGTCCAGCCTGAAGTAGAGGACGTTTGCAAGCTCAGTACGTCCTACCGGCCCTGATTGGTATCCAAGACTACGTGCTGACTGCAGGCGAACAAGCAAGTCTATTACAATGATGTGCCTGTAGGCACGTTCTGCTGCAGACTCGAAACGGAGGGCGAGGCGACGAGGCTGTACATCATGACCATGGGAATCCTGGCAGTGCGTTATCCCACCCTTGTCTCAGAAGCGGCCCAGCTGAAGCTTTCATTAGCCATACCGCTCAAGAGGGTTAGGCTCACAGAGCATGCAATACATCATACAAGCTGCCTCGGCACATGCGAAGCCAAGCATCTCGTCCATCTATCTGCACGTCCAGACGTCAAACGACGGGGCAAAGGCGTTCTACGAGAAGCACGGCTTCAAGGTTATCAGAGTGTATGAAAACTACTACAAAAAGATAGTCCCGCCTGACGCGTGGGTGCTTGAGCTAGAGGTGACACCCACGGCTGCTGATGCAGCTGCCGATGTGTCCCAAGCGTGAGGACGACGGAAACTGGTACTCAGAATGTATGTAGTATGGGGCATGGACGCGCCATCGCAAAATAGTCGTGGAGATTATCGGAACTGTTTTACATCAGCTGTACAAGTCTCGTGTGCAGTGCAGACGAAAAACATCCCTACACACGGGGCGGACTAGGGGGAGGTACTAGGTTATGCGGAGCTTGCTGATATTAGGTGAGTTTAGTCTCCTGGGCATGGAATTAGATGGGCTACGGCAGTTTCGTCTACGCTCACCACGATCATCGACCACGTCGTTACGCCCCCTCATCTATGCCACATCGCTTCACGAGCTGGGCGTAACCATCGTTAGCTTGGAGTGCGGGAGAGTGAACGGCGACGGCAGATGTACCTGGTGTCTTTTGAGTGCGTCCTTCCTCGTGAAGGTCTTCCCACAGCCTCCATTACACAGGAAAGGCTTCTCGCCGGTGTGCGTGTCACGGTGGCGTTTGAGATCATGCTGTCGGTTGAACGATAGCGCACACATGTCGCAGGAGAAAGGCCGTTGGGGCGAGGCCGGGTACTGCGAGGCCGTGTCCACAGCGGTCTGCGACTGCTGGGTGTATGCCGCTTGGGCCGCGTACTGTGGGTGTGGCGGATGTTGAACAGGGATGCCGCCGGGGTGTGGCGACTGCGGTGTGGCGTAGGGAGGTACCGAGTGCGGCGGAGGATGAGGATGAGGTGGTGTGTACGTGTACTGAGTCTGGACGGGAGCCCCAGGCGGCGGAGCCTGGAGAGGCACGCCGTTGCGGTCGACGGCCGGGTAGGGCGGCTGCTGGATGGACACACTCGGAGAGCGGTCGTGGGCGTAGGACGACCGGGTGTCGGACGTCTGGTAGGTGGGCAAGGACGATGTCTGGGCCATGGCGTAGGAGGAAGCTGAGTGCGAGTTTTGCTGGTGGGCGCTGTAGGAAGAGGAAGGGTAGCCGGCCGTGGGAGAAGAGCCCGCATAGCCCGGAGAATACTGGGCGTTGTTCTGCCACTGCTGCGGAGATGCATACATCGTCGCTGAGACCGGAGCAGTCTGAGTTCGCCTGTCTGACATGGTCGTCGGCGAACAGGGGAAAATAAGTAAGGGGCAACGTTGGCGTTTATGTTCGAATCTCCCCCAGCATATGTAGTTCCGGGCTAACGCTAGCGGGCCAGGTACCATCTCACTGCCACAATGCTCTTGAATCATCGAATGCAAGTCCCACTCTCGATCAATCAACCGCCGAGCAATACCACACAAACTTGGGACATTCAACCATACAACTTGCTGTGGCTGACCGTAGGGCGTTGATTGATTGTCTGGACCCCGACTCCCGACCCTGCAGCGTCTTCGCGCCGTAAAATCCCAGAGCAAACCCCTACGCCGCTGGTCTGACGACCAGCCATGCCTACTGTCTCCTTCCGACGTCAACGCATTTTGCCATCATCACCACGAGCCAAGAGGTAAGCGCATGCTCAGGCGTAATTTACCTATTTATGTCTCGCGCACAGTCCAGCGCGCGTCGACCTCAAGGAGCATTGTCCTCCACGCTCCAAGTACACCGCGCACAACGAACCCTCGGTGCGGTCTATTCTCTCCGGCGAGCGTGCTTTCTTTACGTAGACCACGGACTGACGCGTCTTCCCCGTGCAGGCCGAATGTCTGGTATTTTCAGGCAGATCAAAACAAAATTGTCCGAGCGCGGCATGTTCGACGTATGGTATGCACTTGCGCAGCCGGGGTGCGCCCTCACAAAAGGCATGGGGCTGTGTTGCGACCGGGAGGAAGCCATGATCCCGCGCTACGGTCGGCAAGTTACTCCAAAGAGCACTTGCTTCTGCTCAGCGCACAAACGCTCCAGTTGTCTGGGTACTGATGTACATAGTTGCTACACCTCCCTAGCCTGAGTAAGTCCTGCTTCCTGTTGACACGGTTACCACACTGATCTGCTGGCAAGGTTCAGAGGCCCGCACAGCCTACGATGAACTTTCCCTTTTTGTTCGGCACCCCTCAGGCCTTCAGGGGGGCTCTGGCGCGACCGTATGGCTACCCCTGGACGTGACTGACATCATTTAGTTGGGAATCCAGGAACAAGTAGTTTAGGCGCGCGACCGTGCGGCACCAGGGGGTCTTGGAGCATTGTGTCGTCGCACCTTCGCCAGGGTGGCGTCGACCGAGGCCGGACGTTCCCATTCCTCGTGGTCGCCCGCAGGAACGCTGTGCGGACGTCGAAACCTCGTTTCCGCGCTCGGGACATGAATTGACACGATTTCACATAGCTGTCCGGCCCCTGGAGCACAATCAAATCAGCGGGACCATCAAGGGTGAGTCGTTCGCGCACGCTAGTGCTATTGAGGCATGCCGCTGAGTCATGAGAGCAGGCCTTGTGATATGTAATGATTCGTTCGCATGCCATGAAAGGCATCTGCAGGCGCAAGTATCGGCGGTGACAGGTAGCCAAGACCGTAGCCATGGTCCCTGCCCGCTTGAGCACGAAGCTCTCAGGTCGTTTGCGCGATAACGTCTCTTCCGGAACACAATATAGAACCTGGTTGATCTTGTACACGGCGAGCATGCGCGCGGGTCAGGAGCTACGTAGCCTGTGATCAGCGGCGCATGTGAGACCTCGTCGGGACAGCCCGCGGGATTACGCCAGCTGTCAATTAAGAATATGTACGAAAAAAATACACGGTAGTGCTCAGCTTCATACACACCTTCCTCTTCGAACGGTATGCAAATCTGCGGGCTTCTAAGAAGGCTGTGAACCCGCCATGGAGCTGGGGCTACCCAACGATTCAGATGGGCTTCTAGTAAGAATGAATTCCCTGCTTTCCAGAAGAAAGGCTGTGAGCTGTGCGCCAAAAAAGGCATGCGTCGTTCATGCGCTTTGCCTCTCTCCATCATCCGCGCTGACGAGCGTAGACCCACCCCTCGCGCCCAACCAGCCGCCAGAGCAGCATGGGACTTGCCCGCGTTACGCTTGCTTGACAAATCCCCGCACTCCCAGGTACGGCATGTCCAAAAGACCGTTGAGCACAGCAGGTCCGTCGACTCCGCGGAAACGCAAAGGCCCGAACAAGGTCTCAAACAACCAGCCAAGCCTGGACAGCTTCTTCGGGGTGCGGCCTACGGACACCAGCCCGCGCCAGGCGGCCTCTAGCAGCAGCGCAGACCGCTCTCGGCCGCCTGGCGCCACAAGAGCGTCGGATTCGGCTTCGCTTGATGCTGATGAAGCGTTTGCGAGACGGCTGGCGGAGGAGGACGGCGTGGACACCCACATGCTCGGACACAAGCACTTTACAGCTTCTAGCACGCTAGCTGGTCCCAGCAAGCCTGTTGCTAGGGCGTCACCCGAAATTATCGATGTCGACCTTCTCGAGGACCCCGAACACGGTGAAACTGCCGTCTCTGGCTCGGGGAAGAAGTCTAACAGACCCGTTGCGCCTCGAACACCAGTCTCAGACGAACCTGGCTTGTCAAAGACAGAAGTTCACGGCAGCCCTACCTTGACTCGCACGCTCATAACCACCGAAGCAGTTGAGCAGGCAGCAATCTACCCTCCATTAGATGTGGACCCCGTTGCCTATTCTCTCGATAAATGCCCGTGGCAGCGCAAGTCTGCACCGTATTCGTTTCTAGCTCATGGACTCGCAACGCTTTCGAGCACTAAATCGCGCATAGCGATCATGAACGTGCTGACGAACACACTTCGTGCCATCATCAAGTTCCACCCCATATCTCTCTGCCCTGCGTTGTATCTCCTCTCTAATACGCTAGCACCGCCTTACACCCCTATTGAATTAGGCCTGGGCCCTTCCATCATGTCTAAAGCAATTCAGGACGTCTCTGGTTTGACTTCGGCCGCTCTACGGCGCCTCTACAATTCAACCGGAGATCCAGGCGGGTTGTCACCTTTGACTGCTAGTCTCCGGTGAAACTGACAGAATTGTAGGCGATGTCGCCTTTGAGGCCAAGTCGAACGTTCGAACGTTGGTCCCCCATCCATCGCTACTGATCGTTGGGGTTTATGACTCGCTGCTCAAGATTGCGCAATCGAAAGGCACGGGCGCTGCGAAGGCCAAACAGAGTATCGTCCAGAAGCTCTTGGTTTCGGCCAAAGGCGAGGAGACTCGTTATCTAGTGCGGACCCTGGGCCAGAACCTGCGGGTGGGTGCCGTGCGCACGTCGATCCTCACAGCACTCGCACGAGCAATGGTCCTGACACCGCCCGCGTCCATTCAATCGGCTGGCTCCGCATCCTATGCCTCAGACGCGCTCCTGGCCGAGATAAAACCTCTTCCGGCGGGTTCAAAGAAGAAGATGGCGGACACGGCAAGGGATGATCTGCTGGAAAAGTTCACTCGTGCGGAGGCAGTCATCAAGAAAGCCTATGTGCTACACCCGAATTACGACCACATCGCCGCAGCTCTTGTTGACGTTGGGCTGGACGGGCTAGCTGAACGCCTGCCTTTGACAGTGGGTGGGTACGCACTGCGCATGTACGGCCCCCGCTTACGTTCGGTCGTTCAGGAATACCTCTCCTTCCAACTCTGGGCTCGCCCGTGCGGTCGCTAGACGAAGTATATGACCTATTAGGATCACAGCCGTTCAGCGCCGAATTTAAATACGACGGACAGCGGGCGCAGATACACGCCGCCCGACGATCTCAAGGATCAAACATTGTGAAGATCTTCTCACGACATCTTGAAGATATGACTGACAAGGTACTTGGAATTCCATCTCATGTTTCCACGGCGAACCTATCGGATCTGATACGGATGATACATTCCCTGCCGTTACTCGGAAGCAGTACCCTGACGTCTCCTCCCTTGTCCAAGATATCTTTGCAAATTCCCAAGAAACCGAATCGTTCATACTCGATGCAGAGATTGTGGCCATTGATCCCGTCGACGGCAGCCTCAAGTCCTTCCAAGAGCTGTCGAATAGGGCACGAAGGGACGTGAAGCTGGACGACGTAAAGGTGTCAGTTTCTGTCTTCGCATTTGACTTGATGTACTTGAATGGGGAAGTATGTCCTGCTACCCCAGCTTTGCGTTCTTCTCTGACCTAGGTGGATGACAGATCCTCCTTGAAAGGCCGTTTCGGCTGCGTAGGTCGCTCCTTCGCACCGTCTTTCCGCCCGTGGTGCCGGATAGCACGAGTGCTGCGCAGTTCCAGCACGTGCAGAGCTGTGAGAGCGCGGACGGGAGGGAAGCTGTGGAGCAATTCTGGCAAGAGGCTGTGAGCAGCCGTAGTGAGGGTCTCATGATCAAGGTTCGCGCAGCGGCTCCACTCGCTGTCCGTCGGCTTGCTGACTATTCGGAGCAGCTATTAGATTCCGGCCTGGTGACGGAGGACAACAAATCGAGGCGGAAACCCCTGCCCGCAACGTACGAGCCCGGTACGGCTGCACTAGCCTCGAGGCCCTTGCGCTAGCTGACCGACGGGATCTCACTAGATAAGCGCACGGCGGCATGGCTTAAGCTGAAAAAGGACTATGTCACCGGGCTCGGGGACAGTCTTGACCTCGTGCCAGTCGGCGCATGGCACGGGAACGGGCGCAAGGCACAGTGGTGGAGTCCGATCCTTCTGGCAGTCTGGGACCCCTCCACGGGAAAGCTCGTCGCGGTTTGCAAATGCATGTCAGGTCGGTTGTCCTTGCACCCTGATATCTAAGGTTACGCCCAACGCTGAGAATGATGTCTCCCAGGATTTTCCGATGCATTCTACAAGGTGGGTTATGTAGTGTGTCGGATGTCAGCGGTGATTCTCATTTTCCGCACTTCCAGGAACTCAAGGAACGATATCTCGAAGATTCGGAGACATGTTCAAGACAGCCACAATGGAACTACGAGGTTCTGACAGGCGGTAAGTGGGGCGCAATGTGCTTCGAGACCATGCTCTGAACAGCAACGATAGGACTGAAGCCTCAAGTGTACTTCAAGCCGCAGGAGGTGTGGGAGATCCGGGGAGCGGAGTAAGCCCATCTCTCGTGTCTGCGCCCAGTTTCTCACGTCTCGTTTTCTCCGCCCCAGCATTACTATCAGCCCTGTCTCCGTTGCGGCTCTGGGAATGGTGTCTGAAGCGCGCGGCTTGAGCCTGCGGTTTCCTCGTTTCATCAGGGTGCACGACGACAAGGCGGTGGAGAACGCCAGCACTCCCGAGTTCCTCGCAAACATGTACCGCTCGCAGCAAGGCAAGGACCGGAGCGGAGTGGACGATGGCGATCTTGTCGACGTTGATATGCAAGAGTCTGAGGCAGAGGACGCGTACGACTCAGATGGTTAGGGCTCTTACACGGCAGCCGTCTTATGTAGCGCAGCAGAGGAGGACGAATGCAGCATCTGCCGCAGAGATGTTTCGGAGTCAGCGTGACTGTTGCCAACTGGCATATTTTAGTGGGCGTAGCTTCCGTCCACTGATTAGACTTGCCTGTTTCGGATACGCGTGTCCGCACGCCCCGGCGTCGGCGTCTGGTCTCTGCCGGCCCGGAGATACCGGCACCGGAGTCCCCAGGCTCACCCGCCTCCGCTGCTTGAGCTGTCCTCACCACGCAGAGCTCAGACCGTGTACCGACTCCGGAGCCCACGTCGACATCGCTGCACCGCTCTGTGTACAGGCAAACCCTACCATGCGTTTCATAGCTGTTATCTTCCTGCTTTTATGCGTGGTTTTTGCCAAGGAAACGGTGAACGATGCTGGTGCGTTGTGTGGCCTGGTACGAAACCGTCGTGGCGTTGATCCGCTCATGAGCCACCCAGCAAGGTTAGCGAGGCAACTCGTGAGCCAGTCGCCAGATGCCATTGGTTACATGGCTACAACTTACCCCGATGACCACGACACGCTGCCAGGTGAGGCATCCCTCAGCGTCTGCCCACGGGAGTTCTAAAACTTGAAACCGGCGCGGCCCAGGACAGCCGTTCTCTCTCCAAGAGTACTTTGGCGAGTAAGATCATATGCTAGCTGAGCTGCTATATCGTCGCTGACTCGTGTAGTTGTCATACGAACGGGTCGCTGACCCTCTTGTTCATGCCGATATCCCGCCACAGCCAGAACATTCTCCATTCGCCGACGCACGCAGCCTCAATCTCCATAGGGCCCGAGCACCCGGCGGCAAGCCGGGCGCGCGTCGCGCTCATTGGCAATGTCACCATCTTCACAGACCTACATTCGGCGCCCGAGCGCGAGCGGATCGAGGCCTGCTACGTTGCGCAACATCCGGACGCGCGGCACTGGCTGCCTGGTCCGCACGAGCCGCACATCGTAAGTTCCGATTCACAGCCCGCCATCGTACCGCTGACCGGGCTGTTGCGCAGGCGTACTGGGCGCGCTTCGACCCGCAGGTGAGCTTCTCGGTTGTTTCATCCCCGCCGCCGCGGATCGCTGAGATCATCTGTCCTGCCCAGAGCATCTACTTCGTCGGGGGCTTCGGAAGCTCGCATTTCATAGGTTACATTCCGCTCGAAATGTATCAGAGCGCTGTACTGCCGCCGGAACAAGGCGTCGCTGGTCGAATTTTGGTCAGCCAGGCTAACAACCTGTAGTCCCAGGATCTGGGCTGCATTATACTATTTTCAATGCTGCAATCACGAAATAATGCGGCGCAGCCATCTATGAACATAGGTTACCCATAAGAATACCGTGTCGACAGGAACAAAAAGTCCGCGGCTCCGCGATAGTGTACACGCATGATGAAATACACTTCTCTACAATGATGACACCAGGCGAAGCATTACATGAGATATGCAAACGCTATTGGGGCCTGGACACAAGGTGGTGGTGGTGGTGAGAGCGCCCAGGGGTGAACACACCTAGCGTTAGGCCGCGCTCAGCAGTGTTGCTCCGGATAACATGCCGAACTCCTACCAAAGTGCAACTGAGCGCGGCCGCTGCTGTAAGACAACGAGTACAAGACAACTCAGCGGTATATTTCCGCAACTTCTAATGTATATTTGAGGTTTTGCACGAGTGTCAGCTCTCCAGGGCTTTGTGCATATGCAAACGCCGCATCAACGGCCTTGGCGAGCTCGCCGCTCTCCCGCGCCTCGCGCCACGCCGGATCTTGTTCGTCGGAGTCGAGCTGGTCCTGCAGCCCAGCAAACGCGGAGACGAGTTGAAACTTTAGCTGGCAGGTGATGTCGGCGGACGACGCTCTAGAACTCGACGGGCCTCTGAGTAGTTCGAGGATGTCGGCGGTAGGCGGGGTAAAAAAAGTTCGTCGCATCGTCTCCGGTTCGGCATTTGTTCCGCTTGTTGCTGATTCGTCTGCTCCAGCTTTAGCATTGGCACCCCGCTGACGAGGTGTTGGTCGCGGTCCGATCCTCGCTTGGGGCTTTGGTCGCGCCCTTCTGCTGCCAGCTAGTGTGTCTGCGAGGCAGAGCTTGCATAAAGACACCTTGAAGTGGTTGGCGGTCTGCGAGACGGGCAGAAGAGAGAATAATATCTCCAGCTGCTTCTCGGTCAGGCCCAGCGTGCGGGCGCACACAGCATTCGTGATCATTGGAAGATCAACAAAAACTGTCGCTGTCAGATTGACGAGCTAAGATTTACGTTGACGGTATCAATGACCGTCAATGTATGTATTAGATTGGTATGAGATGTGCTTACGAGAGCAAGGAGACGTATCCCAAGTACGTATCTGCCTCGTTGCTGCAGGCTGTAGAATGCGACATCAAGTGGTGCTTCTACCTCCCACCGCGAACCTGATGCTGATCGGCTAGGAGGTATCTGCGAGAGCAACAATGGGGAAAAACGTGCTAAAAATCCGTTGAGAAAGGCCGCCCAATGTGAAAACGTGATGCTTACGTTGACCACGCGCTGCGACCGCTGCTTCGTCCTTCTCAAACATTTTGAGAAGCCATTCAAGAACTGGCCAAGCTTGTTGGTCTACAGGGGCAGGCACCATGAACGACTCGTCCTCTTCATCGGACCAGTCATTGTGCCGGCCACGTTTAGACCTCCTGTAATTTGAGCTCATGCCATCCACCCCTGGGCTGTCCCGCTTAACGAAGCCTTCTCGCAGCAACTCCCAACAGTTCTTTGCCTCCCTGACGCGACGCGAGAAGTGAGCCATCTCAGGTTCACAATCGTCATCGTTGTTGGTATGTGGATTTCCCAGTCCTGGGAGGTCGGACAAGCCATAGTTCGGCAAGGCATGAAGGAGAGACTGCGGTGAATTTGCATAGGCCTTGAGTAATTTCAACGCCGCCTCACATGCGGCCGAAGTGGGCGTGCACGAGCTGCGCTGATGCCGTGCCGCGTATTTGCTCGGTGAGGCAGGGATGACGTCCATCCGTGATGCGTCGCGGTCGTCCTCTGCGGAAGGCGGTGGATACAATGAAATATACACGACATTTCGGATATGGGCACTAGGCGCGTTAATTGCTACAGCTTCTGTGGTCATGTAAAACGGCACTCACGGGCACGGTTTGACACCCGAGTGCCTGAGCACGTCGAGGAGTGCAAGAGCCGAGTCGATGTTGCCTTCCTCGAAACACGTATCGACGAGGCTACGCTCATGATTTGTCAATTCTTTCTCTACGGCCTGTGTAGAGAAATCAGGGTTTTGTATCGCCATTGTCAACGTTGCCGAAGGAAAAGGAATCAACAGATGGGTCAGGAGAGGTAGCAACGTCAAGGCACACCGCGCGAGCGTGACGAGTGTGACGACATTAGTCGCGCCTAGTCACGTGTGACACAGGGCCACTTCGGGAAGCTGGGCGCCTGTAACTCTCGCTGGACTCTGTCATGCTTGCCTCCCGCTGCATCGCGTTGCAAAGCTACCGTCTCGCGCCTCGCTGTTTCCCCGCATCGTCGTTCAGAGCCCAGCATATGTCTTCACCTCAGGCGGGTCCGGTCGAACTGTCAATCCGTGAGAAGGTGCGCATCTGTTTGACATAGCAAACCTCGCGTTTCAGTTCCATGCTTAGTGTGCGCCTTCCCCTTCCCAGCTGACAGCGCTCCTCAGCCCTTCCGAGCTCAAGATTAGTAACGATTCCTGGCAGCACAGACACCATGCTGCCATGAAAGCTCAGGGCGGCGGAAGTGGAGAAACCCGTACGTCCAGCCCTTCTGCTCTCTATACCTGATGGGCTTTGTGCCGCTGACCACGCTGATGAAGATTTCTCTATTGATGTTGTTTCGGATGCCTTCAAGGGCAAGGTTAGCTATCTCTCTACCGTCACCGCATACATGATGCCGATCTCTGTTTGTTAAAGGCGACGATGCAACGACACCGAATGATCTACGCGGCGCTTACTGACGAGTTCGCGCAAGGACTGCATGCACTGTCCCTGAAAACCAGAACGGGGGAAGAACTGCGTAAGAGCGCTTCCGATTAAGTACCACGGTCAGGGATCCTGTGCCGTCCCCGAACCGGCGCGTGCAGTTCGACATGTGGGCAGACTACTCCCGCCCGAGCTATGCAGCTTCACTGCTCATGCAATAAATCAACGGACGGCGGCGCATCCGCGCAGTCTTGCAGGGTTGCAAAGTTAGATTATGGAGCTTTGGTAGTGCGTGATCGTCGATACGCTATGTTCGCTGAATCACCCTCGTCTGAGCTCCGATAGCTCTCGCGCCCGACTCTACCGCATACGGCAGCGTTTGGTTTTGAGCAGGTTCACTGGATGATGCATGAGGCGTGCCTCGAGTCTTCACATTTACTAAACGCTGATAAGCCAGTGTCTTGCGATGACCGGCTACGGGCGGGCTGTAGTGCTTGCTGTCCGATCCAAGCTCTTTCCCTGTTGTGTCACAACAGACCGCCGCAGGTGAAGATGTGGCGTTCCTTGAGGCGTTTCTCTCTGCGCTGATTCATTGGCCCCGTATTGTCAAACAGCCAGTCCGGATCTGCGACTATCAAGACACTCGACCTAATTATGTAGCACTCTAGACAGACTGACGGAGGCAGGATCAGTTGGCAAACGTCAGTCACATCAAAGGGCACAGCCACCGATCCTGCAGCGTCAATCGCATCCTTTTGAAGCATCCTAAGTCTATCGTGAAGCCATAGCGCACATGTGGTGCTTCGCGGACATTTCTCTTCCGCGGTTCCTATCCATCCGGTGATTACGCAGCCAGGAGAGTTATGCACATGAATCCTTCTCTTCATAGCTTTCTGGCTGTACGTCGGTGCCTGAAGTTGGCGACGAACATCATTGCTGTCGTCGGGGTACCGGACGCCTGGATACTGCCGCCGTTCTTGGTCCAGCTCGCGGGTAAGAATCGTGTTTTGCAGCGCGATGAATCGCCAATCGTCCGGGTAGCAAGTGCAGATACTCATTTCTTCCCACTGTACACGGTCACTGTTGCGGCCTTTCGAGGAACCGCCGAATTGGGATGCCTGCGCGTACGCGGGTATATAAATAACGCACCGTACTCCTCATTCCTCACCGACACCCACCCAGTTCGAGCCATCCGCCAGCATGCCTTCAGGTCAAGTTCCGTACTACGACCCTTCGCGTCAAGATCCAAACAGGCCGACCCTTCCACCCATTCGAGCCATCTTTGGTGGTACGGCGATGGACACTTTGAAGAACAATGTGCTAATTTATTTTGCACAGAGGAACTTGCGCAAGCCGTTCCATCAGCACAGAGCGCTCGCCGGAACAGCGCCTCGTCCTCTTCGCCTCACATCCCGTTTCAACGGCTCGCTCTCGCCGACAACGGCGCGCCTCGCCCACAGACGCCCGGCGCGAGCTCCCGAGGCCAGACCTCACGGGCCCCGCCGACCTACCCCGAAAGCTCAAGGCCCACATCCCCGCCGAGTCAAGGACGGTCGTCCTCCGATGCGTCTTACCGGGCAATTCTTCCGCAGACGCACACCGCGTACTCGCGCACGGGCATCGTGACCCGGCACATCGATCCTAACGCGCTAGCGACTAGCGGGTATCCGTACGCCGCCTCACAGCCACTTCCGCCGAACGCACAGGGTCAGCAGTACCCTTACGACCCGTCGATGCTTGACCGCCAGGCAAGTGCAAGTGGCCGATACGAATGCATGTGGTGTGGAAAAGGGTTCACCCGGCCTTCTAGCTTGAGGGTACGTCCCTGCGACGATGATTCACATGATGTAGCTGCTAAGGAGCGCTGATGGCCGCAGATTCATATGAACACTCACACAGGGGAGAGACGTGAGTTTGCATTGTTCTAGGAACGCCCATGGCGGATCACTAATCAAATTGGCGTTGGGTGATAGCTTACGTTTGCCCTTTCGAGGGCTGTGGGCGCAGTTTCAGTGTCCAGAGCAACATGCGCCGGCACGCGCGCGTGCATACCAGGAACACTGATGGTCAAGCCGAGCAGGATCAAGATGACGTCGAAGAGGAGGAGGAAGAGCTGGCCTCCAGCTCTCAGAGCGGATCGCACAGCCGTGGCGGCAGCGGCTCCTCTTCGCAGCGCGGAAGCAGCAGCAGCGGACACGGCAAGGCTCGCAGCTGATGGGCCTACGCATCTCTCACGACGTGAGGCCCTGAAACGACTGATTGAAGCTGTGCGACATACGGGCTCTCCGTCCTCGGTCCGCAAGTCTAATTTATTGCTGTCATGTCTTTGCCAAGCACGCAATTTCGTTTTCCTAACTTATTCTGCATCACGACTCGCACATCTCGCTCTCGTTGTTGTATATTTATACATACTCGCTTCCTATTACGGCCCCGATTCTGATATCGCGCAGCTCTTGTTCGCACCCCATATTTATATTCGTGTAGACTTTGGAGAAGTCTTTACATATGTAGTTAGATCCTACTAGTAGGCAATGAACATTGTGCCAGAGAAGGCAGTGTCCCGCGTATCAGCATCATGCGTCGAATTGCTAGCTTACTTGACTGCAGAATTCTAGTATCGGCGGACTTGAGGATCACTTTGCCCACGCTATTGCCAATGCATGTCCGAACTGCCCATAGAAAAGGCGACTCCGTCGGAAGCCCACGTTGTGGGATCCTCAAGGACAGCAGAAGGCTGCCGCAGAAACGCCACAATGCCTGCGGGAGAAGCAGCCAGCAGCTTTGGGGCTGAGCGAAGTGGCATGTGATGTTCGTACAGAGGCTTCCAGAAGGCGTCGTGTGGGTGGTCGGAGGATAGCCGCCCTATCATTGAGCGAAAGACGGTGTCCATGTCGTCGGTGATGCCGGGCAAGGTGGCCTCCGCCACAATGCTTTGGGCGCATCTGGTGCGCTGACGACATATTGTCGAGCATCTAGGCATGATCCGCCGTGGTCCCCCTATTGGAGACCGAAGCTGGGAAGAGAGCGACGGGCAGGGTTGCGCAACGACACAGCAGTTGTTGGGAATGGCTGAAACACAGAGCGTGGAAGCAGAACACGAATGTGCCGGTCCTGCTGGATGTGATCAACCGTTCTAGACAGATCAGGTCAACATAGCGGGGGCAAGGGGGATGTGCGAGAACGCACAGCACACGCCGAGGGAAGTGCGAGATGCTCGCACGGCACCTAGCAACTGAAGTTGGTAAAACGTCATCGCGGTAGTATTTGAGGCGTGCCTGGCCCGCAGTGCCGCCTCCAGGACAAACCATGCGGAGGCGACATACGAACACTACGCCAGGCACCGAAATAGTCGCCACCTGCTTCACTGCTCCACATGAGTCCCCGCGCGGAAAGAACATACTTGCCTCTTTTCCCCAACAATGATGTGCAGGAAGTAGTGATCCCAGGACGGGTCCCTTGACGGCCGGTCAGGGAAGGCGGTAAGTCGCCCTATAACCTAAAGCCACAGGGGTATTACAATATACTGTGGGGATTACGAGAGGTCGTACGTATCGACACTTCGGCATGACTCTGAATGCTGCCTCCCTAACAGCATTGTCTGGACTTGAGCGAATGAGAAGAACTTCGCGACGTATACTCCGTTGTCGTGATGGTACGGGGGGATGTCATCTGATGCGCTGATATAATTTCGTCATTTGAGCTCAAATATCGGTCTAGAGATATGGCAGTACGGTTAAACACGAGTAGGCCAGCGAGCGGGTGGTTCACCGACGGTACGATCGCAATACGGATCACATTCATTTTCAGTTATGTGAAATTGTGGTAATGTCCGTGTATGAGATGACCTGAACTCACATAACAATTAAGTCGCACGCGACTTTGTCGGGAACCGCAGCTACTTGGCTGGGGGCCAAGGACAAGGTGCTATGCATCGTTGCTTTGTGCCAGTGCATTGGCAGCTTTGTGCACAGGCAGCATTGCAGCTGTCGCAGTCAGACACGAGCCTGGTGACGCATAGACAGTTCGTCCTATAAGAAATGTATGGCGTTAGAAAGCTAAGGATACCGCCAAAGGTGCGATTCTATCTCTTCGATTCTACGCCAGGCTGGGCACCGAGCCCACCACTGCCAATGGTATGTGACGGTGAGGACGGTCTCAGCGACGATCCTGATCTCAGCTAAAAGACCTTTACTGTCACTACAGTCAACTAGTGCAAAGCAAACTGCTGGTGCGTACGATAGGGATGGTGTGTGTCAGCGGAGTGTAAGCATCGGACTGCCAGCAACTTGCAATATGGCGCTAATTGCTCGGAGGTAAGCGCTCCATCCTCCGGGCTGAAACGCGATCTGGAGATTGCCGCCGCATCAAAACCACGTGCGGACGAATTTTCATGGGCGCCTGTTATCTGCAGCGCCCTCAAGGCGGTCCCCGAGCCTCTTCAGGATCTCTCACTTTTCACCGTCCCCATCGCCTGCGACGGCGGACTTCCTGGTCGGGCAAGCCTTGCGCAGTGTTCAGGCTATTCTACATTCGACCGCATCTTGAACTTCCCTCGCAACGCATCGGATTCTACTGCAGCTGTATATTCTAATCGCGCTTTCGATCTCCTCAAGTTGTATCCTCAATGTCTCCAATCGCAATGACTGTAGCCACAGATTCTCAGTTTGGACCCCTCATAGAAGCTCTTAAATCGGCTCCTACTGCGCCAGGTGCGTATCTTGAATGTCCATGTCGTGTTCTCGCCCAATTGATCTTGCATCTAGATGCCAAAGCCGCAGCAGATCGCCTTGCCCGCGAAGTCTCAAAATTTGGCTACGAATCACTAAGGTAAGTATCTCACGCACCTTGAGCTGAAGATCTGGACGAATCTTTCTCTCCAAGTGATGCCAATATCATCTCTACGCTTCATACCTTTGCTACAAACAAGAAGTCTGGATATGAACGCGAATCAGCCGCCATGGGGTTCCAATCCCTTGCAACTGTTCTGGGTGCACCTGCTGCCCCTCATCTTCTTTCCTCTCTTCCCGTTCTTTTTGAGCTGTACATGGACAAAGGCGACGTCGTACGCGCTGCTGCCACTGCCGCTTGCAAGGCAATCCTCAAGCTGTTCCCGCCTGAAGCCACTCGCGTCGTTTTCCGCGCTCTCGAGGATATCCTGGACGATGGAAAATGGCGCACGAAAGTCGGAGCCCTTGACGCCATGAAAAGCTTCGTTACCACTGCCCAGGAAGCCGTGGCAGAGCAGCTTGGTGTCATACTGCCGAAAGTCGAAGCAGCCATGCACGACACCAAAACTGAGGTTCGTTGATGTATGGCTAAGTCCTTAACTTGCTGCTGAATGCAGGACGCAGGTATCCTCTGCTGCCATAAAATGCGCGACCGCCCTCTGCGGTACCCTCGCCAATGCCGACTTGACCTCTCACATCCCTGCCCTCGTCAAGTGTATGTCAAATCCTGATTCAGTTCCCGCTTGCATCAAGTCCCTCTCCAACACAACATTCGTTGCTGAGGTCACTGCACCAGCTCTGGCCGTCCTTGTTCCACTCCTCATCCGCGCGCTGAACGACCGTAGCATGGAGGTTCAAAGGAGAACGGTCGTCGTCATCGATAACCTTGTCAAACTCGTTCGCGATCCTAATATCGCCGCCACGTACTTGAATCCTCTGGTCGACGGTGTAGAGAAGATCGCGAAAGGTGCTGCATTCCCAGAAGTCCGCGCCTTCGCCGAGACAGCGCTCAACACCCTCCTGAAGGCCGGTGCCTCCAAAGACGGGCCCCCGCCTCCTCAGCGCAACATCGAAGAAGAGACCAAGTCTGTCTCTGCAGCTATCCTCACACTTCTTTCCCAGGATCTTGTAATTGTTTCTGCTAGCATGCACAACGGTCCGCATACACCGAGGCATCCTTTGCTGGCGGCTAGCATTTACTTCGCATCCACTCTTGCTGCCGACCTCGCTCACACCCGTCGCTTCACGGATAGCAAGCAGTGGTACAGATGCGTTGGCATTTACTTCAACCCCTGGTTCCCGGCCGATCAGCAGTCCGGCGAGGCCTTCGGCGAGCAGGTGCGCCAGCACTTCCATGCCATCGACAAGGCGAAGCACGCTCCCGCCAGCGCTGGCGATGACGCTGAAGGCGAGGTTCTTTGCGACACTCTGTTCTCCCTTGCCTATGGTGCTCTTCTTCTCCTGTCCCATACCACCCTCCGCCTTATCCGCGGCCGCCGCTACGGTATCCTTGGTACCAATGGATCCGGAAAGTCTACTTTGATGCGCCAGCTCCGCGACGGCAAGGTTGAGAACTTCCCTCCGCAAAGCGAGTTGCGCTGCGTCATGGTCGAGCACTCCCTGCAGGGAGAGGACACTTCGCGTTCTATCATTGACTTCATTGCGTCTGGTGAGTTGTAGCGCGTTATCCATTGCAAATTGGCCTAAGCACCTGTATCAGACACGGCTCTTGCTGATGTCCCGCGCGAGAAGATCAGGAGACAGCTTATTGAGGTTGGATTCGATGAAATTCGTCAGGCGGAAGTCGTTGGCGGTCTCTCTGGAGGCTGGAAGATGAAGCTTGAGTTGGCTAGGGCCATGCTTTACAACGCTGATCTTCTGCTGCTTGATGAGGTACGTCATCTTATCGTCCCTTATCGACGGCTACTAATCAAAACACATTTTAGCCTACTAACCATGTGCGCAAACGCTCGAGTTTTCATTACCGTCAGTGATTTACCTGTCACATTTCCAGCTGGATCGCGATTCCGTGCGGTGGCTGGAACAGTATCTCATCGCTAAGAAGCGCGTGACATGCTTGATCGTCAGTCACGACTCTGGGTACGTCCATGGTCCACGGGGTGGTCTCTCAGTGATGCTCATCTGTTTGGTCAAGGTTCCTGGACACTGTTACGACAGACGTTATTCACTACGAAAGCAAGAAGCTCGTGTACTACCCAGGCAACCTGTCTTCATTCGTGGAGAAGCACCCCGAAGCAAAGTCGTACTACACCCTTGCCGCCACCTCGGTTAAATTTTCATTTCCACCTCCCGGATCGCTCATGGGTGTCCGCAGTAATACCAGGGCTATTTTGAAAATGACGAACTGTACCTTCACTTACCCCGGACGGAGTACCCCTAGCTTGCACGACGTCAGCTGTGCGCTGTCCCTATCGAGGTGCGTTTGCGTGCATGCATGGCCGTGTGGTACCATCTGATGGACTTGTTGCAGCCGCGTTGGGATCGTAGGTCCAAATGGTGCAGGTAAATCCACACTCGTCAAACTTCTTACTGTAAGCGGCCTGGCAGCGGTAACATCGGCCTCGTGCTCACCGTCACCCAGGGCGAGACTGAACCTCAAGAGGGTACGGTGTACAAGCATCCGTCTTTGCGCATTGGTTATGTCTCTCAACATGCCACCCACCACATTGGTTCGTTGCGTCTTAGCTTATTTTGCGGATGATGGCCCTGATGCGTTCCGTTATAGAGCAACACTTGGAAAAGACACCCATCCAATACATCCAGTGGCGGTTTCAGGACGGCCATGATCGTATGCTAAAATTTGTTCTTGCACTGTTTTACGTGCGTTAACCGGAACGCGATCTATTGCAGGTGAAATCCTGGAGAAGGCGACTAGGGTACTCACTGATGCCGAGAAGGCTCAGCTGGAGGTCGAGTTCGTCGGCAAGAACGGACAACGCCGAAAGCTCGAGGTTTGCACCTGTTTCATCTATTAGCTCCGAAACTGTCGCTGAACGTTCGCCTCTCCGACAGCTGATCATGGGTCGCCAAAAGTTGAAGAAGTCCCTCCAGTACGAAGTCAAGTGGCGAGGTGCGAGGCGTGCTCGTGGAAAGAAGCTCAGCACGCTGACGCTGTTTCCCTAGGTCTGGACCACCGTTTCAACACGTGGATACCACGAGAACAGCTCATTGAGAAGGGGTTCACAAAGCTTGTTCAGCAATTCGATGACTTGGAGTCATCGCGAGAAGGTGCCGGTACACGGGATACATCTCTTCATCTTGTCCGCAAGCACCTGGAGGATATCGGTCTCGATGGCGATATCGCACAATACAACGAAATCGCCGGTTTGTCCGGAGGTAAGGCTCGTGTGCAAAATGTGCTGCTAGTTCGGATCGTTGACCCGACTGCGTTCCCAGGCCAAAAGATCAAGCTCGTCATTGCAGCCTGTTTATGGAACAACCCGCAGGTGCGTATACAGGCCGCGTGTTGTTTCACCCTCCTCTAACCCCACCATGCTAGATCTGTGTGCTGGATGAGCCAAGTAACTTCTTGGACCGAGAGGCCCTCGGAGGGCTTGCGGTCGCCATCCGCGACTGGGCGGGTGCTGTCGTATGTTTACGTCCTCACGCTCGCCGCGCCCGCCATCAGTGCTGATCGCACCATTACAGGTCATCATTTCTCACAACGAGGAGTTCGTGTCTGCATTGTGTACGCTCAAATCGCTTGCATGTTTTTCCCGCATTGACTGATCGCTCCTTCTCCCTTGCAATAGGCCCCGAGATCTGGCACGTTGAGGCGGGACGGGTGAAGCAGAAGGGTAAAACTGCAGTCGTCGAGGATGCGTTCGCAGACGCGAAGTCCGCCCGCGCCAGTGGAGCCAATACGCCTGCACGCTCGCGCCTGCAGACCCCGGCTGCATCGAACGCCGGCACTCCTGCAGGTAGCGGCGCGGAGCGCGACGGCAGCGCAGCAGCACTTCTCGTCAAGAAGAAAAAGAAGGTGACGCGCAACCAGCTCAAGGCTCAGGAAGAACGCAGGCGTGTTCGCAAGCTGAACTGGCTCGCCTTTGGGGGCCCCAAGCCAGAGGACACTGATAGTGATTAGATTCATGCCCCGTTACTGCGCCATAGGTTTCGCGCTAGACTAGTGTTTAAGTTATTCAGTCACATTAGATGGGCAGACGTTGTATAGAGGGATTCACGGGTTTCTTCTACATTATTGACACAGCTATGATCACGAGAGGATGGAGCTATTCGGCGTCCGAGTCGTACTCTTCGCTCTCACCAGGCACCGCTATCTAGTGCTTCGTATCGCTATGCGTAGCTAGAGGCTAACGGCGCCAGGTGCGTCAGGAATATTAGCGTATTCTTTGGCTAGTTGTCTTGCACGACTTCGGTCGAACCGTAGAACTAAGAACGAATTCATAGCCTAAGGCTTGAAGCTTGAAGCTTGAGGAGCTATGGTATAGAGAACTGCCAAATTTTATGGTCGCTATGGAGCGGCCTCGCTTTGATGCGCCCTTGCGCCATCCCGTCCTCAATGACCATCGTCTTCGTACCGGTGGATTTCCCGCTCGTTGTTTGCCTGCCTTCACAGACCACTGTTCGTGTCCAAACGCTGTATTCTTTGTCCATTCCTGTACTGATACCATCTGCTCTTCTAAGTCTCTAGTGCCGCCGTCCTTCTCCCTTTGATGGTTACCACTAGTGCAATCGTCTCTCCTGCGTAGAGTCGAAGCTTACGGACACGAGTCCAGTAGGTCGCGCTATCAACGGTGAGTCCTTCCCTGCCTGAGACCAAACATCGTTCCATAAGAGAGCCGACCGAATGCGTGACATCGGCCGGCGTACCCACCTCAAATCGCGTCAGGTGTGTTCAGCCTCTGTTCAACGCGTAATGCGCAACGTTCCCGACGGCGGACCGGTCAGTCATGTGTCTCCGATTCGGTTCTCTCCTCTAAACCTGCCTAGCCTAGGCAGCCATTCATGTCACCAGGCCTTGAACTGGCTTGCAGCCAGAGTGACGAGACTAGTACCGTTCTTCTAGCGGACGCCGCGGCTAGTAACCAAGCCACCTTTGAGACGAATAGGGTATGTCGTCTCCATAGTGTATGCTTCCGAATAGCTGAGATGTTTGTAGTGGCTCGGTGGTGCATGACACGGTGTCAATGTGGGTGTAGCTACTGCAGAGCTCAAGAATGATTTAGGTCACTTGTACGCACAGTAATCCATTACGTGGCTTCCTGTGGGGGCGACCGCACCAAATTCGATGCTTTGAAGGGCAGGTGGTTCTAAATTTACTGGGGTGGTCTTGACGGCGGTGTCGGCTCTCACTAAGCCGATTCAGAGTAAGTAGACATCGTCTACACCTCAGAACAAGGGTCGAGCGTTCTTGTGTAGGCAAGTTGGTCACTATTCCCGCCGAGCTCAACACTGGTCAATACGTACGTGTTCATTATGTCACGAGCTTGCATTGGTCTAAGGGCTGGTTTTCTAGCTTCCCCGTCACGCCCAGAGCCCCTTTACTAATGGGGTTGACTGTAGTGCTGCTCTTCACAGTGCTAGCCAGCTCCAGTTCCGCCCGGCCTGCGCGTAAGTCACGGTCTTGCGCCCGTGCTGATGCGCGACATCGCACAGCTAGGCTGATATCTCGGGCAGCGGTACTCAAGAGCCGAACATTTTGATTCTTGCCAGTATTCGCGGTGTCTACGTCGACTTAGGTGGTACAATATCTGAGCTGAAGGCTTCCATTCTTTCGCGCTCACTGTACCTGCAATCCTGAGTTTCGTGAGTAGGGGCACCAGTCCCGCCTGCGCCCACTTCATCTTCGCAGGACCCTACGCCTCCTGTGCCCAGCCCGCTCCAAGCACCTCTTTTGCCTCCGCGACTGCGCCGGTAGCATCCTCTATGGACAAGCGCAAGACGCGCAAAACAAAGCGCTGTGTTCAAGAAGGCTGCGTGCCGGGCCCGCCCGCATGCGGCAGCTGCAGGCCACACTAGACGCAGCTACCGTGACTGAGGCCTGAGGGCACGCAGCTGTGGGCTTAGGGCTCGCTGCGTATGCGCCAGCTCGTTCTGACTCTACAGATTGTCATTCGATCTGCTTCGGAGAAGCGCTTGCACTGCACAACGCGAATTGATTCCGCGAACGTGCTGTTTGTGTGGTCCCGGCGGGATCTCTGTCGTTCCCAGTCTCACGTCGCATCTATGCCACCCGCGGTGGATGTACCCCTGGCACGCGATTCTGTCATCTGACCCAATACATGCCGACGTCGGCGTCAACGTCGACGCAGTGTGTAGTCCACGTTCCGCGTCTTGCTCCAGTTTCACTCCCGTTCTCCATTGCTGCCCGGTCGGCCGTCAACACGTTCTGAACGCGTTACCTTGGTCAGGGTTGATGCATGATGTGCGCGTACCCGAATCACGAGAGCTGCTCCATACGTGAGAATGAACAGATTGGCGTGCCCAGATGCGCGCCGGGAGTCTGGAGCCGCTTGGAAAACAACGCATCGATAGGTGAGATTAGGGGCTGGCTATTGGAATGTGATATAAGGTACTCGAGAATAAATGCGGAAGGAATAGATACAAGGTTGCCAGCCGATAAAGGAGTGATAATGTAGCTGGTACATAACAAGTTAGGGATAATGTACTAGTAGCTAAATAAACGAGCGTGGGTAGTATAGTAAAGAATAACTTGATGCAAATACAATGCGAGAAGTCCAGTGTGGGTGTGTGTGAATGAGATACATAGGAGACCAATAGATGAGGACGATAAGGTAAATGAGATAGTACCCAGTGCTTCCTGACTGGGCAGATGGTCCAATTGGTCTTCGGCGAGAGAGAGGGTGGTAACGAATGGCAAAGTTCATGTGCTCACTCACGAGGAGCCGAGCAGGGAATCGATTACTGATGGATAACTATGATTACCGCGAACGGCTTGCAGGTCTGCGCTCATGCTCGTCGTAGCTCCGTCCTCGGTACTGTGAGGACGAAGGGGGTGAGGGAATGGGCCGACCGTACTGGTCGCGCTGACCGGTCGTGTAACCGGGGCCACCCATGCCCATCGAGTTCATGGAACCCACGCCCCCGTACGCGCCGCCACCACCTGACAGTGCTTGTGGCGTAGGCGCGGCGACCGACGAGCCTGCGCCGGGCGCGGGACCTGCTGTGAATGGCTCTGTGGCGGGAGGAGGCACGGCGCTTGCTGCCTGGCGACTGCTCTGTCGCATTGCTTGCCTTTTGTTCTGGAACCTGCACCGATCATATTGTTACATTAATGAAACCGTAAATACCCCTTGTATAAAGAGCGGGGTATACGTACCAGATCTGCACACTCCTCGCGGACATCCCCAACTTCTTGGCCAGCTCGATGCGCTCCTCTGTCGATGGAAACGCCGTCCGGTTATATGTCTCGTTAAGGACTTTCAGCTGTTCCGCGTCTACTCGGAGGTCCGGGGGTTAGTTTAGTAGACGTTAAAGCGAGTAAGTTATGGAGCGTACCTGCCCGCTTCCGCTTTTTCTTGATCGTCGGCTCGGCCATGTTCACAGATTCTCGGTCATATTCCGAAGACAGTGATGGCGGCGCCCGCGCATAAGGGGCCATACCATGTGTAGATGACATCCGTGACGGGACAGTCCGGTCAACGGACATCGAGGACCGGCGGGGGAGTGCAGCTCCGCCCGACGGATCGTAGGGTGCTGTAGAGACAGGCGAAGACGCCATCCTTGGGTCGGATGATGCGTAGAATGGTTGCTGTTGCGGAATCTGCCCAGAGGGATACGAGCCGTACTGTACCGGATATCCGGCAGCGGACGTTGATCGTATGTGGGGAGCCTGCCCCATAGTTTGCGAGGGAATAGCCGGCTGGCTATAGAGTTGCCCATGTTGAGCACTGAGCGGTGGGAGGGTACGCGATTCCTGGGGGTTTTGCGGGAATGCCGAGGGCGTCCGCGATTGATATGTCTGGTAGCCGGGAGTTTGCCCTTGATACCGTGCATCGGACGCGAATTGGTTCGCCTGGGCGTGTTGTGTAGCGGCTGCGAAGTGATACAGACCACACTTCAGAACGACGAATGCTCGGAACCGGAGGCGGCTTACTCGGGTTCGACTGCCATCCTTGCTGACCGTACTGTCCTAGGCCGTAGTCGCCTCTGGATTGTGTCGGGTCTTGCGCGAATTGGTTCGTTGGGAACGAGTCAGGCGCTGTTCGAGGAAACGTTAACCCTTGTTCAATGAAGCATAATAACGGCATAGTGGTACAGACCTGGAGAATGTGAGGTTCGAAACGGTAGATGAAGAGGAGGTAGGATAGTGCGCCCACCCTGGCCCATATTAAAGAAACCGCCTCGCCGCGGAGCGCTGTTACTGTTGTGCGGGTTAGGAGTGTTGTTGCCTGCAACGTTTGGGCTGCGTCGTGAGGGTCGTCCAAAGCAACCAATATGAAAGTGATCGTCAGGATGCGACATGGGTGACTTTTAAGCGAGAGTAGGATATTTATCGAAGAAGCCTCTCGAGGATTCTCCGGAGCGTTAAGTACTCGAAGGTATGCAGCATGTATGTGGTCCAACACGCGCGATATGCCTGCTTGGATGTGCAGCCACGAGTATGGAATGCGGTGTTGAGCAGAGGAAAGAAAGGGGCAAACCCGGAGCAAGGTGCGCAACTGTCGGCAGGAAGCGAGCAGGGGAGACTACGTACGTCAAGGCAAGATATTCTGGAGTGCGAGGGTCGAAAAAGCGGCGACGCACCAGGATTCGGTGGCAGACAAAACGTTCGCTGTGCGTGGCGGTTGGGAAACTTGCAGTCCGAGTCCAAGATACACTCCAGATGGCTTGTGATGATCTCATCTGTTGTGACAGCGCATTTGGTCAGGGAAGGTCCTCGTTTCGAACACGCATCCGAACACGAGGCTCTCCCGAACCAACGAACGAGCAGCGAGTTCTGCGGCCTGGCTCACGACTGCGGTGTCTGTGAAAACGGATCAGACTTCTCAGGTTTCAGGGACCGAGAGAGTCCACGAAAGCTGGTCCTCTCCGTTCCACTTACCCTGGACACGGCGGGACATCCCCAAGGCGGCGGCCGGCGGGTGACGGACCAGCCCTGTACCCGTATTTGGCTTGGGAGACATCGGTTAGCCGTTGGCCTGATCGCGATTTGCAACATCACCAATCGAGGTTAGGTGTAGCCCGGGGCACGCAAGAAACGTAAGGCTGCGATCCTCGAAGCCAATCCTTACGGGTCTGGCAACTGATCCAGATCCTAGGCCAGTTCATGGAAACCTTTGCGGAGGAAATGAAAAAAGGATCGACATGCATTACGACTAGCTAGGCCAGGGTGGATGAACGGTCGATGGTGCCTGCGGTGTGCTTTGCGGTCCTGGCAGCACCGTCTCGGGCGTCGGGCGAGGCACTGCGGAGGTCTCACTCGCCCCGCCTCGCCTCCCCGTCACAGTCGGTGTCACATCCGCGATTTGCACGGCGCTAATCACTGCCGCACGTGATACAACGTCACGCTCCTCCCAAACGCGACGCCCTTCGCCGGCGCACCGCTTTGGCGCTCGTCCGTTTACGTCCTCTGCGACGCTGCGACGCTGCGACGTCCTTGTCGTCGAGTGCAACGATGGCCGTCCCACGCCTCCCGCTGCCTGGCACACTGGGCAACATCCCGCAGCGTCCGTACGATGCTTTACACGAAAGCGACGATTACATGGGCATGCCCGCCGCGTATCCGTACGATGCTTATGTCTCTCCTTATCCTTATCCACCCCCGCTCTCTCGCCAGGGTTTTGAGGAACAGAGCAGCACCCTCCGCGGTGGCACACTCCTTCACAAAGGTTTCTACGATCTCCTCTCGTTGGTACCGTCTGCTTCTTCTCCGTCCCGTCTCTTCTGGCGCGGTGCTCAGAACGCGGAACCCGTCGCTGGTCCACGCTATGAGGACATAGCCCCGGATGATGTCTCGGTCGTGAAGGAGCTTCCTCTTCTCCCTCCACCTCCGCCTACTAGTTCCCCCCCGCCTCCGAAGAATCTAAAAGCACGGCGGATTAGCAAGGACATGGTATCTAAACCCACAGGCTTCATGTATGTCTTGGGAGCACTCTGCTAGCATATGATCAGACGGTTCAATAAACGAATATCGCAGACATCTGGTACACGCGTCTGATGCAGAGCAAGCTGAGGCTCTCCTCTCGCGCTGGGGGCCCGAGGGTCAGGGAAAACTGGGAGGTTCGGCCTGTCACCGCTCGCCGAACGCCATGCACATCCGCTGATGTTCTTCCAGATCCCAGATGGGCAGATCCTATCAAGAATCGTCTACGCAAGCTCAACCAGGCGAGAGCCGTGAACGAAGTTGTCGGGGGATTTAAACCGACTCAGAGCACCTTGACTGTACCGGATAGGGAGCTCCCCCCGCTACGCGTAGTCAATGGTCCTGCCCTTAGCACACCCACGTCTTCGACTATCACAACCGCGGCCAAAGAGAACGTACAGCTGACTTCTACGTCCCCCATGACTCCGCGCGCTCCCACCCAGGTTCCCGCCGGTCAGCCAGGCAACTCTTCATTACGTTGGACAGCTGGTCTTCCTGTTCATCACGAGAACCCGGAGGAAGATGGGAAGGACTTACAAGATCCAGAAGCGCGTTCCACGCTCCCGCGCAGACCGCTTCCCCCTCGACCGATCAACCCATCTCTGGCAACCTTGGAAAAAGCTGTTGCGGCGCGCATCTACTTCGAGAACCTGTACTTCCCACTCTTCCGTCAGACACCTTCGCGGGAGCAAAGGCGGCTTGCCATGGAGAAGGACATGGTGGAGATGGGCCTCAGCGAAGCGCAGAAGGAGTATCTCCGCACGCGCTGGCGGAAGAATGAGACCGAATACCTTCGCGAGCTCAGGCGCAAGGTGGACGCCAGCGCGTTCACCAAGCTAAAGACCATTGGTCACGGTCCGTCCATTTTTTGCGGCGAGTTCGGCTAGACCTCACCTGAGCCGGCATGTGCTTTCTTCAGGTGCTTTCGGCGTCGTGTCTCTTGTTCGTGAGCGTTCGACGGGCCAGCTTTTTGCGATGAAGCAGGCAAGGATCATTCCTCGTCTACGCGGCGGCTTCTAGATGCTGTCCCTTGTGCTAAATAAGCCTCTGTCGCCCCATAGCTCCGGAAGACTGACATGCTGCGCAAGGGACAAGAAGGTCATGTCCGCGCTGAACGCGACGTTCTAAAATCGGCGTCGCTCGTCAGCTCACCCAATGGGGCGGACTGGATTGTCAGACTGTATTACAGTTTCCAAGACCGTGACCACCTGTACCTTGTGAGTGGATCTTCCTTTGTTGTTTTCCAACATTGGAGTAACATATCAAACTCCCTATCTAATATATCACTTCATATCTGTCAGGTTCTTGAATACATGGGCGGCGGCGATCTCCTCAATCTTCTCATCGAGCGTGACATTTTTGAGGAAGATTTCGCGCGGTTCTACGTTGCTGAGGCAAGTGGCCTGCGCTCTTTTAGCGTCCATGGAGTCCCCGTTGACGTGGTCGGTGATGCGTCGTCCCATAGATGGTCTTGGCCATCGAACAATGCCACAAGCTCGGTTTCATCCACCGTGACATTAAGCCGGATGTGGGTACTCCGGCGGGTCCAGTTAATTTCCATCCGGGCCTGGGCTCATGCCGCGCTCCGACATTTCGAAAGCTGACATATCTTTCGCCCCCTAGAATTTCTTGTTTGATCCTGATGGACATATCAAGCTGAGCGATTTTGGGCTTGCGTAAGTCCCTTCCGACCGGCTTGCTTTCCACCTTGCCCTTTTTTGCCACTTGCTTTCTGCGTTGTTGCGTCGCTAACGAGATGTTCCGCTCCCGGCGCCGCACACGCCTGCAGGACGGACTTGCACTGGGCGCATGATACCACTTGTGAGTGCCTGCCGGTCCCGCATCGCGGTCCTCGTGCTGTGCTGACAAGTCTCTCCGTGCGCGCCGGCAGATTACGAACAACAACGCCTGCACCTGCTGCACAAGTACGGGATCGACCTCGAGTCAAGCCAGGGCCCTGCCGATGGAACGCGGACGCGGCGTTTGGATCGCAAGGAGGTCGAGCGGCTTATGGGGGGCGGAGACGGCCAGGGCGGCATCTTCACCTGGCGCGAGAAGCACGGCAGGAAGGTGAGCGGGCTGTCCACCCTCATTATTGTCCGACCAGCATCTCATTCCCACTCGCCCTGTGCGCGGCACCGGCAGCTTGCATACTCCGTGTAAGTCATTGTCGGGATTTTCCAGTATTGTGCAGCGTTGCTAACGGTCTGCCGATACATGCGTCATCGCTCCACGGCAGTTGCGGCACAAATTCCTACAGTGCGTGTGCACTCACAGCTGCCTGCCCACTCATTCAATAATTTCCGACTACAGTGTCGCCGGAGGTAATCCGTGGCCATGGCTATACGTACTCGTGTGATTGGTGGAGCTTGGGTGTGATCATGTTCGAGTGTCTGTACGGGTGAGCTAATTCCATCCGTCAACCGCCGCTTCCCGCTAAGATGCCGTCGTGGCAGGTTCCCGCCGTTCGTCAGCAACTCAGTGCGTCGCAATTACTCATAGCGGTGATACACGAGCTTACCGTCTACTTCCACCTGCAGCGCCACGTCACGAGGCAGAAGATTCTCAACTGGAAACAGTCGCTCAAATTTCCATCTCGTCCTCGAGTATCCCGCGAAGCGATTGATCTCATGCAACAGCTGCTGTGCGAGCCAGAGGACAGGTTAGGTTCACAGGCTTCATCGTCGACCAATCGCCCAGATTCTATGATCGTGACCGCGAGGCGAAGTGGTTTCATGGCTCAGCCCGGTGCTAACGGGAGCGTGGACGGTGCCTATCTCATCAAGGTGAGCAGCTAAACTTATTTCGATCACTCATTCACAGTCTAAACGCTGCCGCACGGCACCACGCTTCAGGCCCACCCCTGGTTCCGGGCTATTGACTGGGAGAGCATCCACAAGTACGCCGCCCCCTACCGCCCCGATCTGCAGCACCCCGAGGATACACGTCATTTCGACGACGACATCCCTGCTGAGGTGCGTCGCGTTTTGATTTCTTGCCGCGCACACATTGTCGTGACTGACGTGTACCCGGCAACCTTGATCAGCCCCTCGCGCCAGCAAACGGCGCGCCGGCGGACGCTACACGCGATCCGCTCCTGCGAGACAAGGTGCATGGACACGAGATCCTCGAGGTGCGCAAGGCGCTTGCCTTCGCCGGCTTCACACACAAGAGCCCGCGGGTCGTGAGCTACGTCCGCGCCGAGAAGGTTTTCGAACCGGAGCCGGATACGTACGGCCAGGAAGAGCTAGCCGCGCGCGGCCGCTCGACGATCCGCGTCATGGACCACGATGTCGGCAAGGGACGTGCGATGTCGATGTAAACCGCGTTGCCGGGCATTGATCGCTGCAGCCTCGCAGTAGAACGTGGCGTGCCAGTCCTGAACAGCCCCGCTGTGGCAGACGCAGCTATGCCCAGCATGGGGTCCGACGACGCCGATACCCCCCACCTTCCCGCGAAACCCTCCCGCTTATCTTACGACGTCTTTACGCTATCTTACGACCTGCTCATGACACGATTTCCGACCGTCCCACCCCACAACTCTATCGAACCTTTTCGTGTATTCAACGGTATGCTTTGGCCGGCCTTCAAAGGACGGCCGCAATTGAGTAGTATTATGTGTGTATCTAACGCTGCTGATCGTCAATATAACTGTATCTTCGATTGCTCCAAAGCTTGCTCGACGTGCCGCAGTCCTTTCCTTCGCTTCCGGTATCTGCTGGGGCGGCGTACGCCGGGGCCACATTTTGAGTTACACGGAAGTTTCGGCGACCTGGGGACAACAGTCGTCATCGCAGGCGCCGCTTGCCTGACCGGACGCGCGTGGCAGATGTTCCTCTCGACGTACAGCGCCTCGTGGTCGTCGGTGGCACGCATCGCCCATGGACAGCAATTGCCTCGCTGGTTGCTGTGGCCTCTCCGCCGTCCACGGCGGCCACGAGGCGACGCTGCGACAGCGTAAGTTTGCGCGCGTCCGCGAGGCTGCCGCGTGGTGCGGCGAACTGGGTGGGCCCTCGCTGGCGCCGTCGTCCGGTGCAGCCAGGAGGCACTTGCAGGCTGACAGAGGGGTTCTGCGCAGCGCGTGTTTAGCGCATGTATCGTTGTTTGAGTTGGAAGTGCGCGCTGGCACAGCGCATGTGTCCTAGTGCTCTCACAGCGCGGTGCACAACACTCGTTTGTACATAATGGCAGAGAGGCAGCGGGACTGGGTCTTGGACTCGAGGTCGCCGCCGACGCGAGCAGGGACTCGAGGTCGTCGCCGACGCGAGCAGGGACTCGAGGTCGTCGCCGACGCGAGCAGGGACTCGAGGTCGTCGCCGACGCGACGAGCTGGGACTCGAGCAGAACTCGAACAAGGCGTGGGAGGCAAACATACAGACCTGCCATATGCGGCAGGAAGCCGCTGTTCCCGTCGCCCGATCCGGAAGGTGTCGTCGTTCGCCCCCATGTCGCGGAGTTTTGTTCTTGTTGAAGCGTCCGGACGCGGACCTGCTAACGACCATCATTCGAAGAACATGTACAAGTACAAAGTGTCTCATCAATATCGCCCTTTATTCCATCCCGTTCCGCATGTTGTCAAACTGGCTTCCCCCGTACTCCAGCCAGTTCGGGCTCTTGTCCAGCCCGCCCATGGCCTCCTTCACGGTCGCCACGAGGCTCCGGCCAGGCTGCGGCTCCTTGCCAGGCCCGCGCTCCATGTCCTCGCGCTCGCCGTTCTTGTCGCCAGAGAGCTCCCAGAACATGCTCCCGCCGAGGCCCTCGCGCCCGATCCACGCGCCCTTGGCCGCGCCCACCGCCTCGCTGTCGAAGCTCACCATCTCCCGCGTCTGGTAGTGGTACGCCCAGCTCGCGACCGCCTGGTCGTCCTGCAGCACGTACGAGCCCGGCAGCGGCAGCGCGCGGTAGTCGTACACGCCCGCCTCCCAGCTGCCCTGTCCGATGCCCTGGAAGGGTGCCCCTGGCCCGTCGGTGTTCGCAAAGGAGCGGCCGTAGACGGGTATGCCCATGACAAGCTTGTCGCGCGCCACGCCTTGGGCAATGTACCAGCCTATTGCTTCTGATGCGCTGAGCGGGCCTCCAAAAAGGTTTGCCTGATGATTCGCAATGCTGTCCCAGGATCCAGCTGCGCATATCTGTAAGTACTAGCAGGTGATAACAGACAGGACGCTTACAAAAATCGTATGCCATCAGGTTCCAGAAGTCCAAGACCGCGTCCATCTCTCGGACAAACAGCTTCCTATACTTGTCAGGGCCGCAAGGCGCAGCAATCTAAGAAGCCTTCAGACGGAGGGAACCGACAATGGAAAGGCCCACATACCGTTAGAAGGAATCGATAGTTCGCTCCCTTCTTGGCCGCGTGCCGATCCAAAGCGTGCCGCATCTCCCGTAGCAGCTCGACATACCCCCGGGCCTGCGCCTCGTCTGACGGGTATTCATAGTCCACGTCCAGGCCGTCCAGTCCGTTGTCCTCCAGCAGCCTCACCGCAGACGCGACAAACTTGGACCGCAGCGCGGGGTTGACGACGACGGGATGGAAGGACGGCGAGTACGTCCAGCCGCCGATGGACAGGAGGACCTTGAGGTGGCGGTGCTCCTTCTTGAGCTTGTAGATGGCCTTGAAGTTGCCGTACAGGTTCTTGCCCGTGTCGCCCCACGAGTCCCCGGCGTAGTGGATCTCCTGGTCCGCCCAGGTGTCCGAGAGGAAGACCTCGCCGCTGTCGGGCCGCACGTTTGCAAATGCGTAGAGGATGTGCCTGGAGGGGGTTCGAGCGAAGAGATGAGCAAAGCGTTTAGGCTGCGCGGGCCTGTCCGACGCACGTCAAATCTTGCACGGGGATCTTGTGCGGTGGGAATTTGCGGCCGTAGATGCCCCTGCAAGCGGTCTCAGAGCAGTTCCGAGGACAATTAGGGGAGCGGCGGGCTCACCAGTTGACAAAGCTGGGGGCGTACGGGGGGCGTGAGTACCAGTGACTCACTCCGAGAACTGCGGAAAGGCACTCACTAGCCGACACTGTACTTTCCGTTTCCAGGCATCTCCGCGGTGTCGTTCACAATAGAACTCGCAACGGCCTTCTCCGTGTCTTGCGCTGCCGTAGGATGGGTCTCTGCGACCGCTGGTCTCTCGTCTTCGAACGGAGGTCTGCGCTCCACAGACCACTGGCCGGCCTTGTAGGACACGAGCGCGGTCAGGCAGAGGGCAGCGAGGACGAGGAGCGGCTTCGAGAGCTTCAGGAGTCTACTGCGTGCAGGCTTTGTGGGTGTCGGTGAGCCGTCGGGGCTCACTTGTTGCTCGTCGGTCGGGACAGGTTCGTACGCAGCCATCGGCGCTGACGACCGCGTCTCCTTGCACCTAAATTCGCTTCCGGCTCTGATATGAAGTCATTTTCTTCCCACGGTTTGCGTCATCTCTCTGCCGAAGGTAACAAGCGACCTCCTCGACGCGCTCCCTCAGTTGCGTCCTTCGTCGCGTTCTTCCAGGTCCTTCCCCTTTACTGTCGCCAGTGGCTGATGGAGCTCCTTATGGAGTGCTGAGATTACATGAGCGTGGTCGCTGGAGTCCATTTTCGTTCACATTCGCACACGAGCACCGAGCGAGTGAGTCTTTCAAAGATAATCTTGCAACAAACAAGACGACAAAGATATATTTCCACGCGCAACTATCGCGTTCAACACAAGCACGGCAGATGCAGCGACTGCAGCGAGCACGACGCGCCGTCCGGCTGGTCGTTCCCGTATTGCAAATACAACGTGTAGACGTTCGGGTCGCTCGTCGCGCACGCGAGGAAGTTCAGCTCGCGCGGGTCGCTCGTGATGATCGTGTCGCCCTCGAGGGCCCAGTCCGTCGTCGCCGCCGTCGTGTTGAACGTGAGCGGCTTGTACGACGGCGTCGCGTCCGTCTGCACGTTCAGGTACAGGCCCGAGCCGTCCGTCAGCTGGATCGTCCCGCCGGCGATGTCGAAGTAGCCCGAGGACGACTCGGGGCCCAGCACCGGCTGGCCGCCTTGCGCAATTTTTTGGCGGTTAGCGCGCACATGTGCGCTACGACGTGGTGGTGTGCTCACCGTCGTTCTGCAGGTAGAAGTGGTACACGGGATCGTCGTCCGCACGGATCTGGGAGCCGGTGGGCGCTGGCGCGGCGCTCGTCGAGGTCGAAGAGCCCGTGGGCGGTGGCACTACACTGGTGGTCGGCGTGCCCGAGGCGGTGGACACACTGGCGGCGCCCGGGACGCACTGCGAGTAGTCTAGGACGCGCGGTGAGGAACACGGAACTTGGCCCCCGAGGAGACACACTAGTACTGACATGGGTTCAAGACCGTGCAGATGCTGCCGGAGGCACAGGTCGTGGCACCCGCCCTAGACACGCGCCGTCAGAATGGACGTGATATATTGGTACGGCGAAGCGGCGTGGCGCACCATCCGGTACCACCGCACTGGCCCCAGACGGGGGATTGCGCGAGAGCGCCGGCGGCCAGTCCGGCGAGGGCAGCGAACAGGGCAAGCTTGTTCATTGTTAGGGTGTAGACTTGAGTCAAACGCGACAAAATCGCGCTGCGGTGCTTATATGCGCTTGAGTCGGCATAATAATGGTAGTACGTCGGGTTCGGAGAAGGCTGGCTGTCTCGCGAAGTAACTCCATCGCGCGCTTCCGTCGAGATGTCTGCAAAGCATGACCAAGTACACGTTTCTTCGCTGGCTCCTTGGAACGGGCGACGTGGCTAAGTTTGTGCCATACAAAAGTGATGATCATGCGACTGAGTGTTATTTCTCCACGAAACCACAGGTCATATGGTTACTGTGAAAACCTCCGCGATCTGCAAAGTTGGAAGTGCGGGTGTCCTGCTATTCGCGATTCAGGCTGGTGGTTGTAACTTAAGCAGTGTACACTGAAGCAACACACCAGCTGCCTAGCGTCTGCAGCGGACTGATACATGAGTCCGATGCTGTTGGTCGTCCAAGATGAGCACCTGAGTCGCCAACTCGTACCTGAGGTAGTGATGAAATATGAAGCAAACATGAAGGTATGCAAAGTAGACTGTCGACTATGCTGACAGGCACCAACATCGGCTGTCCACGAAAAAGGACTCGCCATGATACCGGAAATCGTCTGGATCTTGGTTCCCCCGGCTCCAGGCTCTTGCAAGCTGAGGGTAGTAGAATGATGTAAGCAGTGGTGTGAAAGGGATATTGTAGATACCCACAGCTGGGGAACAGAGGGGGCAGATGGAGCGTGTCAGAAAGAAGTAACTGGGAGATAGTTCCCACTATAATTCACCAGGACAAACGGAGCTAGAAAAGGGAGTGGTCTGTAAACTTCTACGTCGCGACAAAGACTTGAGTAAAAGTGAGGAATCGTACCCTGGTCGCCCTGCCGCTCAAGCAATGTTGTAGTACATAGTTGTACGTTATTGCTGCACAGATAGGTGTCCCAATCAACAATTCTTCTCAAGCTCAAGGTGAATAAGGACATACGATCTATTCACTGAGATGGGCTGTGGGCCCACCATATTGAACTGCAGAAGCAATACAACGACGTAGAGACCCACAAAGACACGAAGCATCATTTCAAGGCGCACATGCCGTCGACAGAAGATGAAAGAGGGTGTGAAGAGGGCATGGACGAAGGACGGGAACGCACACTCTGGACGACGTCTGCACGATGCGAATATGGAAGGCCATGAAATCCATTACGCCAGGAAATGAACAAACACGCACTAGATAGCATTTGCGAACGACAGCCTGGGGTGCAAGGTAGCCAACAGTTAACCTTGTTCTACATGTGCCTCGCCTGCGACAAGCGGGCACCGCGGTCGCTATCACAATGAGCACATGAGAACATGTCGTGTTTCTTGGCCGTCTTTCATGCTGCAATTGCCCATTGTCGCCGTCGTTTCATGGTCTGTGTGTTGTCCCGTTAACGTCCCTATCGAAGATACATAGTTCAGCATGTCACCCGCTATCAAGTAGCTGATGGTGCTAGACACGGGCGCCGCGGCACTTCTACAAACTGAGCACGCCTGAAACATACCTGAACGGCCCTGTCGGCTACCTTCGTGCCTGGCACCTGTTGGATATAGAAACTTCGACCAGGCTAGAGATAGCCGCATAGTAGTATGCTGTTTTCCTGATGCTGGCCCTAATTTGCACGCTAGTGCTTGGGATGTCCAGTCCTGTGGTCGCTGGAATTCTGGATTAGTCGTAGCGGGACTCGTCCTGCTGGGCGTGGCGTCGCCGCCTATCCTGATCAGGAACTCCACGCCGGGCGAGAGCGAAAGAGGCCGACCTTGCGTTAAAGTTGCCAATACCTGACATCGTGAAGGTCAGCGCATAGCCGTCCGAAAAGAATTCTCTGAAAAAAGGGCACGCCTTCTCGAGTCCGACGCCTTTCTGAACACTCTCGGCGTCACGTGACCCTGAAAGGATTGTGCCAGTGGGTAGACTTTCCGATGTGCTGGGAGGTCCAGCTGCCCGTCGAGTCGCTTCAAATGGGACCAGTTGTTTTCGTACATTCTATAAATGACATTTCCGAAATCGGCTTCGATAATATTGATCAAGAGGAGCACAGCCGACGACATGAGCTTCCTACTACTCTGGATGCCGAGGGTCGCTGTATCAAGGCCGTCGTCATGTACATTCCGAAGGATGCTTTTGTTGGGAAGTTTGGCAAGCTAGCATGACTAGGTGAACGTTCCTTCACTTACAATATGGCTAACTTTAGGCAACGATCATGCGACCAAGCGCTGTTTCAACTCAGAGCTCCGCGATCTGTACATCCTGGTGTCTGGTTACCACTACTGGGTTGCGTACATTTCGAGCCGATAGCTATTAGGTTCGAAGGGGATGTGAGGAAACCATTGCTTTCTTATCTTTTTCCGGGGCAGCACAGTAGCAGTGTTCTGGCTGCGTGGCGTTCGTCACGGTGGCGCGAACGCTTCGCGCGACCCAGCCTCTCAGGTCTCAGACCCCACGGCCGACATATCTAGTCGGACCCAAATCTGGTATTGTCGTATCACACGCACAGCGTTATACGCGACTTCATGACACACTCGTTAGTAGATTACATGCCAGTTGAACTAGAAGCGGACCCGGAGCTTGTGGATGACTGAGCAATGTCAGCATTCTGACAATAATCCTCTAGTAGTAAGACCGCTGAGTGGCAGGCTTCGTTGATGGATTAATGATGGTTAAATGGAGGCAGAACTAAACAGAGCTGCATTGTCCACGGTTGTTACGTAGTACGATGCGAGTGCACGGACGCGGTCTAAGGCCCCTTTGAGGCAGTGTAACGGGATAGAGTGGTGCCAATACGCGTGACATCGCCTGATGCGTGCGCGTCGGTGAGGGAGGTCGGGCGGGAGGAGAGCTATGGTAGATGAGGGGAAATACAGTTTAAACCCTTGTACTATGCACTGTGCGATCCGGGTGCGCTCAACTTGTCATAGGATGCATTTGCGGACTAAGTTCATTCTACAATCAAATCGTACCAGACGTGGAGCAAGTTATGTTTAGTACGACCACTCTTCTGAACCTTGGTGTATCCACCGGGCAGAAACTCGACGCACAACGCAGCTCTTCAACGGTTGCTCTCAATATGACAGGAAACATGTCGCGATGAGTTTTCAGGGAAGAGTGGAAAGAAGTGATCTCGCATCTGACAGCACCTCCCACACAAGACAAAGCGTGATGGTCGCCTGCGGTTTCCTAAGTGGCAGTTCCCTGCGATCAACTTCTGTGATGAAAAAAAGAGGGCATCCGACGACATACTGTACAATTCCTCACGGTCGCCAGGGCGTCATGGCGTCTCGCCGCAGCGAGACGATAGTACTAGTTCTTGACAGGCTTCCCAGTGTTTGTTCGTCAGAATCACCTGCTTCTTCGGTTCGCCAGCCGTCTATCACGCTGGCATATTGTGGGCCAGAGGACGGCACCAGTTCGACGGGCGCCGGGGCGTATAGTCGGGCCGTGCGGCCATATGTTCGGCAGTGGGCAACACCGAAGCATGCTAGTGCTATGGCTGCGACCCCGGCCACTACCCCAGCGACAATGACACCGCTGGGGACGGGATCACCAGAAGGCGATGATCTGTAGGTAGAAAGATCAATTAGCAACTACTATGCGAGCATGGTCACTGGCCAGGAAGTGACTCACTCGCTAACAATGCTCTGACTGGCTATTGCGGCCAGGACAGCATATGTTGAGCGAGGGGAAATGCTGTCAAAAATCGTTGAGTAAAGGTTAAGAAGACGATTGACCCTAATAGAAGACGCACGAGATCCGGCCGCCCATCGGTCGAGGAAGACTCGAGACACCAGTTACCCCGTAACCCATACCCTGTTGAGTGAAATCGTAGGGGGACACCACTAAGACACATGAATTATCCGCTAAACAAAACTGAAGCTGAGTAATCTGGCCATTAGACGATTATTTACGAGCCTGCTTACGGCCGCTTTCCACAGTAAAAGACGAGCTCTGAGCATGAGCCCCTGTGCTGTCGACTACAGTGAAGACGACGCTTGTATCTGAAACGGAGTTTACGGATCGACGTGCCGTTCCTGCGAGTCGAAGTGAGATATGAGACCGTACATACCGGCCCACATGTTTGTTGACCAAGTAATGCTTGTTTCCAGAAGGCCGTCATACTGTTGGACAACGGTATAGGCCGCATTTATAACCTGCAGGCTGTAGATATATTAAGCCCTGAGGCGATAAAGATACAAGTCTTAGCAACTCACAACTATTGCCGAAGCCATGAAATAGTTATCAGTTCTTCGACGCGACATGCAGGTGCAGGAGGACTAACCAATGTATAGGGGGCTACGAATAATACAACCAAGCTCTGCATGAGCTGCCAGTGAAAAAGTAATGCGCAGGCACACACCTTGGCCATTGAACCAGATAATCTGCGTCGGGACACATTCTATGACGGCCGCGCTGCGAGCAGATAGAGGTTAGTGATACTGGCGATCTTGAGATATACTTGGCACACGGTGTGTTGATCACGAGCAGTCGCCCTTTCACCACGTATTGCAACAGAAGTAAGAGCGTGATGAGAATACTCAGCGTCGGGTTCGAAGGCATTGGAACAAAGGATGAGAAACAAGCCGTTGGTAGTAGAAAGCCAAGAAGGGTTATGTATGTGGACACTAAAACCCCAACGCCCCACGGACAGTGTCGTTTTGACAATGATTGAGGCATACATTGATATTTTGAGACGTACGTCGAACACACTCATGATGGATTGGCCTGCTGCCTGTCTTGGGGGTGAGAAGGAATGGATCTGTACGTGCTTAATCTGGTCTGTTCTACAGGTAATTAATGTTGGATAATCCGTATCATACATGCGATGACTTATTAGCAGCTATAATCCCCATGGTATTCTTAGGCTATTGTTGAACAGGTTATCTTCGTCTATAGTGGCTTGACATATTGCTCTGAGATTCACAGATGAGGTGAATGCGCCCTGATGTTGAGGAGTGAACGAATGGTGATACAAGAATGTTCATTAGAGATTTATAGTGCATGATTGAGTCTAGGCTCGGATCTATGGATAGATGATGTGTGATTGAAGTGTGCAATCGTATCCTACATTCAATAGTGTGGTCAATAAATAATCATATCACGTGCTTTTCACCTCTCTCCAGAGCGGGGTGATTGCCTGTGCGACAGTGTTGGCCGCGACCTCGAGGCATGCGCGCAATTCATCGTCTTCGACGCTTTGTAGTACGCGCCGCGCCCGCCAGCGGTCGGGATGGAAGCGACGGTGGCCCTTCTCGACGAAAGTCTTGTAGTCCGCGGCACGCATGTGCGTGCGTACGGCGGCAAAGAAGGCTTCGACGGCCGTCCAATCGACATCCTCGACCGTGAATCTCGAAGGCTTATGCAGCACCGGCCATGGCACGGCACCGAACGAGACGGGATTCTCAAGTGAGAACTGTACGGCATCGAACGCCTCCGCAAGGGTCTTGTAGCGTTCCAAGGCGCGTTGTGTCGTCCAGGGCCCATAGGAGTAGCGCTCCTCCTGTTGCCGCCGTTGCTCTCCCTCCTGTTGCCGCCTCCGCTGTTCCTTCTCTTCTTGCTGCTGCTTCCACCGCTGCTCCTCTTTCCGCTCGCGTTCCTGACGCAGGCGTTCTGTCTTTTCGCGCTCGCGGCGGAGAGCCTCCTCCTGCTTGTACTTCTTCTCCGCCTCTGCAGCTTCTGCTCTCCGCTGAGCTTCTTCACGTTCACGGCGCTCGCGTTCATACTCGTTTATCTCCTTCATGCGGCGAATTTTTTCCTCTAGGCTTATGGGGTCTTCTTCTGGGAGCGGCTCATCTTGTGGTGCACACGGCAAAGTGTCGGTTAGGACAGTAGGTAATTTGCGTTAGCGTGCACAGGAAACAGTACACTGGTTTAAAAAAACGAACTGGTCGTGCTAGAGGTACTGCTACCAGTGCTGCGCCACCCCGGAGGCATCTCAGCACGCAGCGTCTCCGCAAAAATACGTTCGCGCTCTTGCCGCATCTTCTCTAGTCGCTCGTTATACTTCCCCTGCTTAAATCGTTCATGACCAGATTTCTTTTTCGCATACTCTTGTCGCATGCTTGACGGCGACTGGGTGTGGCGAGGGCGCTTGGACGGAGGGACATCCTGAGTGTCACGGGTACGTTTGAAGACGGGGGGATTACTACTGCCGTCGCCTGCGGGTGGAGAATCTGACATTTGCGAGCCGACTGCCTCGAGACCGATAATGAAAATGACATCAGAATTTGAATGTGCTGAACCTGCGATGTTCTGCAATATTGTATCAGCTCGACAAAACACAGGGCAACGCATGCTGGCTCACGTCTTTGGCGCTTATTGGGCCGGGTTCCACCAGTGTAGTCTTCTGCGGTGTTCGTAGGGTGTCCGGTGCCGGTATGCGGAGGTTGTGATGTGTGCAAGGGAAGCTGCGAAGCATACGACGGGTTCGAGTACGGTGACGGCTGGGTCTCCTCGGTGGGCTGGGTGTCGGTGATGGTAAGGTCGAGCATGCTCAAGTCTTGAACTTCATTAGGGCTCTGAGTCTGCTTAGTCTTCGTCGTGGCCAGCTTCTCTCTGCGTTTCCTGCGGTTCTCTTCTGTTCTCTTCCGGCGAGCCTCTCGAGCGGCCGTAAAACTAGCCACATTCTCGACCATCATCTCCACCTCCTCGTCAGAGTCGCTAAAGTCGTCGTCATAGCCGTTGTCGCCTTCAGCCTCCTGTTCTACGGGGGCGTGACGCTTCTTCTTGATATTGCCAGGCATGGGCAGATCCTCGTCTGAAGAGTCCTCGACGTAGGGTCGCTTTGCCTTAGCAGGTAGCGTTTGTGGTGCACCGTTGGTTGTCTTTGACGAACGACGCGTTATAGTAGAAAGCGTAGGTGCAGGTTGTACTGTACAGTCGTACTCTGGGTCCAGCTTGTGAATATCCCACTGGTCTTGTGAACACATCACAAGCTGTCTAGCGTAGCATAAATGAGCATGAACCAGTCCCTGCGATAACCCTAGCACTTACCCACATATGTCCACAACTCTCGGCCATTCGCCCTCGTCATCTGCGTTTTCCATGCCCTTTGCTCGCGGTATCCACCTCCAGAAGCTCTCGCCAGCCGGCAACGTCTCGATAACGACGCGCTTCTTGCTGCATAGCTCATCCCCTCTTAACTGCGCTCTCTGAAGACCACAGGATGCTGTAAGAGGATGGAAGGTGGCGAAAGACAGTTTCGAACCGGGGGAGCTGAGCAGCCGCGCCGGTTGAGCGGGATCGAGCGCGCCCACAGGAAGGCCAACTATAGACATGGTTGGATGAGGGTGGCCTGCTCTTGTCTCAGACATGACAAGCCAAAAATAACGTAAGGGTGAGATTAACGACTAAGGTTATGCGCAAGCAGCTCCAAGGGCAAGGTACAACGTGCAGCGGGAAAATCACGTGACACCGACGCGTGGTAGAGTTTGATGGCGCATCAATGTCTCCAAGGAAGAGCGCCCATTTCGCTCTGTGGAGGCACAGCCGAGAGTCCCGAGACGACGCCCTACGCCGAGTTCAGCCCTTAGTTCGACGCCGCCTTTTCGTTTAAATTGTGTTCTTCGTTGCCAATGGGCCTATCTGGCTTTCCATAGTGAGAGTGGAGAAGTCTCATTCATCATAGGACGAACAGATCGAATTGGCGGAGCTGACGTCGCTCGAACCAGACATGACTCGCGACGCTCTCTCTTCTGCATCGCCATCTCGACTGCTGCGCAAGCAGCCACCAAGGACTTACAACCGTGTGAAATTCCACTCTGACTAGATCTGACTCACTCCGTACTGGTACTCTTCCCGCCGATATACACATATATATATATATCTTCGCAGTGCGGCGCTTTCCCGGATATCCACTACGCCTTTAGCATCCGTTCGCCACTATGACTAGCCTACGGTCCTTCCAGACCGAGATCGACGAAATACATCACCGGGAGGCCGTTAAGCAGCGTTTACAGACGCTTTCTGAGCAGGGCGGGCTGAGGGTCACGAAGGGGGTGGCGGGGAGGTTGCAGGCTAAGGCGGCGGGTGTTGGGACCGAGCCTGCCCCAACCGAGGCTATAGCGGCGGATGAGGAGGGAGATAGAAGCATAGATGAGGCATTGGAGCAGGATAAGATACAAGTGCGCTTGAAGCTTCATAGACGGATTTAGACCAAGCTCACACTATCTAGGAATTGCTGCTTGCGAATGATACAGGCAGAGCCCGCGACCTCGTAGCCAGCATACTTACTCGCAGACGAGGAGAACTAGTGTTCCGTATAGGTGTACGACCGGCGCACGATAAGCTGTTTGCAGGCGGGGATCTAAGAGACTCAGATCCACCACAGGGTGTTCCTCGCATGGCTGAGGAAGTAGACATCCTTTGCGCCCGAATAGCCGAGGTAGTGGATGAGCTGGGAGGGAAGGTGCGCACTATTTTTGTCTGTCGGGAGCGTCATATCTGTGTCTCAACTTTCAAACAGACCTCGGCTTTGTACAAAATATCGGATGGTCCTCCTCGAGCCGCATTATTATTACGACTACCCCCGCCCAGCGTAGCGTTAACACCTGAAGTCCGCTGTGCAGTTGTGGGCAATGTTGACAGTGGGAAGTCTACCACTTTAGGTGTCCTCACACGTGGTATGTCCCGTCATATGCGTTGCCTATCCACCAAATTTCACTTGTACCAGGCGCGTTGGACGATGGCCGCGGACGGGCTCGCGTTTCGCTCTTCCGGCACAAGCATGAAATCGAGAGCGGCCGTACATCGAGCGTGGGCATGGAGATCCTCGGCTTTGGGTCCTCGGGCGAACCCATTCTCCCTCTGTCGTCGCATGCCAACGATCCCGAGGCGATTCGCCACGAGAGGATGAGCTGGGAGGCGATATCTATACAAGCGGCCAAGATCGTGTCTTTTATTGACCTGGCTGGGCACGAGAGATACCTGAAGACCACGCTCTACGGACTCACGTCCGGCGCGCCGTCTTGCGTTATTCTCATTGTAGGCGCCAACGCCGGGCTCATTGGGATGTCGAAGGAACACCTTGCTATTGCGCTAGCATTAAGTGTGCCCGTGGTTGTCTGCATCACTAAGGTTTGGGCTGTCCACACTTGCGCTATGATTAGGGTGCTAATATCTAGGGAAGATCGATATGACACCGCTAAACAAGCTTGCCGAGACGATCAAGCAGGTTACGAAGATACTGAAGAGCCCGGGATGCCGGTGAGTCATTTCTTCTGCGGTCTTTCTCATAAACAAATATATATCATACCAGAAAAACGCCGGTATTTGTAAAGACTATGGAGCAAGCTGTCGAAATCTCCGAGGTCTTTGCCAAGCAGCGGTCGGTGCTAAGCTGTTATAGGGAGACAGCGTGCTGACATCCGCATAGATTATGTCCTATATTCCAGTTAAGCAACGTGACAGGACAGGGCCTGGACTTCCTGCGGACATTCCTGAACCTTTTACCTCCTAGCGAGGGCGACACTGAGAAGTTTACGGCCGACCAGGCACTAGAGGTGTGATGTATGCGTCTTGGGAATAGCTCGGAGGCTGACCTGTTCTACGCACACTTAGTATTGCGTAACCGAAGTTTGGTCTGTACCATACGTTGGCACAGTAGTCGACGGTATCGTCAACTCTGGCCGATTGAAAGCGGGTGATGCTATAGTATTTGGGCCGGACTCCAACGGCAAATTCGAAAGCACGGCCATCAAGTCAATACAACGGAAGCGGTGCACATCTTACTTCAATTTCCGTGAAATCCACGCTCATATCTTGATGTCCCAGCGCACCAGTCAATTCTGCCGAGGCCGGCCAATGCGTCTCATTGGCCCTGAAGCGTGTTCGGCGAGCCGCTGTGCGAAAGGGGATGGTCATCGTGCACAAAACCGACGCTCCCCCGCCACGAGGTGTGTATTGAGTCCCGATATCCACCTCCGTCAGCTTCTGATGACAAAGAGAAGCGGTGAGGCAGTTCGAGGGACAAGTCCTTATCCTCTAGTACGTATTTGACCGCGCAGATCCCTACATGTGAGACCCTTGACTCACATGTCCGTCCAGCCACAATACGACGCTGCAGAAGAACTACCAGGTGGGTCTTATAGAACCCTAGCCAGCTTCTGCCGCGATGCTAATCTTCGAACCACAGGCGATGTTGCATTGTGGTGTAAGTGAACCCTACACCCTACCATAGTGGCAGTGCTGACGGCATGTGCCGCAGGCCATCCGGCAAACAGTCCGAATACTGTCAATGGACCATCCACAAGGCGTTCTCCGTACGGGAGACCGTGCTACGGTCACGTTTGAGTTTATCTCGCATCCTGAGTTCTTAAAGGAAGGAATGAAGCTACTGTTTCGCGAGGGAAAAACGAAGGCAAGTCGATGATATATGCGTCTCACCAGGTATATACTGACGCCGCTGATAATAGGGCCTTGGCGTCGTGACCAAGCTATTATAAGCCAGCGCGCTTTCGTCGTCGCTCTGACCTCCGACAAGCCTATGCTTAGCCCCGCCTTTTGCACTTCGGCATTGAAGACCAGCCTAGCTATTCCGCTCGGAACACAGCCGATGATCCGCATACAGTACAACCCTACCTTGTCCGCCCCCTCGGCGCAACCCTTTCCAAGGCGACACGCCTGCCGAGTGATTCCTCGACGGCCTGCCCCTTATTCACCGCCCTGTACTGGAAATGTAGCGGATGTATTATTAGTGTTTCTCCGAGGCATGCTGCTTTGGTATCATGAAAGGATTACTGCCAGCATACTTCTTTGCTATAGCCCTGTGTGGCGAGCTTTATCTAGTGCCATCCCTACGCAGACAAGCCGGGCTTCACGGGGCAGCTCGTTATGCTCCGCTCCGATTTCCCAAATAACATGGCAACCTGTGTATTGGCCAAATGGAAGCTGCTGCCTGAGATGCAGAGCATATCGTGCCTGCATTGCACGTATGGGTGCAGGCTGTGGACTTCCCGCGAACTTATTAGGTTCAGATATTAGCTTTTCAGTACAAGATAGCCCAAGTCTCTGGATACTTTGTGTTGTTATTCATATATATGGTCTTGTCAACCCGTTTCTATTGTAGGATGAGGTCGACCGGATTTCAACTAAATGAGAGCACCCGTCCTAGTAAACGATAGGCGAGCGCCTAGCTTATGATGTCGATTGGTGCCTGGGCGTTGGGAATGGCCTGTCTTTCACTCTCGACGACGAACGATGGTCACCTGCCCCTAACCATCTAACTGACTGCTGTGCCTGCTCTTGCAAACGCCTTGCCTCCATCTTCTCTCGCTGGACTTGGTGCGGCATTATCACGTACGCTGTAACGCCTGGTATAAATCGATCGAACTTTACCGCACAGCATCTTCAGTGCACCACGCCCACCACCTCATAAGCTCTGCAGCATGCCTCAGAGTCCTGAACTGGCAGCCCCTCCGCCAATGTCAACAGCGATGGACTCTCGGGTACCATCACCCACAGAGCTCGAGCACGCCCTGAGGCGAGTGCGCTCCGAGAACGACCTGCCCGAGGATGTCGGCCTGACGGACATCCCGCGGCGGTCCCACCAGAGGCAGTCGATGCGTACGCACCGTCCGCATCTCTCAGAAGGTCACATTACGTCGCGCCTAGCGCTGCAGGAAGCAGAACGCGGAAGTACGTCGGGCGAGGCACAAACACCGCACGACCACATGCCGCGGCGGCCGACGCCCGTGCGGCTGCGCGACAATGCACCAAGGAGTCAGCAGGATATGCTAGAGATTTTACAGGGCTTCGAGAACCTGCCTGAGGATTTCCAGGCCGAACTCGAACGCGCGAGGGTGCAGGCAAGACAGCGGGAACGCCGCGTGCCGCCGGGTATACGCGGAAAAATACTGCTGTTCCTCGGCCATGTGGGCCCCGACGCGGAGGTTAGGAGCAAGCTGGTATCGTTTGTTTGGAGTCTGTCGTTCGGGCTAGCTCAAGTGCGCATCTCTGTGGGCCCCTGGCCCACGGTACATCTCCGTCTGATAGCTGATCACTATCAATCGCGCAGTTTGTTGTCATTGTGGCCCTGCTCGCATACTCTAGCAAGCATAAGAGTCCAACAAAACCTAGCGAAACCGAATGGCATGCGTGCGAACGTCCGCTGGGTGCATGGAATGCAGTTTGGATAGTCCGTAACTTCCTTGGATGCACACACTCGTATTGGACTTGGCGTGTCGAGTTGAAGCGATGTCTGCAGTGAGCATACAGTCTCGGTAATATCTGTCACGATTTGACTCTAGATTTCAGGGCGCGAAGTAGGAACTCAGATAGCAATGCAGAAAATGGCCGCCCGGCTCGGTCGGGGCGGCCGTCAGATTCCAACCGAAATTCGCAAAGAGATCGTACAAGCACTGGAAGCACTCGCTTGAATGATTCCGTTAGTAACAATGACGAGCAGCGACATCAGGTCCCCATTCTTCTCTCACGGTTCGTCGACAATCGTGTGTTCAGCTATTTTCGCTTAATTTCCTACATAGACTTGGAAATGTCACCGATATGCTTGGCATCGTATGGTTCCTTACGGCACATATTCTCGTCTACACGTCTATCAAGACGTGCCGCTTTTCAGCGCCCCATTTGTGGTGGCTAAGTTTCAGTATTCTCTGTATCCTCTACTTCATGATCCTCGAGGTATTCCTGGTCGGGCTGATCGTGTTCATCTTCTGGCCGGTAGCATATGTGAGTTTATCTCCTACATACCTATCTTCTTTTTGTAGCTGATTGTCCGAATAGCTGACATGGAACATCTTCCTCCTCTGCATTGGCCGACATCCTGTACAGCGAACGCCTGTCAGGCACGAGATTGGCAAGCTACCAAAGTCTACCGTCGATCAGATTCCGCTGGTCCTCTACATCCCGCCCCCTCACGAAGAGGCCCAGGGAAAAGAAAAGGACACTACGACACCATCGATCCCATACACTTATCCCCCAACTACTAAACCTCCTCTACAGAAGAAACGCCGTTTCGCCTTCCTCAGGCGGTCGAGGAAATCAAAGAAGAGTGAAAAAGAGGGCAAGTCTCCAGATCTCAGCAAAGACGACAAGGAGGGCGAACGCACCTGGGAAGATAATTGGGTGTCAGGGGATTATCCATTCGTCCGCCTAGAAGGAAATCGCGCCGCATGTGCGATTTGCCTCATGGACTTCGAGGAGCCTCAGAGAGCGGGCGGCGCCGCCAAGGCCGAACCGGGAGCTGCTGACGCAGGCGGAGATGCTTCGATGGTGCAGGTGGATGAGGTGACCCGTGACGACGCAAAACGCTTGAAACTTGAGGATGCCGGCGAGGGGCCACAACCGCTGAGGTTGCTGGGCTGTGGGCATGTCTTCCACGTGAGTATCCATGCTGTCTGTGTGCCGCGTGGAAATGCTCATGTTTGTGCTAGAAAACGTGCGTCGACCCGTGGCTCATCGATGTGTCTGGACGGTGTCCAGTCTGTCAACGGCCGGTTGAGATAGCGAAAGAAGGAAAGGGTTCTGGCTGATCCTCTTATGTGTATGTTGAAGGTACGGATAGCTCTGATTCATGACGCGTACTATCTTGTTCTTTTCACCTTTACGTCTTGTATCTCTGTAAATTCTACTATGAATCAATTCACAACTGCTCAGTTCGTCGTTGGATGGATACTTCATTCAGTTTTTGCGCTGGCGGAGGTAGCAGCATCAACGAAGGAGCTTAATGATTGCGATCCCCAGTCAGAGTTGAAGGTATGAGCTGGAAGCTCCCGGTGGCCCAGGGGCCGGACTGGACTTAGAACGCGAAGGGTGATATTCATAATCTCGTGTCATGACCGCTGCACTACAAAGCGGAGGGAATTATAGGACTCAACGACTGTCTACGGTAACCGGTTCGCCATTGTCTTCCCACGCCAGCACGCCGAATTGACTCAGAATCAAATCTTGCAAGCTCGTCCAGAGTGGCGAGCTGTCGTGCATTCATGAAATCATTCGCGAATAAGGCCAGCTGCTGCATAAAAACCTGGTATAGCGGTAGCGTGACAGTACGAAGCTCAAGTCTACAACGGCTCCAGATCCTACCTCCATTCAACTCACCAGTATTTTGCTGCCCACGTTTTCGCAGGGGCAGATGCGCTTTGCAGCTTTAAAATATAGAGCCGTCGACTGGTCCAAGTGCGTGTTTGATAGATGGGCTTGGCGCGTATTTTCACTTACACTGCAGGTGATACTGTATGCATCGTGGAGGGTGGTCATGAACCACTGAGGTGGCATCAATGGTCCGGGAAGCGCAGATATCATAGCTTGTGATGTACCTGCGCTATAAGTCATCCAGACACCTCCAGCCATGGAGCATGGAACAGCTGATGGCACTTCTGAACCCCTTGTGGCAGAATTCATCGGACCAATAATGGTCGGCTATGAACAACCGCCGCTCCCGCTCGTGCGTAGCCTTTCTTTCTTCAATATTTGGCAGCTGCTAACCTTCGGTCTGGGCATAACGTTGCTGAACCTACAGGCTGACATCCGTGAGAAATGCTTAATCGTTACCATGCAAAGCCGGCAACGAATATACCGGCTGCTACTTTCGTGCGACAGATACGCCGTATGACTAATTTCGTCTCACCTTATTGACGCTCAAAGCCGGTTGAGCAGGAGCCGTTCGGTTCGAGTGGGACCTCTGGGTCTTTCTGGAAAGAGTTTTTTATAGTTTGAGACGGCATGGCTGGTTTCCAAGCTCACGCGTCACGTACGTGGTAACAACCGTGGGCCTTTCCTACTGCCTTGTCGCTGCCCGGAGAGACGTTCCCGTAGCTAGATGCAGAGGAATTAGCAGGTAGGCTACAGTCCCGCTCTGACACACTTAGTGCATGCCACTGTCGCAGACCGTACCGTCGCTCGCGGCTCAATAGACTTTCGTATTTGCTATAGCAATGGTCCCCGCACTGTGCACGAATAGTCTCCTGATCAGTACCTCCAGTAGAAATGGAAAGTACTGTGGTGAAGTCGAGCCGTCTGTGCCCAGCAAAGTCCGAGTCAGTGATGCTCTGCGACACCTCCGTCAAATTAAGTGGTACTACTCACCAGCTGCCCTATCCAAAACGAGTTATCAAGCCATCAGCCGGGCGGGTAGAAGAGAAGCGCGAGGGAAATTACAATGTTAACCGAGGACATGAGCTGTGTGAAGATGTAAGGATAGACGGTGAAGTAGTAAGAGAGTATCACCGCTAAGCAGCTTGTTCAACTGTTGTTGTTTATTTGGCCAGGGGCTTTGTGGCGCTCTCACGCGAAACCACCCGCGGTCTCTTAGGGTCCCGTGTTTATTCGACGCACACATGCGCATTTGGACACGAGTATTAAGGCCCGTCCAATGGAAAACCTATACAAACTAGAAGCTACATGAAAATTTACAGGAGATCTGTGGCTGAGCTTGGATATACTTATCATGATACAGTCTACAAAAGCGAATGTATGAACGCGAGATTCCAAGTCCGATATGTGAAACTATGCATATGAGAGTCCATAGGTATGTGAGTGCAGGTCTAAATAATCCCGCCAAGTAGTGTGGCGACAACACCAGACAGGACCGTAAGAAGCCATCTGGTTGCTTGGCCGATGGAAAGCGAAGCGGCAGCATTGGTCGAACCTGTGAGGTTCGATGCCGCAGAACTGCCCCACAGCTGTATATTGCGAAAGTAGGTATGAGTCGTCATGGGGGTAGCCCAGGAAGAATCGTTTCCGCCGAAGAAGGTACTAAATCATGTCAGCCGTGCCAAATGCCACGTGCACCACTCAGAGATACTTACGAGAAGTATAGTCCACCAATGTCGATGTCATCATTTGTACGGAGCTGGAGCCCTTGTTGATCAACGGCCTGAACATTATTGTAGCTGCGACATATTAAATTGGCGGCAGAAATCACGGGGAGTTCAGGCTTACTAGAGGACAACCTGACCGTTAGATCCGTCCAGAGGGTCGTTCAGGCGCACAAGCATTGTGACGAGATTCCATCTGGTACCGAACGTCAGGAAATAGCAAGAATGGCTCCGAGGAACGCGCGACATACTGGCCGGCAGCAAAACTATATGAACCGCGATCGATACTCGTACCGAAGCCGTCCTGGTTGCACAAGACATTAGAGTCAGAGCAGAGAGCGTTGTTCTCGATTATGTACGCGTAGACTGCAGATAGTCAACACCGACGCAGAAAACGCAGAAAACGAGTGCTGTGCTCACCCTCTCCTTCTCCGCTCTTACGCCACATCAGACGAGAGCTGAAACAGTTGGACCCGTTGGCTGCCGTACCACCCGAACACCCGTCCGGGTCAAGTCCGCCTCGCAATCCGGGCAGCTTTCCACCCATGACCCAGTTAAAGCCGGCGTCGAATGCAACTTCATATGTTACCAGCATTGAATTGAATGTCGAGCCATCTGTTGTGTTCCAGAGGGAGTATAGCTGCGCGCCGCCTGTGTCGTGAGAAAAGCTGCCTTCCGGGTAAGTTACCTCAAGGACAGGTCCAGATGAGCCGCTGGAGCCAGGCACTGGGTTGTTCGGGAACGGATCTTGAACGAACGCGACATCGCTTGCCCCGTTCTGAATGCGGCCTTTGCTGAGAGACCAGCCGTCGACGATGAACGATTGCGCATCGTTGTTGGAAAGTGTGGCGGTAGGGAAGGGTATACTGGTGCTGGTCGTGAGAGAGTACTGCGAGGCTAGATCGCTTGCCGACACAAGCTGAGCGGCGGCGAAGCCAGACTGGACCAGAAACGCGCAAAGGCTGACAGCGCCAAGGGAGAGCATGGTTAGAGGTGATTAGCGACAAGGGACCAGCCCTGTATTAATGCCTGTGCCTGTTGTGTCGGAGTGCCTGCTAAGAAGGCTCGAGGGCAGGAGACTGCAAGGCCGAAGTGGTCGTCCGTGGAGGATCAGGACACGGGCTGCAGAGACCGGAGTGGCCGCGCTGGGCCGCTTAAAGCGGAAGTGATGCGCCCTTTCCATCCGCATCGCTTTCATAAGGGCGCCGACTAAGGGCGCGCACGTAACGTTGTACCACCCGTCGTACACCATTTTGGCCCTTGCTCCTCTCACGCTAGACAGGCATAACGTAGTGCCCGTTCTTTCCCCCTCACCAACTCCCGACTATGCTCGGACGAAGCAGAGGCACCCGCGACAACGACGCCGAGAGTTCCACACGGCAACCCTTGCTGAGCGGTTCACAAGAGGATCTCCACGACACTTCGAATGGAGAGATTTTATTCACTACAGGAGATGATGAAGACGATGAAGATTATGTAGAGGCGTCCGCGCTGGATCACGTCGACTCCCCGCGGGACAAGCCCGGTCACAGTGTACGCTTCAATGAAGATGTACAAGTCATTGCGCCTCCTATGAGGTCCGTGATGGAGAGCAGGGAGACCGGTGCGTGAGTTGATTGTGCCTAGATAAAGCCGTCTCTACTAATACGTCTTGTTGGAAGAGTATGAGCTTGACAGTGACGACCTAGACGACGCCGCACTCGAACAGCTGCAAGCCGGGCGGGACAGACCCCGCAGGTCGAGGCGAAACAATGAGCAGTCGATGCCTCTTCTTGTTGGCCTGCTCGACTCAGCAACTGCAAGACGCAGCGTAGACGGCTCGCTACAGCTAGAACGCCGAACGGAGCGTGGGGAGGAGCTGTCAGACGAGAATATAGATCTTGAGGAACTTGCAGCCAAGCGCACAGCCGGCGGCGGGATGCTAGACTCGATAGCGAACATGGCGAACTCAATATTGGGTGCAGGTAATGCACTGCTTTTGCTCCGTCTCTGGTGCTTCGTACCACATAGCTCACTCAGTGTATCATAGGAATCATTGGTCAGTGGACAACTCATACTATGAATTTCGCCGCTTACCTTCCCTTTTACTCCAGGCCTACCATATGCTGTCAGACAAGCAGGATTTGTTACTGGCATAATCCTACTAGTGGTCCTGTCCGGAGTGACCGACTGGACGATACGCCTCATCGTCACAAATGCGAAGATGAGCGGACAGAGCTCATATATTGGGATCATGAATCATTGCTTTGGCTCGAGTGGTCGGGCAGCTGTGTCCTTCTTCCAGTTTGCTTTCGCGTTTGGAGGTGAGTAACTGAGGGTCTTGCCGCATATTTTACTAAAGTAATCCGTGGCATAGGGATGTGTGCTTTTGGCATCATCATAGGTCGGTGCTCTTATTTCGGCTGGCTCGGTCGTTGCTAAGTTTGGGATACGCAGGGGACACAATACCGCACGTTATTCGCTCTGTCTTTCCTCACCTCTACGCCGTACCTGTCCTTTCTCTGTTTACAAATCGCCAGTTCGTCATTGCTCTCTGCACGATCTGCGTCTCTTACCCGCTCTCGCTCTACCGTGACATCCACAAGCTTTCGCGTGCATCGGGCCTCGCACTAGTGGGCATGGTCATCATCGTCTCGTCTGTGCTCGTCGAGAGTGAGCACGTTCCGCCCGAGCTCCAGGGTGATCCGACGAAGCGCTTCACGATCATTGGTCCCGGGCTATTCCAGGCGATCGGTGTCATCAGCTTCGCATTCGTCTGCCACCATAATTCACTGCTCATCTATGGGAGCTTGCAGACGCCTACGCTCGATCGTTTCGCGAAAGTCACACACATATCGACGGCGATGTCGCTCGTCGCATGTTGTGTGCTCGCGATATCGGGCTATCTAGTGTTCACGGACAAGACGCAAGGGAACATCCTGAACAATTTTGCTGCAGTAAGTGAGGCATTGCGGATTTTTCGAACGTGAAGGCTTAATTTCTGTCTAGAACGACACGTTGATCAACGTCGCTCGCTTCTGTTTTGGCCTAAACATGTTCACGACCCTTCCGCTGGAACTGTTCGTGTGTCGAGAAGTCGTAGAACAATTTTTCTTCTCGCACGAGCCCTTCAGCATGCAGCGGCATGTCTTCTTCACCACCGTGATTCTCTTCTCTTCTATGACCCGTACGCCTCCCTTTGTCTCCCCCCTCGGCTCTTCACTGACATCCCTCAGTATCCCTCATGACATGCGACCTCGGCGTGATGCTCGAGATCACTGGCGGCGCCTCCGCCACCGCACTCGCGTTTATCTTCCCTTCGGCGTGCTACCTCAAGCTCGTTGACCAGAGCACGCCGTGGTACCACCACAGCAAGCTCGGGCCGATCGTATGCACCGCGTTCGGGCTCATAGTCATGTGCATCTCAATGTTCCTCGCGCTCGGCAAGGTATGGACGCCCGAGGGCGACGTCAAAATCTGCTCATAGCACGTTCAAGCGGGCCCAGATGGGGGCACCTCCTCATTGCTCAAAGAGGAGATAGAGGCGGATAGATACACAGCCGTATAATATGTGGACCATACACCGGACGGACTTGATGACTTGTATATCTAAGTGTATTTGGCCGGTCATGGCGCGACAAGCTCCCCGAGGCCCTTGACTGCGCTGAGGTCCTCGATGCGCACGCCTTTCGCCGTGCTCTCGCTCGCGGAGAGCGGTGACACGCTGAGCGCGGTCCAACCCTGCCAGAGCGCCTCTACGCGGCTCGAGGGCAACTGTTCCGCGGGGATGTCTACCGGGTCGAACACGAGTACCCAAATGGCGTCATAGCCTCCCGCTGGGGATTCGAGTCGGCGTGCTGTTCATGGCTGTAAGCAAGGGAGAGGACGCACCTCCGGGAACACCGCCGCCGATGACGCCCGCGACGGACGCGCAAGCGTTGAGCAGCTGTGTCTGCTCTGGAGGCTCGATCGGCACGCCGGCTTTGACGCCCATTTCGCGCATGTTTGCGCGGATTTCCTGGTACTGCGGATCAGCTCTGCAGATTTCCGGGTCGCTGGTGGGCGACAGACCTCAGATAGTCGGCGCGCCTCTGCCCAGGCCTCGATGATCTTGAGCTTGTCGTCCGGAATGCTGGGGTGCGCGAGCCACTGAGGAGTCGCGTTAGTGAGAAGAGATATAGCGACATGGGGGAGTGGGTGTACCTGTGCACTCTGCAGGCTGGCAAGGTATCGTACGACGACAACATACAATTCGGACTGTGTGGCGTGCAACTCTGAGAGCTGCAGGAGTGCTTTGCTCAACGCTTGGTTATGCGCATTCAGCGTCTCCCACAGCGCATCCGCTACATACACAGTGAGAAAGCGGCCAGAGAGATACAGGACATGGTCTGTACCTTCAGCGGAGCTCTCCTTCCGCCACTTCAGGACCTTTCCAACGAGTGACGGCGTGTCGCTACCTGCGTCGACGTCGGCGAGCATGAGGCGAGTATATGGGGGAAGCCTGAACGGCGCGACGCGATAGTCCCATGCCGGATTCGATGTTGAAAGGATGCGCGAGAGGGATTGTACCGATTCCTATGTTAACGCGTTAGTTCCGGGCTGTACATGAAATCGCGCGATAAGAGTAACATTTGCGTTGTACATGCGGAAGAGCCTTGGGAAGACTTACCAGATGGTTTTCCATGAGCGGCTGGATGACCTGCGGGTCGAAGCGTGTGTATATCTGGCTACCGAAGACGGCAGATGAGACATCGAAGCCGCTGCCGACCTTACCCTGTGCAAGGCAGTGAATGTACTGCGAAACGTTGTGTGCGAGCTTGCGGCCCTCGCTCGCGCTCTCGAGCCCGCCCTGAGACGTGAACGAGTCGCCGGCGATGATGCCGAGGTGCAGGAGCAGCGCAGAGACGAGCGAGGTGATGAGCGCGGCGGAGGAGCCCAGTCCGGTCTTGTGCACTTCGGGCAGTCTCACGCCAGTGTGCAGGAATGGCGGAAGTTGTGCGAGCGATGCAAGGGTCGCGGGGAGGTTCCTGCTTGCGAGCTGGAAACGAAGAATCAGCAATTACAATGACGGTCAGTTAAGGGAAACAGCGAGACTAGTACGGACTACAAGGGATCGCCGCGGGACCTTGTTGAAAAGCGTGGGTTTTCGACGACATTGCAACAACGCCCCGCGACGATACAACAGGTATGAGCCAGGAAACCTGGCGCCTAGGATGGCCCGATACGGACAAAAAGCAACTATACTGACCTGCGCTCGTTGTGAGTAGAAGTCATTGTCACCGGCTATGGTGACATCGAGCCCGGGGGAAAGCAGTTCTCTCAGCTCCTGCGGGCCTTTTGATTCCCATGCTAGTCGCAAGGTCTCCTGCAGAGCCAGCTGAACGAATTTATTCTTGGTCGATGTGACCGATCTGTAGCACGCGCACTGAGGTCTGCTCCAAGTCTCGTCCTCTGACGCACTCACTTATCAGCGGTCTGCTCAACGCGAACACCGGTCTGGTCGACGTGTGTGAGATAGATCCAGGTCGCGTCGACAAACTGGGGCGATCGGACACGGATCTGGATCGGGCCCTGGGCACGCGAGGCGTCTGCCGGCAGGGCGGCCACGACGGTGTAGAAGCGCGAGCTGGTAGCGACAACGACACCCGAGTACTTTGGATCGAGGACGAGGTAACCCCCGGCGAGCAGGACCTTGCCTGGCGATGAGACGACGGTAGTTGGAGGCATGAGTTTGACTCTAAATTGTGGTGCGAGGGACGCGGGCGCGACAAGCTTTAAACTTTCGCGATTTGCTGAGTCAGCAAGAGCTCGTATGGTGTCCCCTCGCGTCGGGAGTGCATGGACGCCATCGTGAGATGGAGCGAATTCCAACCGTGCTCATAGGCTGTCATATCTTTCCTAAGGAGACGTCGGACTGCGCGTTGTAGACAGGCTCTTGACAGTTGCGGTCCCTCAATCGCGAGGGGATCGGAACCGGCAACGCTCTCTAGATTAATACCGAACATGCTTCCCGTCGCGTCCGCGGACTCACACTAACAGGCACGACACGGCCGTACATGCATCCACCAAGAGCACCAAAGAATCTATGAGATGCTTTATTGCTGCCGACCGCTGACAAATACCAGAGCCACTTGCGCACGACAAGACATTTACCCTACAGTCCACCGCGCGCGAACCAGGCCTTTTGAGCACCACAAGCGGCATTCGTGCAGCCAGGACACCGGAGCCCCATTTGGATGCTCGTTGGCCCGATCCGACCTGCGGCGTAGTCTTGCAGGTGCGTCGAAGCCAGGTCCGCCAGCGCGCGGATAAAGACCGGCGAGTCGTTCAAGGCTTCCGCCCGTTCGACATGCATGCCAAGCTGCACAAATGGACGAGGTCAGATCGGCGTCGTGTGGACAAAGAAAACCTTAGCGGAATCGCCAACACACCTTTTTGCCTTCGTGCGCGTACTCCAGATCGAGCTCGAAAAGGGTTTCAATGTGGTCGCTTGTGAACGCAATAGGTATGAGCACAACATTCTTCCGTCCCAATCGCGCGAGGCCCTTTATCGCCTCTCCAGTCTGCATGCCCATCCATGCCGACGGGCCAACCTGGCTTTGCCACACCAGGCGGTGCGGATTCGAGTGCTTTAGGCGGTCCATGACAGCGTTCACGGATGCAGACACCTCTGGCACGTAAGGATCACCACGGTTGACGACAGACATGGGTAGCGAGTGCGCCGAGAAGAGAAGGACGACGTCCGAGCGTTCTTCCTCGGAGAACTTTGCGAGCGCACGCTCGATGTTCTGTGCCATGGCCTGTCCCACGGCACGCATTAGTACGGCGGCAACTCTATCCGACGTGCAAAGCGCGCACCTCAACAAAGCCTGGGTGGGTCCCCCAGCGATCAATCACGCTCCATTCGACGCCGTCCCCGATTTCTCCAGTCTTGCCCTTTCTGTACAGCTCGTTGAGACTGCTGCCCGTCGTGCTGCAGCTGTATTGAGGGTACTGGGTGAACGCCACGGCCCGCTTGACACCGTCTGCCTTCATTTCCCTCGCCGTCTGCTCCGTGAGAGGGTTCGCGTACCGAAACGCGACGTACGCCTTGTGCGGCGCGGTCTCTGGGTGGAGCTCGTCTAGCAGTGCTGCCATGCGCTCGCCCTGAAGACGAGTATACTTCAGGATCGGCGAGCCACCGCCAATGTCTTCATACTGCTTCTCAATCTGAGGCGTCCGACGGCGAGCAATGAGAGGTGCCAGAACCGACTGGAACGGCAGCGGAATTAAGTCGTTATCCGAGAAGAGGTTCTTCAAGAAGTCATGCGTCTCCGGAACCTAAGAATTACTAGAATTCAGCTGATGATGAACGCATACACTCGTGTAATACGCACCGTTGAGGGCCCACCCATGTTCAGCATGACAATGGCTGCAACTCACATCAGCTACCTCAAAGCGTGCGCTTTGAACATGACACACACCTGTGGGACTAGATACCAGTTAGACCACGTATCACATACGATATGAAAAGCTGCTTACGGCTTTCCTGCCGGAGGCGCATTGTTCAGAGTTGCAAGCGAACGCTGGAGGGTCCTCGCGACTGTGCTCGCGCGACGGATGCCCGACATTGCTTCGTACACTACGCGGGTCGTGGAGAAGGAGTACGTGGCTGCGAGAGAGGGGCTTTTGAGGGTGTAAGGGCGGGGGACATAGCCAAAACGTCGTGCGAAGGGCGTCCACGCTCCGGGGCCGGGAATAATGCCAAGCGCGCATTACTTACACGGCGGGCGTGGCTGGCTCGCGTGCTCTGCTTATCCCACTGTTGCCGACATACGGAAGCAAACAAGCAACGTCCGACGTGCCAAACGAGTTGCGTGCACCTTGTTCCTCGACTATCGTCTCCTGCCAGGCCGCGTCTCTGGGCTTCTGACCATGTCTGACTTGTATAGTTATCGATCAAAGCCCACCTCGTGCCCAAGCTAGACACAATAGCGTCCCTACCTTGTTTTCAACTTGCCATGACGCTTTGCCCCCGGCGCATTGAGCCCTCATGATTTTTAAACGAATGGGACGCTATGACCTCCCCGCAACGAACTTTGCATCGCGGATGAACCACTCAACGTACTCAAAGATAGTCAGTATCTACCTCCCCATACCTACCAGGTGTATACATCGAGGCTGACCTGCGGAACACATCGACAGCCCTCAGCCTACCTTAGAATGCCACACGGTATATAGTCAATGCCCTGTTCCCCTTACGCTTTGCTCAACAGACAGCATGTTTCCAGTTCTTGACCTCATACGCACACGAGAAATCAACCGCCTGCGCGGACACCCTTCCCCTACCGTCGCCTGGCATGCACTAGACAACGATACGATATCATTCCCCTTCTACGTAGTCTTCCTCATGGTTCTGTTCGTCCTGATAGTTCAGTTCGGTCGCCATGCACTTTTCGTGCCGCCCTTCCCCTCAATCCCGACATGGATCTCAAAGCGGCTCAGTGTCAGGCAACAGCCCGGAACCAAGACACATCCTTTACACACCACGCCGAATATACCACCAGCTATCCCCTCGGCACTGAAGTCGTTAACCTTCACGCTCACTCTACCCTCAGCACCCTCAATACCAGCGTGGATCGCGGATTGGTTCAAGGATCCCCTGACGAACAGGACGCATGTTACACGTTTCACACAGCTCAACGACAGATATCGCGTTTCCGTCGAAAAATTCGTAAAGATCTCGCATCGCTACAAGAGTCTGCAGGCCCAGCTCAAGGTAAGTCTCGACACTGGCTACGCTTCCCCTCCGCCTAAACAGAGCCCATTGTCCACAGGAACGTGATGAACGACTGCACCGGCAGGGCTCCGCCCTTCACGCTACGACTGCGCAGCTCGAGGGCTTCCAGACGCAAGTTGAACAGCTGCGCGAGGACAGCCGGAGACTGTGCGCCGCGAACGAGCGCCTACACGCAGAGCAGGCGTTGCTAGAGCAACGGACGCTCGACCAATTCTACGAGCACGCGCGCCAGCTGCACGAGCGTGAGCGTGAGCAGGAGGCCCTCGAGCGCGTGATCGATCTGCTCGAGCAGGACAAGGCGGCGTCTCAGGTAGGCGGGTTCTTTTGATATCTGTAGGCGACGTGTGTTGAACGAGCGCAGGGCACACTCCAGGAGATGTCTGCCTCAAATGAGGCCCTGATGGACAGGGTTGCTGAGCTTGAGCACGAGCTGACACACCAACATGAAACGAGTTTCCACGCGGAGTCGGCGCTCGAAGAGGCCGTCAAGTGCAACGAGTCCTTACTTCAGGAGCTCCACGATACACAGGTTATTCAGGGCCGGCGGGAAGACGTCGTCAGCGAGCAATTAGCCGCTGTCGAAGCAGACTGCCGTACTGCACTCGAGAATGCCTGCAAGGAGAATGATGCACTGCGGAAGCAGCTCGCGCACCAGCAGGCGCAGCACGCGAGGGAGCGTGACCAGTGGGGTGCAAGGCTTGAGGCTCTTGAGGAGAAGCACCACGCCGCGATGGAAGAGGCCCGCAAGGAGAACCTAGCCCTAAGGGATGAGATGGCAAAGCGGGAGCAGGAGCACCTCGCCCAGCATGAGCTACTCACGGAGAAACTCGCACTTGCAAAGGCGGACAAGAGAGACGCGAAGGTGAGTACCCGCGCGAACGATACGTGATTACGTGGTTTGACGCGCTTCCAGGCCAAATTGCGCAGGGTTCGGGAAGAGGTTCGACTCAAGGCTTCTGACATTGCCCGGCTCGAGTCCCGGGCGGCCCAGTACGAACACCTCTATGAACAGCAATGCGACAGCTTCCAGCAGGACCTCCACTTTGTGCACGTCGAGACATCTTATCAACGCAACATGTACGAGGATAAGCTCGGCTCTGTGCAGGCCGAATCCGCCGCGCTCCACAAGCAGCTCGCGGACTGCGTCAAGCGCTACGAGGAGCAGTCTGCACGGCTACGGGCGGCACAGGTCGGGCTCCGCGACGCGTCGCATATGCACCACCAGCTCGAACTCAAGCTCAAAGCGGCTGCCGCAGAGAAGGAGGTTGCGGCCGACCTCGAGAACTTGCTAAGCGACGCGCTGAAACGCGAGCAGGACAAATTCGAGACGCTCGAGATCAGCTTCGACGTCCTCGAAGGCGCGTATAGCTTCCTCGCGCGCGAGCTCGTCCGCACGGAACACGCGCTCGAAGACGCCCTCCAGATACAACAACAGCTCCGCGAGCGTGTCGCACCCCTGTACGACGAGCCCGAGAGCGTGTATCCCGGCGAAGATCTCCCAGAGCAAGAGCACTCCAGTCAAGAATACACCAGTCGGGCCTACGTCTCGGGGCAACGTGCGGAGAGCGAGTCGCCGATGTTGGGCTCAATCTACTCAGATGGCGACGCGAGCTCCTGGCCCGCAACGCCTGGGCTCGTGCGCAGTGCCCGCAACTCCACGACACCCTGCTCGATGTACTCGGACGGCGATGCCAGCCCGTGGCCTGCAACGCCGGGTCTCACGCGCAGCATGCACAGCACAGGAACGTCCATAACGTCTGTTTCGTCCCCGGTCGTGACAACGCCGCCCCTCCCGCCGCTCATGCTCGAACCACTGCCGTCCTCGGACAGCGGTCTCGCGAAGCACCTCCCGCCAGCGGACAGCGACGACTTCTTTGGGCCGATCTGGACCGTGGACGCGATGCACCACATCTCTCAGTAGTCCTGCCGCTATCTCCCGTCGGCTTCAGGTGTAGCGCTGAGGCGCAACTGCTGCGTCACATCCTGGTAGCGCACTAGTCACCAGTCACGCCTCTCTGGTACCATTGGGCATGTCCAGGAGGTGCGTGACGAGAGCATCAAGCAGCCTACTTACTAGCATACGTAATGTAGCATTATAATTTAGCTGCAACATTGTACTTATCTACACGGTTCAAGTAGTGTATTAAGCGCGATGTATTCCTGTCTTGCAAAGTTTGCGTTTTTATTAGACATACTTATCTCTATGGATATTCACTGCTTTGCAGAACCCACACTACTTTCAGCTGCAAATTTTATTTCCAAACAGCGATAAACCGTCACTTGTCACCAAGTTTCCAGAAACCTATCATCTGCCTGATGTCAATGTTTCCACTGACACCACTTTAAGACCAGGAATGCCGTTTTCACCAGCTTCCACTGCGTATTTTGAGCCACGGCAGACTCAAAAGGACCTCGGAGATGCTGAAGATCCGATCAGTAAGCTCCCTGCATCTCTTACTCTGAATGGCTTCACTGAGAAGCGCAGTCCAAGACTCGGAATCACCAACATTGATACCGCCATATACATGCGCTACTTCGACGCTCCTATCAACGAAATCCTGGACAGTGATGAAAGAGGATAGTATCGGAAAGCGAGAGCCGGCTCTCCCGGCATGTGCTGCTGTCGCGTTCTGAGAAGCGTTTTTCGATGCAGCATATAACGTCGAGCGACCCAATGGTCGAGCCCGGGTTCGACCCGCACTACTTTGAGCACGAAGTAGGTACGCTGCGCCTTCTCGTCTGCTGTACAACTGATGGACTGATTCCCGCCGCAGACCTCGACGTGCTTGTGGAGACCGCCAAGTTCTCACGCAGCATCGTGCAGCACGCGCCGCTGAGGGACATGATCGCGAGGGAGGTCGTGCCGGGGCCGGACGTACAAACCGACGAGCAGCTGAAGTGTATGCCCCATACCCTTTTCCTGCGTCTTTATGATGTTGACTGGGAAGCACAGCGTTCGTGAAAAATACGTACTCGACGACATGGCACACGTGTGGCACCTGCTCGATGATGCCGCGCGATAAGGGCGGCGTAGTCGGCCATGACCTCAAAGTGTACGGAACGAACAACCTCAGGGTCGTCGACTTGTCGGTTGCCCCGCTGCACATTGCTGCACATGTACAGGGTGGGTGGGGTGAGCTATCTCCGCGAGCCTGTACTGACTAGTGTGCCACGCAGCTACTGTGTGTGCAATAGCTGAGCAAGGTAAGTTGTTGTTGTGGTGGTGATGTGGCACTCGGCTGCTGACTGTGCTTTGCAGCGGCGGACATTATCAAGGGCACATTCCAGCCTTAGATACTTGACGATGTATGAGGGACTGTTCCTTAACGCATAGCATGCCGTCAATTCCTTTCTCCGTTTTCTGCCCACTCGCACACCCGAAGGAGATCGACATGGAGAGTACTTGGTACCACTAGTTTTCGCAGGTGTGCCACATGCAGCAAGGTAATTGAAGCGACACTGCTGCACAAGTCTGTATTTACTACCTTACTGTGAGATCAAGGGACGAATTACCATCCACCTGCAGTCTCAGAGAGCTGTGCGTGTATAGCTGTTTACTGGACAAATACTCAATCGGCCGTGCATCCTTGAGAGTTTTTGAAGCTAGCGCCCAACTTAAGTTTCTGAAGTTTCGTGACCATTTCGTTACGTAAGCAATTATCTGATAATTTACCAGTAATTCTGGATTGCTGTCTCGCGAGTTGACTTTGACCTTCACTTGGATTGCTTTACTTCGCCGTCCTTCACGCTTGTTCTCACCCACGCACGTCAGCACCATGTCTAATGAAACTGACATATCTGTTCGAATTCGTGACCTCAAGAAGGATAGGGTCAACTTTGTGCTTGAGAACGTGGACATGGCGTACGTGATGCTTCATATTCGTGACTCTGGCCATCTCATTTGCATGCCTTCGTACCAGACTTGCAAACTCCTTCAGACGTATCATGATGGCAGATATCCCAACAGTCGGTTTGTCTCGTTCCTTTGTCTACTCGACGCTTTTAATGCGACTTTATTTCAGCCATTGACATTGTGGAAATCGACTCGAATACTAGTGTACTTCCCGATGAATTCATTTCACATCGTCTGGGCATGATCCCATTAGTGAGCACAAATTGCGATGAGGCGATGCGGTACACAAGAGTGAGCAGTGCTCGGTCGTACCGCTCAAACCATCTCACATCTGCCAGGAATGCACATGCGAATCTTTCTGCCAATTCTGCGCAGTCGTCCTTCAGCTGAATATACGATGTGAGACCGCTGGTGAACATCTAGACGTCACAAGCAACCACCTTGAGTTTGTCAACCTCAGTAACAACTACGACGACCCGGGAGAGGAGATCTCAAAACGTCCCGAAAACTTCGGTTATCCAGTGGGAAAGAGTACGCTTATTTACTGTCATGTTGGTACTACTGGTTGACAAGGTGGTTGTAGATGACCCGAATGTACCACCGGTGCTCATTGCGAGGATAGGAAAGGGTCAGGAGATCCGCGCTCGCTGCATAGCGAAGAAGGCAAGTTTACCTCATAACTTGGACCCTTCACCTGTTTCCAAATATTCGGACAGGGTATCGCGAAAGAACATGCGAAGTGGTCGCCATGCTCAGCGGTAGCGTATGAATACGACCCACATAACAAGCTCCGGCATACATCCTACTGGTTCGAGTCGGACCCGAAGGAGTGGCCACTGAGTGAGAATGCGAAGGAGGAAGATCCGCCGCGGGAAGACGAGCCCTTTGACTACATGGCAAAGGCGAATAAGTTCTACATGGAGGTCGAGACAGACGGCAGCATGACTCCCAAGGATGTCGTTTTGAAGGTTTGACTTAGTTTCTGTATCTCATCCCGTTCTCTAGCTCACGCGGCGGACGCTAGGGCCTGGGCTTGCTACAAACTAAGATTGCGACCCTTTCTCTCAGCATCAACAAAGAACAAGAGGCAGCAGTCCAGGGTGGCGATCACGCTGTTGGTCAGGCCCCTGGGCCTCCGCCAGACGCTGCGGGTCCGAGTGCAGCCACCCAATGGGCCCGTCCACCGGGCGGCAACACATGGAGTCCTCCGCGAGCACAGCCAGGGAGCAGCTGGAGTCCTGGCGGCGCGCGAAGTGCTCAATGGGGGAACAATGCCAGCCCGACAAGCGGCGGAACATGGGGCGGCGCGTCACCTGGCGCTGGCGCTGCTGGAAACTGGGGTACGACGAACGCGGCGGGCACTAGTTGGGGCAATGCATCGCCTGCACAAAATGCGGGGTGGGGGAGCCCGACACAGCAGGCCCAAGGGTGGAATGTGTAAGGATGCTTCCCTTTACCCTCCATTGCTATCGTTGTGCGTGTATCTTAGGAGCTCGGCTCGGTAATATGTTGCATGTATTGCAAGACAATATCTTGTACAAATGAACAAAACGCAGATCAAGCAAGGAAGTACGAGAGCCAACAAGCTATGCTGGTGGTAGAGGTGACCGGTCTCGCTGAGGAGTCGCCAGCTCGAACTCTTCGAAGCCAGAGGGCCGTAGTGCTGTGGGCACCCCAGGCGTTGGGAAAGGCGTGGTTCTCGGCTGCAAGTCGCTCGGTGTTTGAATCTGTCGAGAATCTCTTATATCAAGCTCGTTTCGTCCACCAAAAACCTTCTCAGTGTCGTCAACTGCGGATGACATTCAGTATTGAACTTACGAAGAGGAGAAAAAATACACTTACGCATGACAGCATCTTGGTCAGCAAATGTGAAGGTCTGCGAGATGGACTGTTGCTGTGTTTCCTGGTGCTGTTTCATCTTCTCTTCATGCCGGACGTCCTCCCATGGCACCATTGTGACGGGTGTCGGCGGCTTCTTCGCGCCTGGGTCACCATTGGGACCGAAGATGTGGGCTCTCGCGAGGGAGATCTTGAGATTGTAGATCCACTTATTCCGCCGTTGCGCTTAGGGACCGTGAGCCGACAAACGTTGTGAGCTAGAGTGCGCGTACCTTTAAGTGCGCCATGCTGCCAGTTGCTCTTATACTTGATGTCAGCCTTCAGCGTAAGTTGCTTCTGTTCAGGAATGTCTACTCAGACAAACGTCAGACACAAATTGCATAGTCTGGAACGCTTCGAAAACGCACCAACGATAGCCACATCGAATGATGGCTGATAGTCACGCCTAGCATCCGTCACAAACTTCAGCATGAGCTCACGAAGTTGTTGAATCTGTTCGTATGATGTACTATATGCCTTAAGACCGGTAAGTAGAGAGTAGCCTCCAATTCCGCGGTGCTTCTTACCACGTCGAACGTAAATGACTCAGACATTTGGGGACTACGTCGCATATTCATGATTAGCTACAAAGTCGGACGCTATCAGTATGCATTATGGGACAATATGCCGCGAGGTGCTTACTTGAGGGCTGAGTGTAATGTTCGGAGCCTGGATAAGACAAGAGTTGTCGTCCAAGAAGATAGTGCTCAGGAGCCTGATCTCCTTGACGACGTAAGTGTCCTTTCCCACTTGAACGCGATCTCCGACATCGTACGGATGTTTCACGAAGAGAAAGATGATTGACGTAAGGACCTCCGACAAAGACGGTCCAATAAGCCAGCTCAAACCTCCAAGGAACTGTAAACACGTTGTATGGAAAGATAGAGGATCTAATGTACGTACCAAGAAAGAGTGTGCCTGCGCCTGTGATAAGAGTGACCAGCTGTGCTTCCAGGGCAACAGCAATGATTAAGATAGATACAACCACGTAAAGAGACATGAGGATGTTGTCCAGTCGACCGACGGCGCTATCCAAGTCCGTCATCGAGTGCTCGATGGACAGTTGCTCGCGATGGAACTCGAGACACGCCATCTCGAACTCATCTCGAGTAACATTACCGTTATCATCCCTGTCAAAAATTGCAAATGCGGCGTCGGCGTCGTCCAGAGTCGGGAAGAATTTCCGAATATCTTTCACATCGAAGTATTCGGAGCCGGGTTTAGCGAACGAGTAGAACAGTCGCCTAGCGAGCTACCGCATCGATTGAGCACAGTAGGTCTCGTGTCATATACCCGAAGCGCATACCAGACGAGAATTGTTTACTGATTCGAGAGCAATCTGCACTACTGCCTGGGGAGAGTTGGGCTGCAAGACCGAGCTCCCGGCAATCTCAGATGCAACAGCGCCCAGTGCAGTTGTAGTGGTGGTCGCAGCAACCTTCACACCCTTCAGGGCGTGCTTGAACAAACGCTTCGGGGCTATTGAAGGCTTCTTCTCGGGGTGACAGTCAGTGAGGGCATCGGAACGGCCAGGTGTATCATGAGAGTACCGATACAGAGTAGAGAGCACTTGTATAGCGAACTTCTGGTCCGCGATACGCTCTACAAACAATTGTTAGAGTCGAGCGCGCTGAGAGTAAGTCCAGTCTGTTGTACCTGCATAGGATCGTTCGTGGAATTTGCCCGCAATCCATTGAATTACAAATTTCTCGCCAAACAAAATGGCGGCGCACAAGAAGAAGGCGAAGAGAAGCTTAGCAAGGAGGTCCACAGCGTGTTGGTCAGATTGACTCGCGTCCTGCTCTTGCCTGGTATTGATGAGCGGCTGGAAGGCGATCCAGCATGCCAGAGTCCAGCTAGCAAAGGCGACGTATCTAGGTAAGAGTATTTCAGTGGGCCGCCTTTGGCAGTGGACTTGTGCAGTGTACCTGCGAAGGACTGCGATCCAGTCAATGTACTTTCTTGTTCCGACTGCGACCGTGCCGACGGTGTGACGGGCTAGTAGAGGGAGAATCATCCTTCATGAATGTCAATACATCTTGTCGAAGGCACGCAATGTTCGGGTGCTCACGATGCCGCCAGGGAAGCCCACCATCCTCCCCACACCACACTCAGCCAGATACTCCACCAGAGTAGCTTTACTCCCCACACTGTAGCTTCGGGGGCTACTGTGAAGCCGACGATACCTGGTATCCATAACAAACCTAGCACGAGCACGATAAACAGGAGCCGTCGCGTGACGACAGATACGTCCAGCAGGTAATTGTAGAACTTGGTGAACTGCGGACATAGGCTCGGTCAGCTAAAATGTAGGGAGCCGCCAACTCCGGTATGTGGACTGCAGGTAGAGATCGGCCGGAATCTGGCCTGCTGCATGCACTGCTGCGCACCTTGTTTTGTGGCACACCTGAGGCCATGTTCAAATACTGCGCCTCGCTCGCGTTACTCGGACCAAACTCATCGGACGAATGCTCAAGCTGGTTGCTGCCGGCAAATGCGTCCCAGCGACCGCTTCCATCACCGTAGGTGCCGTGGAGGTGGTCGTCCTTTTCAGGCACAGGCATCGTCTGGCCGCGGTGCCCATCCGGGTGCTCAGCGTCATAACCATGCAAAGGGCGTGAGACATTGTCGACAGGGTTTTCAAGGCGGATATGGCGGCTACGCCTGGAGTTTACGCTTGTGTAGGACTGGGAGTGCGATAGAAGCGGGGGATAGGTCGGGGGCGGAGGCGGCGATTGCGAGGGAGGATTTGAGCGTAAAGAGTCCAAGTCCGATGACCTGTAGTGTGAGTCAGATTCTGAGGGCCTGGGTACGGGCCCTTGGGGCAAAGATGGCGTAGTCATGTTCGCCTTCCGCGGCTGAGAGCAAAGAAAACGTTCGACGAAAGACTGGCAGATGAGGAAGGGAAAGCAAAGCAAGCGCAACTCCCATAGACGATATAGCAGAAACTAGTCTCGCTATATCTACCAGCATGGATGCCTCGGCCAAAGTACCGCAAGAATAAATTTTTACCCTCGGCCAAATCAAGAAGAGAATTCGCCGAATCAGTTCATGCTAAGTCCATCTCGATCAATGGATTACATGCATTGCAAAGCTAGCTAAAGGACACAAGGAGCATGACAACAAGACGGCAAAGACAGCGGCAACCTAAAGAATAGGGAGCAATCAGCAAACATGTTCGATGAAGACATTGTACAGAAGGTTCAGACATCCAAAGGAAGGTACTTTAGACCCTCATCGTGCCGACCCCCGCTTCCCGTCCAGCGCACCCAGAGGGCGGCCCACGCCTCACGCTGTGATTTTGGGTTCCACAGGTAAAGGGGGAATGTAGACGTTCCGCATTGGGGGAGTACTCCCGCTCGGGAGGGCTCTAGGGTGAAAACTGCGAATGTATGGCGATATTCATCATCGAAACACAGAAGGAACCTTAACTCACCTAGCCCAGACACAAAAGCTATCCGCAGAAAATGCCACACGACTCAATTATACATATTACCTGGTAGAAGAAGTTAGCGAGCGGCTCGGAAACACTGCTGGTAATTCAAGAGAGATCAGACGAAATGGCACTGGCAAGTACACTGTGCGCCTCGTAGGACGCTAGTCCGTTGCGAACGAACTACTCTTACTTCTCGGCATGGTCGTGTAGGACGGGGAAGAGAATGAAGTCATCATATCGAGAATGTGCAGAAAGGAGCACTCACCATTCGATAGAAAAATCTTGGGAGTGAGAAATGAAAAGTGGCGGAAGGACGAAGGCAAGAACAAAAATTTATAGGCGCACAATCGTCAATGCGCGTGACTGTGAGAGTATTTCCCAAAGCGTGGCAAGGTCACGCGCCCTTCAGCCATAAACGGCGAACGCCTCTCAGACGATTGCTACGGGAGTGTGTGGTCTGGCCGCTTTTTTCCCGTTTCCCTGGGACTTTAAGGACTTGTCTAAGGTGAGTCGAAGCGCACTCGATGTCCTTCAGTCAGAAAAGCGGCTCTGGAGCCTGAGGCCTGAGAGGCCTGAAGCTTGAAGGAGAAGTGCAGCAATCCGAAATGCTCGCCTCAGAAAGTACGCGTGCCCGCAGGTCCACGGGAGAACCCTTGCTTTCTCTTCGATGTCGTTTGCGAAGTCAGAAACACTTGAACCACGCAAAGTTACTGACGGTAAATTACTAAAGCAGAAGTAGTGAAAGGAGTGCCCTTGTGCATTCTACTATCTCTAGAATTATAGGACGTACACGTAGCGAATTGGGTAAATCATAAATAGGTGGGATATAAGCTGTCATCCAAAGGGTTGCCTGCGTCGCATAGAGCCAGGATCCGCTGTTGCGGTAGTAGGAAGCGTAGAAAATTCGTTTAAAGGTCCAGGGGTGACTACAGGGGTGGGAGAAGATGAATGATGCCGTCGCGGCTTGAAGATCAATACGAGAATAAGACCAAAGATGATAAGCAACAGCAAAAATATACATTTCCGTCGACCAGTGTTCTTCTGGTACCTGCCCAAATGAAGCGAGATGAGTCGATGATCGAACGATAAGAAGCAAGGGAATTGCCTCGAGGCACGATTATAGCACGGGGAGCGGGAACGAAGGACTCTTTGGTCCAGTTGCCGAATGACATCAAAGACATGGTACGTACCGAGTAGCTGTCTCCAGTTCCTTGACCGCCTCGGACATCTGGACAGCAGTCTGCTCGATATTGTACTCGACACTATCAAGTAGCGTGCCCTGGTCAATAACTAGCGCAGAAAGATCTTTGAATAGCTCGGCGAGGGAGGCGATGGACTTTGCGATCTCAGTCAGCTCCCTATCGCGCTGCCGCAGATCCATGTCAGGCGTGAGGAGGTCTTGTGCTAAGGTACTGTTGCGAGACTGTATTGTGACGCCATGAGCTGCCACCCTGAAAGGGAACCGCAGGTCACGGAACTGCCACTCACTGCGGACGCGGCCGCCATGTCTTCGTCAACGGCGGAAAGGCCTTCGGACCCACGCAGAGATATTGCGCCTGATGCAATGAGCAAGTCTTGATTCTTGATCGCATGACCTTGCAGCTCTGGTTAGGCAAAAAGTCAGCATCCCATCGATAGCCTGCTGAGTGGGGCGGGAGACCATAGGGTGAATCAACTGACTTTCCATGTAGACGCGTTGCTTCTTCCGAAACGTGACGCTCAGCTCTTGCACTTTGGCGGCAAGCCCGCGCTGCACGTTTCTAGATGCGAGATGCTGGTGTCGCGTCTGAGTGGGAGGGAAAGCGTGGTCTTGGGCGGCCCCAATTTGTTGAATAAGCGCATGGCATCGCCGGAAGTCCTACGAGACGAAGCACGTTCAGCGGCGTGTAGGGGACGCCGGCTGCCCGTGACAGACCTTGGTAATGTCCGTTGTTGCAGCTTCTATTTCCTTCTTTTCCGCAGAGCGATCTGCGAACCCTGGAAGGACGTGTTTCGCGTGCAGCTTGTCCAGAGCCGTGACTGAATTCTTGAATGAGTTGAATTCGACGCAATTCGCACCGTGCAGACAGAAGCGCATGAGACGCACTTTTCACCCTTGTTCCAGTAAGAATGGTCTCCACCTCACTCGCTATCTCGGCCCTGCGTAGGGGAGTAGGTGGTCAGCTGAGGGCTTATGAATAATATCAAGGGGACGTGCCACTGCGGTGGTAGGTCGGCATCTATGGAGATGTGCCCCGCGTCCGGTTGGATGAGTCTGTCTTCCTCGTCCTCGTCCGTGGCGTCATCGTATTGTGGAATCGTGCGTGAACGACGGAAACGAGAGGAACTGGCGCGGGAGTCCCTGTATGAGAGAAAAAGTAGTGTCCGCGAGCGAGTGGCCGGTGTTGTGGTGGACGAAGCCATCGCTCATGGTCGTCGCGAGCAGCGCCCGCAGCGGCGGTACTGCAGACTCGTACGCAGTCGCCGGGCGGAGTCTCAAAGCGCTCTCGGACCGAAGTAGCTTGGTTGGCGTCTAATTACACGTGTGCAGCGCTCCGCTTCCGTCTCAAGGACCTTAAGGTTTAGTATCCGAGTTCCGTCGCCTCTGCCCACACCAACAACCGCAGAAAACGTTTGTGCATGGTCCGGTCGCCACCCAAGCACAGATGTCGGGTCACAGCTCACCGCGTCCGCTCGTGGGCAGTGCAAGAACCACCAGTCGTCTTCGCGAATACTCAAACGTGAGTGCCGAAGGCCAGGAGGAGGCCCGGAGCTTTCGATCCGTTTCTTTCTTCAGACCGAGTCCGAGGCCGCAGACAGGCGGTTCATTTCGCTTCTGCTTGTTTCTTCCGGTCAACTACCACCTCGTGTGCGGTCGCCTGCACCTCAGATCATTGACTGTCAACACTGTTCTCCCTTGCTCGTGGCTCCGCTATCGTTTGCGATCGCCCTAATCGCGGATCCGTTCTTTCTCTACTTGCTCTTCCGTTTTACTGATTGTTATCAATCTTTCAACCGGCTGGACTTTGCAAGCGGCCGCTCCCGCAGCGTCTTATGACACGAGGGCGGACAACCACAGACACTCATTTTGCGACATCCGAAAATTTTATAAAAGCCGGTCCAGGATTCGCCTGACCACTCCACTCGTTACCCCTCTCTACTGCGGCTCCGTCGTTTGCACCCCCTTGCTTCACACCGCACCTTGTATTTGTGAGCAGCCTCTCTTGAGATTATAGGGGCCGCTAAGCTTGATGCTCCTGTTTACTAGGTCCAACAACTACCCACTGCAACGCGCCACAATGTGCAATCTCGAGACGTGAGGAAATCTTTTCTCTCGTAGCATCTCGTGGTCTGACCTCGGACATAGCGAAGGCATGCAGTACTCATGTGGGGTATGTCTCCGAGCTAAACTACGCTTGTTTCCCCGCATCCGCCCTGACGTCATGATCGTAATTGTGTTAGCACTATGTTATTGTCAGTAGTTTATTTGCTCCCGAGATGCCTGACGCTCACCTTGCTCTACCTGACAGACTAGGACACTCAGGAAGAACGACTGTCGCAGTTCGCGCTGCACTCTGTCTGATCGACACCCGCCTAATTGCCCGAATTGCGATGCCCACGAGAAGGTACGTGCTCAGACCTTTGCACCTCGTTGCTCAACGCTTATGCATCATACCCTGTAGTACTTTGGCCCGGACGCCAAGGAAACGATTGTCGGCAACGTAAATGACTTTTGTGACCAATGTCGTCCATACTGGTATGCGAAGAACGGCCCCCCGACACAGTCCCGTCGCCGGTAGCTTTCTCCGGCGACCCTCCAGCGACACCTTCGTGCGGCGGCGTTCTCATATGCATACCCTAATGTTCCGTAATGTTAGTCTTCCACCATGCTCGCTCTGCTGTACCCTGTTACCTCTCTCGCTGTCACTCCAGCTAGTAACTTTCCACGCCTCAATGCTGCCAATGTATTCTTATCATCATAGAGTACTGGATGCTATAATCAACGTTACAATTTTCGTGTCGTTCACCCTTTTACACCTTGAAGTCCTGTTCCCAGGTCTGGTTGTCTTGTGTCGGTCTGCTCTCCCCAAGGCGTTTGCTGTCGGTAACTGCCCTAAAGAATAAACCTTGGGAAGGGTATCGCTCAATGCATGTAGTCTATCCAATAACAATGACTGGTTCGCAGACTGATTAGCTACCATTTCACCGCGAGGCCGACGACTTCGCTCTCTACCGCGTGGTACTGCGTTCTAAAGTGCTTCCGTCGCAGCTCCTCAGCAGCTTCATCCATGTTGTCGGTCCATAAGCGTGGCGCATTTCCCTCCGGATGGCATGTCTCGGCCAGAACCCGAGCAGCAAGCCGCTCCGCCTCTAGGGTCTTTTCACCAACATGGAGGCTAGCAGAGCCACTCTCTAGCTCTGCACCGAGCTTGGGCGATGGTGGCGGCGTGGGCAGGTCACTCCAGTATGCGACCTCGACTTTCTTCGTCCACTCACGGTCGCTCCACTTCGCTGGCTGGATCTTGCCTGGCGAGTCGTCATCGTCAAATTTCACGCCTGACACGTCCCAGTCCCGTTTGTATCCTTCTTCGTCTGTGCCGTCTCGGAGATAAGTTGGCGGTCGGAGCTGACCACCGCCGTTAACGCATCCGCCTGGACAGGCCATGACCTCGACGTAGTCATACTTCGTTTCTGGCGCCGCAGAGCCGTCTGCCTTCTTCCGTACGACACGTCCGCGGACACCCGCCGCACGCCCTGCAGCCCCCCGGCCGACCTGCACACCTGCGTCGCGCCCAACCTTCCTGACGAGATTTTGCAGGTTACGGAACCCGTAGCACTTTGCGCCACGAAAGACAATGTCGCCAGTCGCCTTCTCGCTAAGGATGTACTCCTCATAGTCGGGCGCACGCACCGCACGCATGTTCAGCCCGAGGGCAGACGGCGACTCGTGTACGATAGCGTTGATCAGGGAGTGCAGGTAGGATCCGGAGCTTGTGCCTGGATGAGTGATCAGCTCGGGTAGATCGTCCCCGTCGAACTTCGCTGCACCGCTTCCGCGAGAGTCGTCTGTTAGGAACCCATGCGGTAGGCGATCGTCGTTCTCTCCCTCGACCGGTGTGGACAAGCTCCAGTCTTTCTCCCGCATCATAAGCTCAAGTTCCCCGGTAGTTATCACACAGTCAACGTCGCGAGTCGCGTAGACGTCGTTATAAAAATCTTGTCTGGACGCTTCTAGCTTCTTGTCGTAGCAAGGCATGACTGTGACATGGTATATCTGGCTTGGTCTAGAACGCGGAGGTGAGCGTGCGTTCAAACCAGAGCTGGAGATGAGCGGACATACGTCTTGCCCCATTTCGAACCCAGCCATTCCTTCACTAGGGTGCCCATGACCTGCTGAGGGCTCTTCGTCCGACTGATGAAGGGCAGCATTTCGGCGTGTGTTTTCTCCACATAGCAAATCCATCCTGGGCATGCACTCGCGAGCATAGGCAGCTGGCCATCCCCTCTCTTCCGTTCCTTGTACTCGCGCGTGTGCTCCAGCAGAGCAAGATGTCGTGCGAAGGTTGTGTCGTACACATGCTGAAAGCCTAGTACCTTGGTACAAAACGCTTCGACACGTCGATACACTTGTTGCAATGACACGGGTTGCGCCTTGCTAGAGGAGGATATGCTTGCTGCGAGCGAGGCGAGGCTCTGCGGAGCAATGGAAATGACGGGGACCTTGTGGGAGAGGCAGATGTCCTCCGGGTTATTTGCAAGGAAGTTGAGCACCTCCGTGTGAGACTGCATGCTGATCAAGACGGATTCTGCGGAAGTGATGCATCCACTATATTCATAATTTCAGAAACACAGGTAAAAAAAACAGAGGGGAGCTTACCTGCACGCAAGACAATCGTTGAGACTGATCTCGGCAGTCTGGAGCTTCCTTTGAGTTCCTGAATCGGCCTTCGGATCGGATGCGGAGACTTCATAGTACGACCCGGTGGAATCGACACGAATCTCTGTCTGCAAATTTCGGTTTGAGCCAATTGGCAAGGGCCACGTCGCACAAAGCATACCGAGGCAGCTCCTCCGTCGCGCTCCGGTACTATACCATTAGTCTGTTCTACGGGTTTGATACAGGCTTGGGAAGGAGTAATGAAGTCATTGAGGTCCGTCAACGTCTACGACACCATCTAAGCCCACAAAGCCAAAACATGCATAGTAGAAAGACATACCAATGCTCCAGAGAAAGTCATGGTAGCTCGGGAAGGTCAAGGCTGGGAAAGAGGGCGGGCAGAAATACTTCTTCATGACTAATTGGAAAAGCGCCAAACGGGCGCCTTTGAGGCGGACGAGGAAAGCGCGCATAACGTGGCGGATCACACCCGCTACTGGTCGAACGACCGCGACGAGCCAAAGGCCCAGGACAGGCCAGATCGAGTTTCGACGGCGCGGTCATACCTCTACCACGTTTCTCTGCGGCGAACGATGCCTGAGAGGTTATTTGTTCGTGGCATGAGCTTCAAGTCTCTCCTTGTGTGTCTACTCGTGCTTAGCCTCTCAGAGGTCGTCAGGTCGGTATCGCGTCTAGGGAAACGCGACTTTGAACGCCTCTCTGCAGAAGCCATAGAGGAGCTCGCCGCGCATCCTGATCCTGTACGCAACATTGACCCATCCAATCCTTCGTCTCACCTCTCCAAAATCCTTATACCGCGCCCTCCGGATACGGAGAACAATACCATCGTGCGAGAGTATATTGTCTCGACACTGAAGGACCTCAACTGGCATATTGAAGAGGATTCTTTCAACGGCACGACACCCTATGGTGTCAAACGTTTTACCAACGTGATCGCCACCAAAGACCCGGCCGCATCGCGCAGGGTGATTCTTGCTGCTCATTTTGACAGCAAGTTCTTCTCGAATTACCCGGATAGTCAGGTGCGTGCCGACTCGTCTGACATTCCCTCCATATGCTCACAATATAGGCAGTAGTTTGTGGGTGCAACTGACTCCGCTGCCCCATGTGCTTTCATGCTAGACGTTGCCGAGACCCTGAACCCCCTGCTCGAGGATCGACTCGAGAGACTACGAGACAGCGAGGATGACGACGACGACGGCGACGACTTGTCAGATACCACCCTCCAACTCGTGTTCTTTGACGGCGAGGAGGCGTTCAAAGACTGGACTGCGACTGACTCAATCTATGGAGCGAGGTACTTTCTCCTTTGATCTCAGCTCATGGGTTACTCACATTGAGGTGCAGACATCTCGCAGAAAAGTGGGCCTCAACATATATTACGTCGGAAACACATACAAAGCGGCGCCTGACTCGGTGGTCACAAGACACTGAGCTCTCGACCATTGAACACCTCATCCTACTCGACCTGCTTGGAGCGCCGAACCCTCTCATACAGTCTTCGTACATTGATACTGCCTGGCTCTTCGATGAAATGATTTCAGCAGAGCAGCGCCTCATGTCAAGCGGTGCATTCGACTTTCAAGGCGAAGGCAGTGTACGCAGCTTCTTCATTTCGCGGACCGATGGCGGCCACTTCTGGGGGCGAGTAGAGGACGACCATGTACCTTTCCTTCAGCGAGGTGTTGATGTGCTGCATGTCATTGCTACACCTTTCCCAAAAGTGTGGCACACATTGGCGGTAAGTTTTCCTGTCTTTTTGCTTACTCGTCCTTATTCGACCAGGATGATGCCTCTGCTCTCGACATACCTACAATGCGGCGCTGGGTACTCATCCTTCGGGTGTTTATGAGCGAATACCTCGGTTTGATCCCAGAAAGCAATCAGCGTCGGTCCCCCGTCCAGAAGGCCACGGATGATCTAGTAAGTGCATTTTTACGTACTTCCCAGCTACGCTCACGCTGCACTAGTAGCACTGGAACAAGACGGCAGTATCGAGTGCAGACACAAGGATAGCACTGGACGATGTGTAGTAGAGTGCTATCTTGTATGCGAAGTTGTAATATCAGATATTTCAGCGATTCTGCCTTCGCTATGAGGAGCTACGTGTTGCGGTCTTGCATGTATTGGCACTGACGCCAACGCCGACATCGATCAAGAGGGGTATGCGGTTGAATCCATTGAACTGCACATCATTTAATTAAAGCTGCAATACGTGTGTCGAAAGCTTCTGAGCGAATGGGCATCTCTGGCGTGTGGAACGGGTTTTTCATGACGGCATCGGCGTAGATCTCATACACCTTTTGCAGTACGGTCTCAGCTGTTGGCTCGATCGGAGAGGTGAGAAGCACGAATTTGGTGCCTGCAATCTCCGTCAGAATGCGCATTAGCGACGACATGAGAGAAGAACGCTCGCCGGTTGGGGTCAGGAATATGGTCATCTTGAAGGATTCACCTTCGATGACCTGTGCGCCAGAGCCAGAGCCGGTGGGACTCAAGCGGCTAGTAATGGCGTGAATACCATGTAATGTTCCTGCAAGTACGAGGTATTCGTTTGAGGTCTGGCTCGGTAGTCCATCTGTTCTCCTCGTGAGTAAGCTAGCACCATATTACACTCTTCGCTATCAGGAATCACCTCCGAAGTTTCGCTGGTAGACCAAGCCTCCAGCTTTATTGATCACCTATCGACGTTTCTTCAGTAATATATACAAGATATCATTCACCCAGCTCTCACCCAAAGGCCAAAGATAGTCATGACAGACAGCGATAAACATGGGCCATCCTGGAGACGCGGTATCCACGTGAGCCCGACGCGTCAACGCGTCTGTCGGAGTTGCATCGGAGTTATGTTCGCACGAAGCGCGGCGCCTCGTGCTGTCTCTAGCTTTCGCCTCTCCACCTCGATAAAATTCTTGTCGGTGTTCGAATGCGTAAATATGCAAGCTCAAGCTGTCAGACAAGAACAGACTCAGGTATACCTCGAAGCACTTGAGGATAAGATATCTAACCTCATAGTGGACGTAGGACGTTCTCACGGCCGCGCAAAGTCTGCAGTCTATTCAGACGCTTCTGCGGGCAGGTTTAGGTTGCATCACGTATCTCAGGCAAGTGTGCACGCGTATATGCGTCTTTTTCTGCTGAGTTCTCTCTAGAAACTTGCTTCCAGCTGATAATTTCTCCGAAAGTATGACACTTAACGATCTATCACTATTCGCCACTGCACTAAGGCTATTCTGTAGGCTACCTCACGTCTGCCGCACTGGAGCCTCAGCCTTCCACGCCGTCTATACATGGATCATTTTCTTCCGAGAGCAGCCGTCGTAATGTCAGTGGGTTTAAGATCATGACCGTCACCAGGGGCTTCACGGAAGAAGCGGATAAGCTGCTCGATTACCTTGTAAGTCCATGGCCTATGTCCTTATATATGCTATATTTTACTCATTTCCTGACATCTATCTTCTCAGGAGCATGGTATTTTTGACGCTTTGCAAAAACAGTATCTCAGGAGCTTCATTTTTGCCGTCTATCTGGTGCGTATTGTGGGTGCTAGGAAAATTGTTCGATCGTTGACTTGTACATGTCTCTTAGGATAGTCAAGATCCGAACAAGTAGGTAGATGTATGCGTCTTATCTGCTATCTAACATGCTTGTTTGTAGCATCGTCGAAGCATACACCTTCAACTTTCATGTGAGTACGGGGAATCCAAAGCCTGTCATTGTCGTGGTCCGCAACACTGAATATCTACATAGTACTACACTGTACCAGGCTCTAGCGTCTCGATACCGGTGATGTCGCTCGGTGACGACCTAATGAAGCTATCCATCTCTGGGAAAGCAAAAGGCGCCGATCCAGTTGCTGATGCCACGAAGAAGGGGAAACTACCTACGCTCGGTGAAGTTAAACGAAGTTTAAAGGTACACTCCTTTACGGTATATATACGTACCCCGCTTACTATAGTCGCCTCTACAGACTTTGATCAAAAACCTCATCCAGGCTACAACCCAGATGGATGCGCTCCCTAGTATGTTCAAAAAGTACACGATCTGTGTGTCTAGCTCAATCATGTTACAGGACGTCGATTTGCGACCTTCAAGCTATACTATCATGATCATACTCCAGACGACTACGAGCCGCCACACTTCCGGGCAGGCGATTCTAAGGGCGACAAGTGGTTCTTTGCAACGCACGACAGGAACGAAGTACCGGAGAAGTGCAGCATTGGGCAGGTGCAGACAGGATGGCACGGGGTAGACCTTCGAGTCGCGTCAGTTTCGGCCTACCTGCCTTCGGCGGAAGATAACAATGCACCATTCACGGGTACTACAACCGGCAGCGGTAATGGTCTTGCGCCGCCACCGCTCACTCCTGCTGCAGAAGCAGATTTGAGGAGACAGCAAGCGGAGGCGCAAAAGCAGGACGCACTCGAGAGGCGAGTCGTCTGGGATGCTGAAGAGGGACTCGGCGATATTGATGCCGAAGGCGAAGTTGACGACGGTACGTGGGACTTACTCGTATGCGAGGCAACCCTGGCTGAAACTCCGCCTTCGCAGGCGATGGCAGTCAGCTTATGGGTGTGTGGAGAATGAGTTCTTCCGGACTAGAGTTCGTCGCTCCCATGGGTATTAGAGACGATAACGGCAATATCGTCCCTCTATCAGGCGAAGAGAACGATACGGAGCCCAACGACCCGACTCCAGCTGACGCTGCCCTATTCAAGGGTATGGAAGAGAAGGTCCCTCGACATGTTGGCCAGCTCGTAAGCAGCACCAGCATTGTACCTGTTGGTGGCACGAATACTGACTCCTCGCAGGACCTTCCTGCGACAAATTCGGGCGAACTAACCCAAACTCAACTTGTCTGCCAGACTCAAAATGAAGATGATGTACCTTCCCGGCTGCCCTCGGCATCAAGCTCGCCGCTTTCATCGCCCGAGCCTCCTACGCCGAAGACACGTCGAATGCCCACGCGATCACAGTTTAAGATCTACACTGAAAGCCTTCCCCCCTCCGATCCGCTAGGTTTCTCAGTTCCCTCCAATGCGAGTTTTCACGAAGAAGAGACGGTAAACACCCAAATGCTTCAGGAACGCATCATGGTTCAGAGACGGTCAGACGAGGACGTAGACATGCTCGGTGCGTTTGTGTCGATCTTCGTGGGGCCTTCATCTGACTGTTTGGCATAGACATGAGCACTCAGGTTCAGGATCATGCCCATTCACAGGACGATGACACCATAAAATCCTTCACTGTTAGCCACAAATCGATGACGGTCGTTCCCGATTCCCAGCCCGGCATCCAGATGGACGGTGCAGAGGATAAGGTGGAATGCGATTGTGGCGTAGATGTGAGTAGCCCAAATAGTGTCTAGCGACCTTATCTTAACGTGCACACTAGAAAGAAGATTGCGATTCTATCCTCTGCGAAACATGCGACAGATGGTTCCACGCCTGGTAAGTGCGCTTCCGCCCTCTCAGCTCTGACATTCAATCGGTATGTGTAGGTGCATGGGTTACTACTCGGGTAACAGTCGGAATATTCCTAACAAATTTAAATGCTTCGACTGTCGCGTACATGCTGACCAGAACTGGGATCTCATCGTGGTGCATGGCTTATACCCACGGATGATGGCAAAATTCAGGGGCCTCGCGTCGTTCAGGTGTGGACCATTCTCGGATATTCCACGGAGTGAGCATATTCGATAACATTGGAGCAGACGGGCCATCAAGATCTGCGAAACAGTCAAACCGGAGAACCTCTCTAGCTTCACCAAGGCGATAGGTGCACAAGGCTCTCACTATACTTTCCCGCAGTAATTGACGGAAATTAGGTTACGAACCAATAGTCTCTGGGCAGCTGTTCAAACGCCTCGAGAATGAAGGTGATAATAGCTGGCAACATGTGTTCTCTTCGCCTGATTTGAACATACCGGCTTGGCACAGGCTTTATCGCTCTCGAGGGTGTAGAAACCCCTACCGAAGATGCCGCTAAATCATCACGTTCTGGCAAAGGTAGAGCGACCAAGAAGCCGCCTCCACGACGCCGAACGATGCAGAAGCAACGATATGTCTTCGTCCGCAAGATCATGAAGGAACGCAAGTACAAAGACTTCTTTGACCCGGACCCTGAGGTAGAGAAGAGACTGCTTGATCTGGAGGATTTGGTCTGTCGTCATACCTTTCCCGGCTGCGTGTAAGATCTGTTGGATGTGCTGCTTACTGATCACCTCTGACATGAGTAGAAACCGAAGAAAAGAATGCATGGAGCAGTCGCTGGGGATGAAGACGACGATATGTACGTCGCCGTGCTTTGAGTCGCTCGCTTCTAAGATTTGCTCTCCTATATAGGGACGGTGTGCCGCCGGTACCTTCGCTTTCTCAGGAGGTTCCGCATCCTCCTTCCGTCGAGATCCCTGCGGCATCCCAAGCCTCGCAGACGCAGATGGAGTCGCAGCTCATACTAGACACTCAGACCCAGCCAGAGGACCTCCTAAAGCACCATTCAATTGACATGTTCAGAGAGGATCGTCGAAAGGACGAAGATGGGAGGGCGAAGAAGAAAGTCAAGATCTCCATCGGACCTGCCGTTGACCTTGGCGACTGAGCTTCTTTCTCGCCTGTGCTGCGCTCTTGCGACTACTGAGCTTTGACCTCTCTCGACCTTGCCCCTGGATGCTGTGTTTTCTTGCTACTTGCTGTGTTTCCTGCCTCCCGCCTCGACTGCTTTCCCTGTGTCATCCCGTGCTCAGTTTTCCTTACCCATGGAACGCTTTTTTGCCGACTTGCCATCTCTGGTCACTCGCTACTGTTTTCAATGCTCTCCGGTTTCTACTTCCTGCTGCTGTAACCGTTGCATTTAGCCACGTCATGTTACCTGTCGAGCGGCCACGAAGATTGAAATTCATACCAGGCTCCAATGTGTAACGTCGAGCGCGCGAGGTACAGAGGACGCCGGTCACCGCCCGGTGTGGGAGAACTGCGGTCGGCTCAAGGGTCCGAAGTACAGCAAACGCTTCCCTGCTTGACACTTGGAACGGTGTAGCACTTATTGAGACCCATGGCTGTAATCGCCACTGCCCCTCGCACGGAACGTCACCGACGCCCGACGAACTATCGTGCTACTTGACCGTGCTGTGTGACACAGTCTATGCTTGTCCTTGTGCTCTTTCTGGTTCCGATGTATGGCATGATACGCTTGGCCACCTCAAACTCTATCTCACAGCTCTAGCTTGACCGGATAAAATGGCCGCGGTTGGTTGTGGCAATTCCCTGTGCCGCGTGCACTCTCCCCCGTCTCCTGCACGACATTCACGATTGTGTTATGACAGCATGGCATCCCTCGAAGCGTTGAGCGCTCTTCGGACCGTCACATCCTTTCTTTACAACGTTATCGGCAGAGTCAAGGACAACACCAGCGAGTGCAGGGAGACCCTTGACCTAGTATTCCTCTTCATCTCCGACATAGAGCAGTCCGGGATCCAGAACGTGTCGCTGCCTATGCAAGAAAGGATTGTCCGACTATTGAGGTTTGTCCATTCTCGAGAAGACGAAAGCATTGTGTGCTGATATTCTGTCAAAGCACCTTTTTCGATCTCAAGGCGGACATAGAGCGACTAGAACAGAAATCTCTATTATCTCGGACGTTCCTCCATGAGCAGATTGCGTCAAAACTGTGCAAGGTTCGCAGAGTGGTAGAAGATGCCAGGAGCCAGCTCCTTGTGAGTTACTTACAGGTAGGGCTCCTGCTATGATAAGCACTTACGCTCTATTATACAAAGCTTCGGGTGCAGCTGGAGACGTACGTGTCAAACGCTGGGCGTACGACACGCACCGTTGGCCCGTGCGGGTTCATGCCGCCTTCTGAATGGAGCGGCGGACACTGGCTTGGTACCGGCTACTCAACCTTACATGCAACTCCAGCACAAGCCGTCGGTATCAATTGCGCCCGTCCCTGTTCTGACCACTTTTCCCAACGGATGCATGTTGGAGGAGGGCACGTTCGACGCCTCTGGAACTGGTTGAGAAGATCGCCGAGGGCAAATGTACAGCGTGATAAAGAGGCTAAGATCCCACAGATCGCGGGCAAGGATCAGCTCGGCGCACCAGAGAAGCCATCAACTCGACCGATCAGTACCATAGGCATAGTGCCCCTGAGCACACAGCAGTGGACCAACGAGCCTTTACCCAGGAAGCCGATGGATGCAGACTGTGGTGCAGCTCCACCTACAACGCGCCATGGGTGTGATTCGCCCTGGCAGGAGCCGTGCATCACACTTCTGAGCTTTACAGATGAAGAGCTCTCAGAGGTAGGTGCTCCGAACCACCACAAGAAATAAGAAAGTTATTGATATTTCTTTCAGGGTTTGGGATTGAGAAATACTCCGGAGGGCATTGACTCTCTTCGGAAGGTATGCCCATACTCCGTCTAAACACTCTAACGACAAGTCTAACCGTATGATATGGCCAACAGCATCTCAAACTTCTCGCCGACAATGACTCCGCGATGGAGCACTGTCTCCTGCGTGCATGGTACGCCGTGGATCATAGGAAGCGAACTGCTTTTTAACAGCCACTGAGGCGATATTCCCCATCCGTCGTCACTCCCGATGCCTCCATGCATCCTCCGTAAATTCGCCACGAAAGATTTCTGTCCCCACCTTCCTCTGATTTCGCAGTACTCGTTACTGGTCACCTCTTACATTCTTCTGGGGCCGGCCCCCAACCCTGTGACATCTTTTCGCCTTCGCTAGGTTCTATATTCGCCAGCCTCCAACGACCTTCGCGCACAGGTCAGCCTCTGCATGACCCCATACCGTAATGAAAAACCCACAGCTGCTCACCCCAGTGGCTCAGCTCGGCTTGGCCTTTTTTATTCTTATATATCGTTTCTCAAGCACGGACGGCTGTCGATACCCGGGGCTACACAGTAGCAGTAATTTGACTCTCCTCTTCACTTCCAATTTCTTGACATAAGAACGGTTGGGCATGCTAACCTCATAATTCAGAATATCCCCTTCGCCACATTATGCTTACTTATGTTCACCTATGTTCCCTTATGCGATATGTGTTTATGCCCAGCCAAATGTACTTACCTATGATGCATGCAAAGATATATCCTTGCCTCGTTTGCTCCCTCCGCACTGCGCAAGACGGCAGAATATGTCACAAGACTGAAGCATAACTTTCGCATGATGTCTAAATTTTACGCCTAGCTTAATTACTACTCAAAATGGTGTCGTCTCATGGCATCTGGTCTCTCTGCCTGGTGTTTAGCTACCATCCCAGCAGAGCGACGAAACGGTAAGCTGGTTCTGACGCCTATTACTACACGGAGGACCGTTGCATTTTCACTCTCAGTGACTACCGATTAGACTCGTGACCAATCTACTCAGTAGCTGATGGGACGCTCAGAGAGCTCCCACAGTGCTAGTGATTTCGCGTATATAACATGTAATATGTAAAGACCTGACTCTCGCGCCTTTGCTCTTGCTGGGACGTACTCCAACACGTGTACCACCAGAGACAAGCTAACAAGTCAAGGCCGCCCTCCCGTGCTCGTCCAGTAACAGCAGCCGCGCACCGTGGAACATCCGCCGGCTTGAGCGGTTCTTGCGCTTCATACGTTCCTGGCGTGTCTCCTTCCTTAACTGCGGCTGCTTCGCCACATCTCGTAGAGGCGTAACGGCCCTTTCCAAGTTCTTCTCCGCGTCTTTCTCATCCATGGTCCTTGCCTTCCTCATTACCATCCTTCCTTGACCTGTGAACGACCTGGGCGCAGGTTCTTCGATGAGTGAATCCGCGCGTTTGCGCTTCGTGCCGCGTCCCTCAGGCGTGTCATCGTCCATCTCAACGTCAGGCGCATTCTCCCTTTCCTTTCCCTTTCCCTTCACGTCTTCTTTCCCCTTCTCACCCTTTTCCTTGCCTCCATCCAAGCCCGTGGGACGCTCGTGAATACACCGAAGCGCTACAATGTCTGCGGACATTGTACACTCGTAGCGCCATACATGCAACAGGTAGCGCACCGTCATCGCGTACCGCGCGTCGAGCTCGAGCAGGATGTGGTCCACGCTCCGCAGTGTGCCTCTTGTCATCCGCACATCCTCGTCCTCCTCAGACGCGCCAGGACTGGTACGTGCCTCGACAAAATGCACGCCAACGAGCCCGACACGCGACGCGCGCCTGAGCAGGAGCAAAAACTCCCAGAAGCCGCGCAGCGCATCGACAGTCCAGACTACCTCGCCCGGCGCGTCCTGGAAGCTGCCTGTCGTCGCGGGGCTGGAGGCGAGCAGCTGGGGAAGCGCATGCAGTGCCGCGCGGAGCTTCTCTACTCCGAACCGCTCCGTCCAGCTCTCGCGCTCGCTGTCTGGTTCAGGCGGCGTGCAGGAGTCTGAAGGGGGGAACATAGGGCATGGTGTCACCGCGAAGCGCAGATCTGGCTGTACAAGCATGCTTGCAGGGGAACAGCCGAAGCCTAGGCACCCGCGTATGGGTATAACCCACGCGCAGCGGCCATACGGACTACGCAGAAAACTTTCGGCGGACGCACGAGTGTATGGTGTCACAGGATGTGGGACAGGGATTATCGATTGCTTCTTGCCGTCGCCCGCTCTGGGAGTGGGGTCTGGCAGAGGAATGCCCCGCGGATACACATCTTCCGCCAGTGTGTTGTCTGGAAAGCCGTAGTATAACGGGTTTGGATTGGTAAACATGTCGTGCTCATCTGCTTGTCGGCTCCTTTCTACGCCGTCGATATCCATTTCGACGTCTTCTCGCTGTGCCGCCGACTGCTGGCTCACAGGCCACTGTTCCTGTGTGCACTGCTGCGAGTTGTGGTACTGCTTGTACTGCCGCTCGTCGATGTCGCGCTCCTCGTAAAATCTCTCTGGGTCCGTTGGAAGCGAACCCACAATGGACGCGCTCTCCTCCTGAGAGGACAGATATACCGACGGTACCGAGGGGATAACGACAGCGACGCGCGTTGGCACAGGCCATTCGTGTGGCTACTCGTCAGGCTGTCAGCGCATCTGCTCACCTCCGGACATGCCACAGCACTCACCTGCGGGATTGTCCACCCAACGTTCTCAGAGTCCTCGATCCTTACGCGCCTCTTCTCCTTGAGCTGATTCCACTCTCGCATCAGCTCACTCTCTGCCTTCTCCCTTGCCTCGCGTTCCCTCCGGTCACGTTCCTCCTGCGAATCAGGCACAATTGTCAGGCTCGGCTGGCGCGGCAAACGGAGCGAGGGAGGCACAACCGCTGGCACTGGTATTCGCTGCGTCTGAGCCTGTTTCGCCTGCTCCTGTGGTAGCTCTGCGCCCGAATTGTTCGGCAACCTGGCAGGGTGCCCCTGTCCAAGCTCAGCCCCGGGTGATGGGGGCAGCTCAGGCGGATCGCGCGGCGGCAGGCAAGGTATGAACGCAAACGGTGGCGGCCCCTTGAGCTTGCGCGACGAGCTTGCTTTCAACTTCGACCTCGCCGCCTTCAGCCCTACTGCCTTCAATTTCGTAGACCCTAAATCTGGTGGCGGGGCGCCTGCCGAAGTCTCCTGGGCTGCATCCCGATGCGGTGTCGGCGGGTGTTCTCCAGTCAGCGGCACTTCAGCGATGCGAGAAGGCCCAGGTGCGGGCTCGGGCAGAGGCCGCTGCGAATGTGCTTGCATTGGGGGATTGCCACGATATGCTTGCGATTGGGGTAACTGCGGCGGGTCCGGTTGCTCGTGTTCTTGCTCTTGCTCCTTCTGCTCCTGTGGAAATTCCCGCACAGGCCGTAGGACAGCAGGGGGCGTCAGAGTCGGGGAATGCTGCGACGTCCGATCTCTCTGAGACCCCGCAGTCTGAGGCTGCTCCGACACAGGGACGCGCATCCCGAGGACCTGGGACACCCGCGCCGGCAACGACTCCTGCGACCACGTCCGCGCCTGGTTCTGCGAGCCAGACGCGCTCTGGCTCAATAGCCTCTGCGTACTATTCGAATGCGGACCTCCGCCTCCACCATCCCCCTGCCCCACTTCCATACTCCCGTCGAGACCATACCCCTCTGCATACGGATCCTCTTCCGCACCCGCTACCATGCCCTCACGTGCCGCCCGTCCATACGCACGCTCAAGCACCTCGTCGTATCGTGTGCCCCATGCCGCCCGCGCCGTCATACGCGCATGTGCCTCCTCAGTGGGCAAGTACGCGCTTGGCACCGGTGACGCGCTGCGGTCCTGCGGTTGCGAGCCTCCCGAGTTGGGTGGCGCAAGAGAGAGAGCAAGGAGCGCCTGCGAGTTGAGTGGCTGTGCTTGAGAAGATGGTGCTATCTGCGACGGGCTGGGCTGTGAGCCTGGAGGGGCGAATGGGGAAAGCGGACGAGGCGCAGGCTGCGAGTGCGGAGCGTGTCCGAGGATCTGGGGCCAGTGGACACTAGGCAGGCTCCCGTCTGGAGGGCTCAAATGTGGCTGCGGTCTCGGGAAGGGGAGATGTGGGCTCCGAGAAGCTGCCTCGTGCGTTAAAACGCGCTCGTTGTCGCGCTCAGGATTACTGCGTTGAACTTCGAATGTGTTATGCGCCTGCCCGACGTCCTCCGTCTGCGCCCGAAGGGCGGTCTCGCACTGTATCTCGCGCTTTTGACGTGCGCCCGCAGTATCGTGATTGAGCAAAGATGCAGGACCGTCGCCTTGATACTGCTCATCGTCACCTCGCAGCCGCCGACCCGCTGAGTGAGAGGCCGAACCAGCATCTATCGCTTGCTCCCTCTTCGCTCCCCAACCTACATCAAGTACAAACGACCGCGCTGGATCGAACGAGGGCTCAGCATGGAACGTAAGCCCGGGCGGGCTTTCCTGGCTTGCGCTTTGAGAGCGTTGACGTCGCGCGGGTGGGCGTGATAATAAGAGGGTGACGGCGTGTGCAGAGCTGGAAACGAGGCCTGGTGGGGTCTCGTCACTGTCTCCCGTCTGCGGGTCGTCTTGGTGCGTGAAAGGATTGCGAGACGAAGAGGCAAGTGCTGGTACGGGTACGTTGTCTCTTGCGGAGTGATACAAACTATCTTGTGAGCCTTGTGAAGAGGAGCTCCGTTGGGCAGGATGAGTACGTCCTGCAGCAAGAGGCGGATATTAACCTCCCGCGAGATCGTCTAGACGAGAGTCTTGACTTACCTGGGCCAGGAAGACTAGCAGGAGCGTACAGACTATCTTGCGAGAACGGCCGCTCTTGAGCCTGCGGTCGGGATGAATGCTGGGCTGCGTAGAGTTGCCCCTGGTTGGGCGGAAAAGGTGGTGGTAAGAGATTCGAGGGTGACGCGTCTGTGAGAGCCTAAGTGGCCTAAAAAGGGGGATCATGCTTCGAGGAACATACTTGAGACATCTCTGGACATACTGTCTTGGAGGAATGATCGTGCTTGTGCTTGCTGATAGGACATGAATTGCACTATCGGGGATATGAGTTCATGCACGCAAGGAATATCAAAGCAGACGCACTAGAGGCATTCTGAAAGCCTGAAGAAATTTGGGATCTCTGGCGGCTGCTTCCAGCCTGCCCTTGAGGCGCATACGGCCGGTATTGGCTCGGGGACATTGACACAAATGAGACATCCTGCTGCGACGTATCTTAAAGACTGTAAGAGCTTGAGAACGGTAATAAGGGAAGCGCGCACCCAAAAGGTCTCCTGCCACTTCAACTTGCGAGAACAGCCCCTCAAATTCTTGATTTGCCAGCGAGAATGACTGGCCTTGAACGAGCAATGAGTAGTGCGCTTAGAGCTGTGGAATCGAGGGTGGACGTACGAGGTGTGGAGGATCGAGGGACGGGCAGATCCCGCGAACTATCCATACTGTTCTGGTCAGCAGCAGGGTCACGTTTTGTTTCGTAAAGTTGTTGTTGGTTGGGTGGCAGGGGTGGTAATGAGGGATTTGTGGTTAGAGCGTCTTGAAGAGAATAAGTACAAAGAAAGCATCGTCAAGAATAGAACGCACCGGACACATCCCTTGTCATATCTGCTAACGACTGAGTCGGGTGGAAGTTATTCTGTTCCTTGTGAGTCCCATGGGGCTGTTGGCTCTGAGGCGTGCCGCCAGGTTGCCGGCTCGCGCTCTGGGAGCTGTTGTGCATATGAAGCTGATCAGAAAGTGGGGTATCGCGAGAAGGGGGTATTTTGTTCAAGGAAACGTTGTTGGTGGTGGACAACAATGCAAGCTGGCTAGCCGGTAAACTTGGCAATTCAGTAGAGAGATGAGCCGGGGATGCGGGGCCGAGGGAAATAGATGAGACTTTTGATGCCGCAGGATCAAGCGAACTCTTTTGCCGAGACAACGAGCGGCGAGCATCCGCAAGAGAGGGAGCGCTCGCGTCTGCTCCTAAGGCAGCTGTGTGGACAAAATCGTCGAGGTCGGAGACGTCAGCCGGCTTGAGCTCGCCGGGAGCGAGCACGGGCAGAGCGATGTCGAACCATTTGTGAGAAGAGTCCGCGTCGTGGACAAGGATCGATGCCTGGTGGTGAATGTGCTGCGATGTAGGCAAGCTGGAGGCAAAGACATGGACGTTCATCGCAGGCTGATATTCCCGTTACCGGAACACGTGAGCCGTGACATAACGCGCTCCCAGGCGCGCGCCCCCTTAATACCACCGCAGCGAAAACCTGCATGCAGTGAGTGGTTCAATTTTGCTTTAGATACCGAGGCCCGGAGGTACAACTTGACACACCAGCCTATGTACTGCTGCTTGAGGTTGCTGAACCAGTCCACTCTGAAAAGTGGCAAACCTTCACAGTACACGCCATCTTCAAAAGACGTTTTTGATGCAATCGGCAACAGCCTCCACAGGCGATAAATCGCGTCTGTGATGACGCTATTGAACGCTGATACGAAGGATTGTGGTGACATTGCTAGACAAATCAAGGCGTTCATAACGCGCGCGGCACGCGACTTAGGGATAATAGTGTCCGGCACAGACGACACACAAAAGTCATATCTTCCACGATACCGAAGGATAGTGTGTCGCCCTTGGCTCCGCTGGTAGATATCTTGCTTGGGCCGGATGCCTCTGCGACGACCCATACCCGCGATCACTCCCGGACTCCTTAGCTCTCGGCTGAGGTTCTTGCTGTGAATTGCGGTCGCGAACTTCGCCTTCCCTGATACGTTGTGTTCACCTCTCAGAGACGGATTTGTTGCTCATAGCTAAAACATCCATCTTCAATATTGTCATCATCGTCGACCTTCACATCGACCCGGACTACATCAACACCGCAAATCTTGTGCCAATCACCAACGACTACATTTCGACTATTAGCGTCGTGTTTGCGACAAGTACGTGCCCTCACCCCCTCTTACGCATGTTATTTCACTTGCTCTTTAGTTTAAAGCTCGAGTTTCAGCTACATCAAGCTACCACAGAGAAACCGGCTTCGGTGGAGCGAAGCAGGGCAAAACGGAGTAGTAATGTTGTTGTTGGTTACAAACGGCTCGTCGCTTCGAGACGAAGGTCAGGCGGAATCAATAACAAAAACCACGGATGGGTGGAGGCCGATGAACGAGAGAAAGGGGGCATGATCTCGTTGTAAGAACCTGTGGAGAAGACTCAGGAGTGTCAGCCGGGGTTTGCGTAGGCCTCATCACAAGAGCGATGTAGTTGGTATTGCTGTGCTTTGCTGTATATGTGTACTAGACATGCTCCGCGCTTTCAGGGTCTCCGTTGACCAGATAGACATATACCGCCGAGGATTAGTTCCGTAATAGCTCTTAAATATTTGATGCTTTAGTCGTAAACGTCGCCCTGCAGCAGCAACGGTACAGATAACTTATCGAGTTACTGATCGGCGGAGGGGCAGAATGCAACCTGGTAGTTAGCGGCGATGGACGGAGTGCAAACCCACACAGCGGTTCCGCTGCTTTCGTCTACGGCCCTCGTCAATGAGCGGTTCTACACGAAAGAGTGGGGACGAACCGTAGGGAAAGACATACGCATCAGGGCAATTGCCCTCTGGGAAGAGAACATGTCAGTCGCTACATGACACAAACGATCAGACTGCACTTACTAAAGTACGAATAATATGCAACACCGGACGCCGGACATGTCGCCGCAGTGCTATACTGGCCAGTGCAGCAGTTCGGCGAGTTCGCTAGTAGTATATAAGAGCCGGTAACGTGTAGACCTAGTCGAAGTCCTCACCAGGATCGCCGTCAATGTTGGCCTCACAGGCGTTCTTGCAGCCGACTGGGAGTCCGGTTGAGTTGTACGGGCCCTGCAACGGAGCAGGACTTTCCAAAGCGCGAAATGCTCAGAATGAAGCCTTAATGACCAGGCAAAGAGCTTACAGTCGGGGTTAAGATCAACCGGGCAGCTAGGGATTCCGCATCCTTGATCGTTACCAACGCGCATAGGCAAGTTGAACCCGTTGACGAGGGAAACTGGCATACATTAGTAGGCCAGCGCGATGCAATATGAGGAGCATTGTGCGCTCACCATCGACATAGTCGACGAGATCTTCGCCATGAAGCGTGAAATCGGCCACAGTCACAGGTGGAATGGCCTGGAGTTGACAGGGGAAATGAAATTTTGAGCTCGCGACATAGTCTGCTATAACACTTACGGTCCCCGTATGTGGGTCGCACTCGAGACCTCCATTACATCCCCCATCAGCGCACTGGGTTGCAGGATTGGGATCATTGAAATCGCAGTCGCGGCGAGCCTGCATCACAAAGATTTTAGCCTTTGTTTTTGTATTATTATTTCTCCACCAGCATACCCAAATATGTCCAGCTTGCCAGTTGTCTGGGACGTAGAAGCTAACGAATGTGCCCGGAGCCGCCTCCCATCTACAATATTCAGTATTAATGAATGTGGCAAGATGAATAGCGCGAAAGAGAAATACCCCGTAACATAATCCGGTGTGACGCCTGTGCTGCTGGCACTAAGGTCAGTGAATATCTGGATACTACAGGTTAGGTTGAAAGCTTGTTCCTTGGGTACGTGTGAACTCTTACTGCGGGCCTGAAACCATAAGCCATGAGCAGCATGTAATACATACCGAGCATATACACTCACCAGATCGTGAACGGGCAATTGTTTGAAACGGTAAAGGTACGCCCGCTAGCTAGGGCGGCCAAAGAGGCAAAGGGACCAAGGTAAGCGAGTTTCAATGCTGATAGTTCGGGTGAGTGCTCTCGAGGGAGGGGGAGGGATCAGGAATCTTGACAGAACGTACGGACCTCGCATGCTGGTTATGGGCGGAGCCTTGGTCGGACATAGGTCGTTCGGATGCCAAAGGACTACGGACTGATCGCGTTTGCCACGTACTAGACCACATGGGTGCAATAGTAGGCGACTGCAGTCTTGCCATGGGCTTGCCCTTTCTAAGAATTGAGGCCCGAAAGCAGGGTAGAGGTAACACTAATTGTAGTGATACGCACCTTCGGACCGGTAGGCCAGGGGCTGAGCTTGAAGCTTGAAAGGACGCACCTAGTAACGTACCATCTCAATTTACACATGTGACCAGTCATCGTGCATCACATTGGATTAGTGCTTCCCGTGTTTCCATCTGCATATAACCTCCTGGCAACCAGGCATCCTTACTATCACATGTTCACCTGACGCTCAAAAGGCGTTAGTTTCTCGTAATTCCGGTGGAAACATGCCAGTCACTGCGAGTACTAGCAATCTGATCATGATTTGTTGCCCCCATGCTGGAGATGTCTGGGCAGTGACCAAAAACTGCGGGGCTAACAAGGATACACAAGGAGCTACAACATCTGGGTCCATTTGGTGTTGTCGGCCTAGCGCTGGAGTTCTGCTGTACAGTTGCTTTCAACAAGACTTTGGACAACACGAACGACTTTGTGGCGTCTACGTCGGAGCTTTCGGATTGATCCGAGTAGAGCGCTTCTTGCAGCTTCCACTACACAGCTGCACGGATGAGACTGTGGGGCTCAAGATCTGGCGGATTTTGTGATTCGGGGAATCGTGATCTTTGAGCGTTGGTTTTTGTCTGAGATTCGTCCGACCGAAATCATGATTCTGGCCAATGCGAAATACGCCCGATCCGAGATCTCCCCACCACAGTTTGGCGCCCACAGAGCCTCAGGCCTCAGAGCACACGTCCGTTCGAGTTGTATTCCGTACTTAGAAGTCCACATTGAACAGTAGGAGACTACATTAGAACACATGTATGATCTCAGCTCGGGTAGTAAGCTGCAATAGATGCCGGAATAACAGGCTACGGGCCGGAGAAAAACTCATCGTCAAGCTCGCTGGTACCTTCGCCCCTCATAGACAGGGCCGGAACGTTGTCGTCGTCGTCCTCAAGGAAACCACCACCTAGATTACCTTCAGGGAAATCCTTTTCGTCCTGAGCTATCATATCTTCTCGCCACCTATCCATCCAAGATGTCAGCAGTATATCAAAGTTATAACACCACGGGACACATACTTAACCCACCCGTCGCTCTCGTAGTTTGTACCAAGGTTCTTCTTCTGATGAAGCTCCTTCATCTCAGCATTGACAGCCTTCCAAAACCCACTGTCAGCCCCACTCTGTCGTTCCGTCTTGGTAAGAGACGATGTGCTCGCACGTGCATCTGACTGGCTTTAGTGAAGAAGCGTACAGGCATCACGAC